TTGTAGTTGCTGTATGCTAGTGGTACTTGTGCGATTGAGTGGTAGGGGAGTGATAATATGATGTTGAGTGTGATGTTGTGAGTCTAAAATGAGAGTGGAGGTGGTGCGGAGTAGTATATATCGGGAAGGTTGGAGTGTAGTATCTGGAGGGTTAGTATGTGGGTACCCATGAATCGAGAGCTGGACTGGCTCACTGCAGATAGACACAAAAAGGCAAAGTAATTCTATTCGAAGAGATGCAATGTAGATGATATCCAAGTAATAGCAATGATTTGATATAGATGGGGTGGACGTTGAAGATGATGCCATAGGCGGTGAGGTTCTGCCTCTCCGCGGCGGAGATTCCCCGATTGGGAACTATCCCCTCATCTTTTATTTTCGACTCCAAAACAACCATCCAACTCAATTCCCACTGCAATCTCTCCCTCCTAATCTGTCAAGATGCCTCCTTCTGAGCACAGTCTCTTCCAATTCCTCGCCAAAGCCCTCCAAACCCACCACCGCTTCCTCGCCGGCCGACTCTCGCGCGCCGAAAGCCCTATCTACGTCATCGGCAACCCCTCCGCCGACCTCGATTCCATCATCTCCGCCATTGTCTATGCCTCCTTTGCCCATCCCCGGCCTCACGTCCCTCTAATCAACCTAGCTACTGTCCCGACAGGCCCTGAACTGCGCCGTCTGCGTCCCGAATTCATCAAATCCCTCTGGCTCTCCACGCACCCCCCAGTCCCAGACGAAGAAACATGGTCCGACACGCCCGAGTCCGCCGGTCCCCTTCTCCAAGAACACATCCTCACCGTCTCCGACTTTGCAACTCACCTCCAAGACTACAACCACAATGATAATCAATTAACCGCCGACGCCGTCCTCGTCGACTGGAACGCCCTCCCCATCCGCTCCCCCAACCAACTCCGAGGCCAAGGCTCCCTCCCCGCCCTCCCCAACCTCACCTTCACCGTCCTCGGCTGCATCGACCACCACGTCGACGAACACTTCCTGGCCCCAATCACCGACCCAGACCAGCCCTTCCTCCTCCAACCCGCCGGATCATGCACCTCGCTCGTAGTCAACATGCTGGATAAAATGGACCGCTGGCGGCGCACTTCCTCCACCACCTCCAGCCCTTCGGAGTTATCGTCAGAACTCCAACTAGCCAAGCTAGCCATGAGCGCTATTCTCATCGATACGGCGAACTTCACTGCCAAGGAGAAAGTCACGGACTCGGATACGCTTGCGTATAGTTTTCTGAGATCGAAGATTAATGCGATTTCGAATCGAGATGGAGATGGGGCTGGGAAGCCATGGGATCATAATAAGTTCTACGAGGAAGTGGTGGCTGCGAAGCAGGGGAGTTTGGATTTGTTGACTGTTCCGGAGGTGTTGGAGAGGGATTATAAGGAGTGGAGCGAGAAACCCTCATCATCTTCTTTTTCTCAGGAGGTGAAAATTGGGATCTGTTCGATGGTGCGGTCATTGCCGTGGTTGGAGCGAAAAGCGGGCGGGGCGGATAAGCTCCTCGACGCTGTGGTGGAATATGCGACGAGGGAGGAATTGGATGTGGTGATGGTCATGACGGCGTTTAGTGGTGCGGAGGGGAATTTTTGTCGGGAGTTGTTGGTGTGTGCGCGTGAAGAGGGTGTGCGTGGAGTGGAAGTATTTGAGGAGCAGGCGGGAGTGCAGTTGGGGTTGGAGAAGTGGACGGTGTTGGATGGAGATGAGGAGAGTAAGAGTAGTGAGTTGGGAGATGTAAAGTGGGAGAAAGATGATGACCAGCCGTGGAGGAAATGGATCTGGGTGCAGGAGGATGTCACGAAGAGTCGAAAACAGGTGGCCCCCTTGATTAGGGAGGCTGTGAAGTCTTTGTAACCTTGGATTTACTTAGTTAACTATTCTATATCTCCTTTGGGTATATAGGTTTTGTGAATATATGGGTGGGTATAATTGGGCCAATTGTATAATTATACATGCTTGCTTTACTTCAGCTATGTCAGTGAACTCAGATCTGGTTCCATATCCATCCTTATCAACATTGACTGATTGTTTGATTGATGATGGACAATGGCCAATGGGCGAATGCGAGACTGCAACAATCCGGCACAAGACAACTCATAATAAGTACAATACAACTCAAACTCAATTGAAGCCAAATAAAGATTCCAACTTCAATGCATCCCAACCTCATTCACAGCACCAACCGAGTCTAGTCATGCTTCTAGATCGTAGCAGTAGTTAGTTCATTGCAATTGAATAAATCCCCAAACAGCCATATCATCAGACATGATGCCCCATAACTCAGAAAACCATAATGCATAAAAACATGAGATAAATTTGTTCAAACAATCAAGCAGAAAGAGAAAAGGATAAGAAGAATAACACCGGCGCCATCATGGTCTTTCCGGAAACGCCTCAATATGATGGTAGTAACATGTAGGGGTAGATCACGTCCTGCTGCCCCTTGATGATGATGATGTCCTGGTACAGATGTCAGTCCCGGACCGGATGCAATGCTGTCAATTAGACAAATGTCGATGAAGGAACCTCCGTAGATGAAAACATAAATAAAAGATTAGATTACAGTCGCGTTTGTTTGGCAAAAGTTCCCAAATGCAAGCCCGGCAGTTCGGGAATTCGGTCAGTAACACTCCCATTCGCAAAAGACACACCAGCGTGCAACCCGGTCGGCCAGTACCAGTCCTCGCCAGACGCCGCGCTCGCCAATCTTGATCACCGTCTCCCATACGCTGCCGTCCGCCGGCGCATCGGTGAAGGCGTGCGTGCCTGTGTGGGGGCTGAGCATATGCTCGGGCTTCCGCGTCAGACGCAGAATCTTGCCTGATGGAGACTGAATTGCCAGCTTGGCCGGCTTTTCACGTCCGGACATCGACCGGCCGGATGAAATGGCCGACGTCGAGGCAGAAAACTCGTTGGACACCCCGGACACCGTGGAACCGCCCGCGGAACTGGAAACCATACTTAATGCGCTGGCAGGCCGGGTAAAGACCGACGGTGAGACGCGCCCACTGACGCCAGCCTCATTACTGCCGGACGACAAAGCCGGGGAGGCTGGATGTTGGCGGACAGCAAAAACAAAGGTGTTGTTGACCGCCAATTTCGCGCACTGCGGCTGCATGATGTAGAGATCATGTCGCTGAGCGTGAGGGGTCGGATGGCGCAGCACAAAGTCGTACGGCGGGTTCTCACTGCTGTGGAGCATGGGAAGGGCGAGAGCCAACGGATGGGGAATATCGCGACTGGAGTGCATCAATCCCTTCTTGCCGGCGTACACCTTGACTGTGCCCTGTCCTTCGTCCCCGGGCAGGATGGCTTTGACCGTAATTCGCTTCTGTCCGCTGACCCAGTCGGGCTGCACCAGCGCGCGCTTGCGCACAACTTCGCCGCTTTCGAAGAAATCACCATCGGCGTCACGGGCAAACGCTGGGGCTTCCACCTCGGCCGCACATTCCACGTCCGGGGGCACCGAAAGACGGATCTGCATGACTTCCAAGCCATCAATCCGGATGATACTGGTATCAAAATCGGGGAACTGCATATTCAGCTTGAAATAGGGCGGACAGGCCGCCGGCAGCGTCAGTAGAACGTCCGGCGAAATAGGCGGGCAGATGTGCTGCTCCTCAGGAGCAAGAGGAACATGCGTATAGCAAATCTCCAAGGGTCGTGCCAGGAAATACCAGCTTTCGGCCACGGAAGTGTTATTGGTGACAAATTGATTCCGTCGGGGATTCGTAGGGCTGGCAAGCGAACAGTCCATGATGCGCCATTCGCCATCCACAAGCACCGAGTTCCACCAATGGTTGGGTCGCGAGAGGCCGTCCAGGTCAAACATCTCCCCAGGGCTTTTGAGGAACCCATTGATCGCTTCAGCGTGGAGACCGACCGCCGCACACATCTCCTTGACCAGGAAAGCTACTTCCTGGGGGCTGCCTCTTTTCGTCTGCAGCACCCGCCGCAAATCAATGCCGATCTCCTCAACCGGGTCATCCCAGGCGATCTTCTCGCTCACCCAAGTAAAGATGGCGCGCAGCCTCTGGACATCACTCTTGTAAGGTCGGCAGACATACCCATGTGCTAAGCTCGCCGGATTCGTCATTGGGGGAAGACTGTTGACAAAACGCGCGCTCTTGTCCACAAGATTCAAGTTGGCATTGGCAAAGTTGGTTGGCTCACTGATCGGCAAGCCGTCAATGCTTTCATCACCTTCCGCCGTCTCGTAAAGTTCCTCCACCGAATAGATCACAGGATGGTCCATCATTTGGCATCTTTCGGCCCTCTCGATCCTCTCGTTTCGACTGGGCGAGCTCGCGCGGTTCACATCGCGGCGGACTTGCACCCAATCAATGGCGCTGGTGCCAGGCCCCATGTCGCGGGCAGAGTCCCGGCTGGATTGCAGAGCACGGATTGGCGAGATTCCTCTGCCTTTGGTGGGGGACGAAGATCCACCGTTGTGCCCGACTGCGATGCTGCTCCTCGCGTTGGCAGCACCCGTCTTCGCTGACTCGAAAATCTTTTTGAAGAACCCGGGCTTCTTGGCCTTCGGTGTGGAAAGGCCCCCAAACACGGCGGTCGGCTCTTCTGCGCCGCCTTCGCCGGACGACCACGGTATGGCAGACGACGCACCTTGCCGAGAAGTATTATGGCTGGAATGGTACGATATACCGGTTAACGGGGTTTCTGGCCTTGCCACCCGGGAGACATCGCTGAAGCCTCTCGAGCGAAACGTGCCGACTGCCGTGTTTGGTCTCTCGGCTGGAGTGGTACCTCTCCTGGCATAACTACCCGCACTCGTTGCACTGAATCCACCGGCCGAGGGACCACTCATGATGCTTTGACTGGTCCTCTCAGTGCTGCCCGTCTGTGTCGTACTCGTACTGTGCACCCCACTCGAAGAGTTTGTCGTGCTGGACTTATTTGTATACGTCCGATTGAGCAAGTCCCCACGGAGGTCTTGGCCGGATCTTCGTCCTCTCACCAACGGGTACTGAGCGGGGATCGAGTTATGCCGGGCATGGTAGGGTACGTTTCTTGGGGGAGGCGGTGGGGCTTCCTCCTCATCAGAGGGTTGCGCATCCTCCTCGGCCTCCCTTTGGCTCTGCTCCTGCATCTGCCGAAGTCGACTCTCCATCCTCTGTACGTAGTTGTTCAGTTGTGGCGGACCGTCCATGTAGGGATCATGTGCATAGACGCTGTTTCTGTGAGTTTGACTGCCATGATATTGGTACTCCTTGTCTCCATCGAATCCCAGAGAGGTTAGTGGCCGACGGGAGGTCTGCGCGGGCCGAGTCTCACGGAAGCTATCATACGCGTCCGGTGACCACGGGTTGTTGAACATCGGCTGCGGCGACGGCGACTGTCCGCCTCGGGGAAGTCCCATATCCTCCAATGAAGTCATCACGTCTTCCATCGCATCACGAAGGGGCGACGGGGTGTGTCCACGGCCTTCGGAGTGGGCAGCCGGCGATGGCGTCCGTGATATTGTAACAAAACGATCATTCATGTCCAGACGTGTGGGCACGTGTGGCTCGATGGACGGCTGACGATTGACAGCAACTCTGTGTGGTGGTGGGGGTGGCGGGGGCGGCGAGTCTTCTCTCTCGTGCAGCTGAAGTGGAGATATCTCGCGTGAGGAAGGCCGGTGCAGAGATATACTGTGCCTCGGAACCTGAGGAGGCATAAGGTCTTGGTCATCAGGCGGGTATGGGGACACTGCACGAGACGCAGGCCTCTGGATTGCAACTTCCATAGGGGGAAGAGACGGAAGCTGGTAATCGATGGTTGGCGGAGGAGCTGGTGATACTGCACGAGGAGCAGGTCCGGGGCGTGGTGCACTTTGCACAGATGGCATGGAAGGAAGGTGGAGTTCTGGGTCTGGCGGAATGGGCGACACTCCGCGAGAGGGAGGTCTTGACCGGGCCATGTATGTCCCAGGAAGGGTGGACGAAAGTTGGGGATCTGGTTCGGCTGGAGGATGCGGGGACATCGCACGGGATAAAGGCCTAGACCGGGATACGGGCCTCGACAAAGAGCTCTGATGCTTTACAGCGGTTGTTGGGGTGCGTAGCGGCTTCACCTTCCGCGAGGAAAGACTGCCATCTCGGGGTGGAGTTTGCGGAATCGTGCTGGTCACTGGCGATGAAGAGGTCGAGCTCCGGGATAGCTCACCCGAAGGCGCAAGAGCTTCTTTGTGGGCTTGGAATGGCTTTCGGAAGACTGTCTTTTGTTTCTTAGGAGCCGAGGTTGGATTCGTGATCGGCGAGGAGGCAGGTGGTAGCATAGGGCTCGTTGATCGTTGAACTGGTACGAAATCTTCCCTGAGTACTTCGACGAAATTGGAGGGAAACAACCCCATCATGCGCCTGTCACGCCGCAATCGGCCCATCCACCATTGGCCATCACCAGCATTCAGACACTCGATAAGGTCACCCTCCACGAATCCCAGATCGCGTTTTGTTTCTCCGCCCCATGAGTATATTGCCCGACACCAGCAAGGGAATCTGGTCGGGAGCTGCGGTGCGGCGGGGGCCATTGCGGCTGAAGTGACCGAGCACGAGCGGACCGGGATCGACTACTACCACCGTTGAATGCTAGCCAGAGCGGACGTCAGATTGCTGGGGGGGAAACGATCGGAGATGCAATTGACGTGTCAGAAGATTGATATGATGCAAGTATCGAGTTCCGATCGAAGTATCAACGGGGTAGAAAAGTCAAAGGGCGAATATAGCTACAAGCGCACCGTCGCTGAACGAGAGACAATAACGGAAGCATTAAGGACCGGGTAACGGAGCTGTAGACCAACACATGGCAAGAAAGGAAAAACAAAAACAAGGGAAGAGTAGCACGCCGGAACGCGACGAAGGGAGGGGGGGGAAAGGTTCAGCGTGGGATGCGACACGCTTTAGGTTAAAGGGAGGGGGATTTGGGGGAGGGAGGGGGGAACTTGGTTAGTTTAGTGAATGGAGGAGAGCTAGGAAGGGGGGGAGAAAGGAAGAGAGAACGAGAGAGCGAGAGATGGACTTGGAACTGAAGGGAAACTGGACGGTGAGGCCCGATCGATGTTTTGGTGTTTACGTGGGCTCCGTTTCGGGACTAGTTCCTCTCTTATCGATAAGCTTATTACGCACAGTCCCTTTGCTACTTGGAACCAGTGACTACCCTCTTCTTCTGGAGGTTATAGCTATCTCTCTCCCTTTGTAACTCACGTCGCGGAACGATGTCGGTTCAACCTACCAATAAACGAGCTCATTCGAATCGACGATGGTCATACGAAGCCCCAAGGTACTCCGCTTGTGGCTACTAGGGGTCCCCCCTCACCCCCAGGTGAGGATCCATGGTTGTACCTCCGCTACCCGCCGTATCACCCAGAAAATATTCATCCCTGGGTTGCCAATCAAGTCCTGTTTCATCTATAGATTAATACTTGTGGTGCAGTTCAACAACTTTGTACCCACATCAAAGGGGAGCCAGCGTGGAACTTATGAGAAATCAAACCATAGTTTACTCGCCTGCAAAACAGTTGAGGTACTATATAGTATCTGAGTCTCCTTGTGTTGTCGCTTTCGATGGGATTCTTCATGATAGCTAATCCGTTTGTCACTCAGCTCCCAGATCTACCATACTTATTGCAACGGTTGAGCCACACTCTCTCTATATATACACGGCTAAGTCGGCTAAGTTCCTTTTGAATCTAACGTGTCGAGACGAGGACTCCAAAGACATCCCCTGGTATGTGGCCAAAAATCCCTCCAACTCAACTGGTCAGCTGCCGCGGCCCCTTGCTTGGCCGGGGTAATGATGGCCGATACTGTGTGCATCGCATTTCCGAGGAACAGATTGACCGGCCGACGAAGTTTACTGTCGTATCCTGGTTGTCCTGTCTAGAATTCCTTTACTCGATACAAGTCATTGGAAGCGACTTCAGTCTATTACTCGCTAGAGCTTTAGCGGGTAACGTACCAGCAGTAGTCATGTACGGCCTCAATGCCGCTATCTACGCAGTTTATCATCGGCCGTAGTGTCCAGATCTCGGAATAATTGTCAGTTAGTAGATATATATACTATGATGATGTGTAGCACACATTCAATGGTGCAGCAAGTAGCAAGGGAACGAGATGCTAACCATTTCCATGTGTCACCAATCTCGTCCATACCATTCTCTTCGTTACAGTCAATCATTTACTGTATACTATATACATTTAAGTTATCTCTGCTAGTACTACTGTAGCAGCGGAGTAAGATGGAAGGTTGTCATTCCAGCCAGGCTCGAGGATACACGTGCCACCCACAAGTTTACGACCCAACCTGGAACACGCTAGTCTAGTAAATCACCTGGCAGTTTTCTCAACCGGGCGTTAGATTGCGCTTGTCTACAATTAATACTGTACAGCGAAATTTGTCTTCTATTGTGTGACATCAACTAATAGTCCAGGTCTCATGATGCTTACTGGCACAGGTATCCGACCAAAGAAGTTCTTCCTTCGGAAGTATGGGTGGAAGGGTACGCGGTTCGGAAAAGTCTCTGCAGCGTCGACAACAGAACCACCAAGGTTCACGAGAGGCTCACGCCAAGTAACCTTATTGAGACCCGTATCCGGGATGGCTGGTACCAGATGGCTTGTGTGCTACTTCTTATTGACAGTAAGCGTCTTTGTCGATTGTGTTTGCTCGCTCCTGCGTACGGAGGATTGTAAGCTGATAGTCTCGTGGACCATAACGTGACATGATATTCCAGGAAATCAGAGAGCTGACAAATACATCTGAACCTGCTAGATAGGCCTACGTTGTCTTCTGTATCCTTTGCTGAGACATGTTTGGGATTATCCTCCATTGTTAAGGGTTTCCGAAGCCGAGGGATATGCACTATATTTATCGGACCACACATGATCCTTGAGCAAACCACTGCTCCTATGACTAAGAACGCTTGATAAACCCACTGCGAGGCTTTTCGGGAGAGGCTTGGCAATGTCTCACTACCAGATCATAGGGATACCGCCTCTTGGTTCATACTTCCTGCATTGGCTTCTTCTGCAAACAGCCCATTTTCAGCTGTCTAGCCTGACCATGCTGACCGTAATGAGGGATAACAATAGGCTTGAAAGTTGCTGATGGTGTGTAAGATTGACTAACCTCTAGGAATACTTATGAAAATGCCAACTCAGAACAAATTTGGACCGCAATGGCACGAGTGGAACGCAGGGTGGCAGCACGGCTTATGAACCTTATCAATGCGACGCCTCGAGAGGGGCCTCAAATACCTGTCTAGGATCACACATTCTCGGAGGTTAAAGTTCTAGTTTGGTTATTCGGGCGAGTTATTGAACCTTGACATTTGTGGGACACATGTCAAGCATGACCCGCCACTCGAATGGAAGGTTCGGTGGCTGAAGCAAATTTGAGACGATCCTGATTCAACACAAACCCCTCGAGCCCTGCCATCAGAGCTGTCCGAGCACGGTGTGCAAGAGCTCTGCCAGTTAAACTACTCAGTACTAGCCAAATGGTACTCAGCATGTTGGTTATATATTCGAGCATCATGCAGGGTTTCAAACCAGGGGAAGGAGTGCAGAGTCGAGTCGAACCTGCAGGATACTGAACAAGCCGTGAACTAAAACAGTTCATATCCCTAGCAAGGCAAATGAACCGGCCATGCTCGAGAACCGGGTAGATATGGCAGGAAGAATGATCCGTCGGTCAGGCTGCTTCGAGCATGTCATGTCACCACTACTACTCCACCGACTACATTCCAGCAACAATAACCTTGTTTCTCCAGACATCGTTCGCTGACTAGTTTGTCCGAGTTTCGGAAGTTGAATAAGCCAACATACACTTCGGGGGATCTCGTTGGTAGAAAACGCAAGGTACATGCAGGGCAGCAGGGCACGGATCTTGACTGCCTGGTCTTTCGGCATGCGTCTTTCTGCGTCTTTCCCACCGATATCATCGGCGAAGCGAGAAATCCTTCGGCCTGGCCCGTGGAATTTTGTGTCTCATGCCTAGGGAGGAAAGATGTTAGGGGAATCTTCACCCCAGACTTCTTTGTCGTTTGTCACGTGCTCGCTGCAACCTGCTGATCGTCGCCAAATGGGGCGGCGACGACTTTCCTCTGTAGGACTCCTTCCCCCCTAGCCAAACGGACGCTGCTCGCCATCGCAACGCCGTCCCTTGATGCATCTCCAGAACACGGCTGCCTAGTTGTTCGATTACCACCAGAAGCAGGGGTTGAGACACCGATATCCCCTTGATAAACGTTGTGGCCTGACGGTTGAGGTAGCCCCACAGGATGTCGGCCTCATGGACCAGAGTCCCAAGTCTAGAATTTCCAAACAGGGTAACTCCACAGAGTGCCCAGATGGTGTGCTCCTGATCCACCGCCATGGTTGTGTCCATTCACAGCCAGTCCCTGTCAGTATGCGAAGGATCCCCAGAAGCGGAAACTGAAGGATACTACTGGAAGCTCACCAGAACAATTTAGTGCCTGTCAACTAATTGTAACATCACGATTCGCTGCATGTGTTGCAATGCAACCCAATTGAGCTGCTCTGCTGAATTCAACTCTTTACAATCGCCCCCTAGATGCGCCATGGAATGCACCTTAACCAGTTCAGCGCATGCCGTAGTTGAGACACCCTCCCCCACCTAGCTATGGGGGCCTTAAATCTACATGTGTATAAAGTGTGCGTCTCATCGACACGGATGTGGAAGGCCAGATGGACTTTGGTCTGACAACGGCGATTGACCGATCAATAGACATCTTCCGCAAACATGGAGGGTCCATCTCGTGTGTACCTTTTTGGAGACCAGACCAGCGACATCGAAGCTGGCCTGCGCCGTCTGCTCCAAGCGAAGAATAGTACCATTGTCCAGTCCTTTTTCCAGCAATGCTTCCATGCAATTCGTCAAGAGATCGCGAAGCTCCCGCCGTCTCATCGGAAGCTCTTCCCACGCTTCACGAGCATCGTTGATCTCCTTTCCAGGAGTCGTGAATCAGGTCCTAGCCCTGTCCTGGAGAGTGCATTGACATGCATCTACCAATTGGGTTGTTTCATTCAGTAAGTCAATGAGTTACCATCTATACTTGACAAGTCTGACCAGCCTTCAGCTTTTACGGGGATCTTGGACATGACTACCCTACACCCTCCAACAGCCATCTTGTTGGCCTGTGCACTGGTGTTCTGAGCTGCACGGCTGTAAGTTGCGCCAGAAATGTTGGAGAGCTTATTCCAGCTGCAGTGGAATCGGTTGTAATTGCACTGCGACTGGGAATCTGCGTTTTTCGAGTTCGAGAACTGGTGGACTCCGCCGATTCCGAGTCAACATGCTGGTCAGCGTTGGTTTCTGGAATCAGTGAAGCAGAGGCTAGCCACCTGATCGACGAGTACAGTAGTAAGAAGGTGTGCTCTTCCAACTTTAAACCCCCGCATTGTGGGATGCTGACAGATGCAGGCTACTCCGCCTTCTTCGAAACCGTATATCAGCGCGGTAAGCTCTAATGGCGTTACTGTCAGCGCACCACCTACGGTACTTGATGAATTCGTCGAGACCTGCATTTCCAAGAATTACAAGCCAGTGAAGGCCCCTATTCATGGCCCGTACCATGCGCCACATCTGTATGATGATAAGGATATCGACCGCATCCTGCAGCAGTCCTCTGCTCTAGAAGGACTGACCGGCTGTTCACCCGTTATTCCCATCATCTCCAGTAACACTGGAAAGCCGATCAAGGCCAAGTCCATCAAAGATCTCTTCAAGGTCGCACTGGAGGAGATACTCCTACGACGACTATGCTGGGACAAGGTCACGGAGTCCTGCACATCAGTCTGCAAGACCGGCACAAACCACTCTTGCAAATTGTTTCCGATCTCGAGTAGCGCCACTCAAAGTTTGTTCACAGTCCTCAAGAAGGCCGGTGTGAGCATCAGCTTGGAGACTGGGGTAGGAGAGATCGCGACGAACCCAGAAATGCGGAACCTTACTGGCAAGGCAGAAAATTCAAAGATTGCTATCATTGGTATGTCTGGAAGATTTCCTGACTCGGATGGTACGGAGAGCTTCTGGAACCTCCTGTACAAAGGACTCGACGTACATCGCAAAGTCCCCGCAGACCGTTGGGACGTTGATGCCCACGTCGACATGACCGGGTCAAAGAGAAACACAAGCAAAGTGGCTTACGGTTGCTGGATCAACGAACCCGGCCTGTTTGACCCCCGATTCTTCAACATGTCGCCTCGGGAAGCACTCCAAGCAGATCCTGCACAACGTCTTGCGTTGCTTACAGCGTACGAGGCTCTCGAGATGGCTGGCTTCATCCCGGATAGCTCTCCATCGACGCAGAGGGACCGTGTGGGTATTTTCTACGGAATGACCAGTGACGACTACCGTGAGATCAACAGCGGCCAGGACATTGATACCTATTTCATCCCTGGCGGTAACCGAGCATTTACGCCGGGTCGGATAAACTACTACTTCAAATTTAGCGGCCCCAGTGTGAGCGTTGACACAGCGTGCTCGTCTAGTCTTGCTGCTATCCACATGGCTTGCAATTCGATCTGGAGAAATGACTGCGATGCCGCCATCACTGGAGGTGTGAACATTCTGACCAGCCCTGACAACCACGCCGGTCTGGATCGGGGCCATTTCCTGTCCACCACTGGCAACTGTAACACCTTTGATGACGGCGCCGACGGCTACTGTAGAGCGGACGGAGTTGGAAGCATCGTTTTGAAGCGGCTTGAAGATGCCGAGGCCGACAACGACCCGATCCTGGCCGTCATCAACGGTGCTTACACCAACCACTCGGCGGAGGCCGTGTCAATCACTCGTCCCCATGTTGGCGCGCAAGCATTCATCTTCAACAAGCTGCTCAATGATGCGAATATCGACCCTAAGGACGTGAGCTACGTGGAAATGCATGGCACTGGAACTCAAGCAGGTGATGCAGTCGAAATGCAGTCCGTTCTTGACGTCTTCGCACCAGACTACCGCCGGGGTCCCGGTCAATCGCTTCATATCGGTTCTGCCAAGGCAAACATTGGACACGGTGAATCCGCATCAGGAGTGACTGCTCTTGTCAAGGTCCTCCTAATGATGAGAGAGAACATGATTCCTCCTCATTGTGGTATCAAGACCAAGATCAATTCCAATTTCCCGACAGACTTGGCGAAGCGCAATGTTCATATCGCCTTCCAACCCACTCCCTGGAATCGGCCAGCTTCAGGAAAGCGGCGAACTTTCGTCAACAACTTTTCTGCTGCTGGTGGTAACACTGCTCTTCTACTGGAAGATGCTCCCATACCGGAACGCCAAGGGCAGGACCCCAGGTCGTTCCATTTGGTCTCCGTGTCAGCAAGATCCCAGTCTGCATTGAAGAACAACGTCGAAGCTCTGGTGAAGTACATTGACTCTCAGGGCAAGTCCTTTGGTGTGAAAGAGACTGAATTCCTTCCAAACCTGGCGTACACGACCACCGCACGCCGTATCCACCATCCCTTCCGTGTCATTGCGGTTGGAGCGAACCTACAATCACTGCGTGACTCGCTGCATGGTGCTTTGCACCGTGAGACATATACCCCAGTTCCCTCAACGGCTCCTGGTATTGGTTTCGTCTTCACCGGCCAAGGAGCCCAATACTCCGGAATGGGCAAGGAACTCTACCGCAGTTGTTTCCAATTCCGAACCACCATTGAGCATTTTGACTGCATCGCAAGAAGCCAGGGCCTTCCTTCTATCCTTCCTCTTGTCGATGGAAGCGTGGCTGTCGAAGAACTTAGCCCTGTCGTGGTACAAGTGGGAACTACCTGTGTACAAATGGCTCTAGTAAATTACTGGACTGCTCTGGGTGTGAAGCCGGCCTTTATCATCGGACACAGTCTTGGAGACTATGCAGCCCTTAACACGGCCGGTGTTCTATCCACCAGCGATACAATCTATCTTTGTGGCCGGCGTGCTCAGTTGCTGACGAAGGAATGCAAGATTGGGACACATTCGATGCTGGCCATCAAGGCGTCCCTGGCAGAGGTCAAACATTTCCTCAGAGACGAGCTCCACGAAGTCTCTTGTGTTAACGCACCTGCGGAGACCGTCGTCAGCGGCCTTGTCGCTGATATCGACGAGTTGGCTCAGAAATGCTCCACAGAGGGTTTGAAGTCAACCAAGCTCAAGGTTCCTTACGCGTTCCATTCCTCTCAGGTTGATCCTATCTTGGAGGCCTTCGAAGATATTGCCCAAGGTGTCACCTTCCACAAGCCGACAACACCTTTCGTCTCAGCCCTGTTCGGGGAAGTGATCACCGATGCTAACTGGGAGTGTCTCGGCCCCAAGTACCTGCGCGATCATTGCAGAAAGACGGTCAACTTCCTTGGCGGCGTGGAGGCTACGAGGCATGCGAAGCTGACCAATGACAAGACTCTGTGGGTTGAGATCGGCTCACATACCATTTGCTCTGGAATGATCAAAGCAACTCTTGGACCGCAAGTTACAACGGTTGCATCTCTACGCCGCGAAGAAGATACCTGGAAGGTCCTTTCGAACAGTCTTGCGAGCCTTCATCTGGCGGGTATTGATATCAACTGGAAGCAATATCACCAGGACTTTAGCTCCTCTCTCCAGGTCCTCCGCCTCCCAGCCTACAAGTGGGATCTCAAGAACTACTGGATTCCCTATACCAACAACTTCTGCCTGAGCAAGGGCGCTCCAGTTGCGACAGTAGCGGCAGGGCCACAGCATGAGTACCTGACAACCGCGGCTCAGAAGGTCATTGAGACTCGAAGTGATGGAGCAACAGCTACAGTCGTGATAGAGAACGACATTGCTGATCCCGAGCTCAACCGCGTCATTCAAGGCCATAAGGTCAACGGTACTGCTTTGTGTCCCTCAGTAAGTTACCGCTCTTGCCCAACGACTGCGTTAAGATTCGTACTAATCAGGATATAGTCACTATATGCCGACATCTCTCAAACGCTTGCAGAGTATCTCATCAAAAAGTACAAGCCTGAGTACGACGGACTTGGACTGGATGTGTGTGAGGTCACAGTGCCACGACCACTGATTGCGAAAGGCGGACAGCAGCTCTTTAGAGTATCTGCGACAGCGGATTGGGCGGAGAAGAAGACAACCCTTCAGATATATTCAGTCACTGCGGAGGGGAAGAAGACGGCTGACCACGCAACTTGCACTGTCCGATTCTTTGACTGCGCTGCTGCGGAGGCGGAATGGAAACGAGTTTCCTACCTTGTCAAGAGGAGCATTGACCGACTGCATGATATCGCCGAAAATGGTGACGCTCACCGTCTTGGTAGAGGCATGGTTTACAAACTCTTCGCTGCCTTGGTTGATTATGACGACAACTTCAAGTCCATTCGCGAGGTTATTCTTGACAGTGAACAGCACGAAGCGACTGCACGCGTCAAGTTCCAAGCACCACAAGGCAATTTCCACCGAAACCCGTTCTGGATTGACAGTTTTGGACACCTGTCTGGGTTCATCATGAACGCAAGCGATGCAACCGACTCCAAGAACCAGGTCTTTGTCAATCACGGATGGGACTCCATGCGTTGTTTGAAGAAGTTCTCGCCTGATGTCACCTACAGGACTTATGTTAGAATGCAGCCTTGGAAAGACTCCATCTGGGCTGGTGATGTCTACGTTTTCGATGGGGATGATATCGTTGCGGTGTATGGTGCAGTCAAGGTGAGTTCGGCCCGCGCTCAGTTGCATAAGATTCAAGGTGCTAATCATTGGTGTCACAGTTCCAAGCCTTATCACGCAAGATTCTCGATACGGTCCTACCTCCAGTTGGGGCTTCGAAGGGCCCCGCCAGACCAGCCGCTAGCGCTCAGAAGGCGGCCCCTGCTGCTGCTGCCAGCAAGAGTCGTGCTAGCGCCCCGGCCCCGGCGAAGCCTGCTGCTAAGCCCAGCGCCCCAAGCTTGGTCAAACGGGCACTTACCATCCTCGCAGAGGAAGTGGGTCTGTCTGAATCCGAGATTACGGATGATCTGGTCTTCGCAGACTACGGTGTGGACTCCCTTCTTTCGTTGACGGTCACGGGCAGGTATCGTGAAGAGCTGGATATCGATCTCGAATCCTCCATCTTCATCGACCAGCCGACCGTGAAAGACTTCAAGCAGTTCTTGGCCCCAATGAGCCAGGGAGAAGCCAGCGATGGGTCCACCAGTGACCCAGAGTCTAGTAGCTCCTTCAATGGTGGCTCTTCAACAGACGAGTCCAGTGCTGGGTCCCCTGTCAGCTCACCACCAAATGAGAAGGTTACGCAGGTCGAGCAGCATGCTACGATAAAGGAGATTCGCGCCATTTTGGCCGATGAGATTGGTGTTACGGAGGAGGAGCTGAAGGACGATGAGAACTTGGGAGAGATGGGGATGGACTCTCTGCTTTCGCTTACGGTGCTTGGTAGGATCCGTGAGACATTGGATCTGGATCTACCGGGCGAGTTCTTCATCGAGAATCAAACTCTGAATGACGTGGAGGATGCATTGGGCCTCAAACCCAAGGCAGCTCCTGCGCCTGCGCCTGCGCCTGCTCCCGTACCCGCACCCGTGTCCGCGCCCATATTGAAGGAGCCTGTCCCCAACGCAAACTCTACCATCATGGCCCGGGCGAGCCCGCACCCTCGATCAACCTCCATTCTGTTGCAAGGAAACCCGAAAACCGCGACCAAGACCCTGTTCCTGTTCCCTGATGGGTCTGGCTCCGCAACATCGTATGCAACCATTCCCGGAGTGTCCCCGGACGTGTGTGTCTACGGATTGAACTGCCCGTACATGAAGACTCCAGAGAAGCTCAAGTATCCCCTTGCTGAGATGACATTCCCCTATCTGGCCGAGATCCGCCGCAGACAGCCCAAGGGCCCGTACAACTTCGGTGGATGGTCTGCAGGTGGTATTTGCGCCTATGATGCCGCTCGCTACCTAATCCTTGAAGAGGGCGAACAGGTTGACCGATTGCTTCTTCTTGACTCGCCCTTCCCCATTGGCTTAGAGAAGTTGCCCACTCGGCTGTACGGCTTCATCAACTCAATGGGTCTCTTTGGTGAAGGCAACAAGGCTCCCCCGGCCTGGTTGCTCCCTCATTTCCTGGCCTTCATTGATTCCCTCGATACCTACAAGGCCGTCCCCCTCCCCTTTGACGATCCGAAGTGGGCCAAGAAGATGCCAAAGACATTCATGGTCTGGGCCAAGGACGGTATCTGCAGCAAGCCGGATGACCCGTGGCCCGAGCCGGACCCGGACGGCAAGCCGGACACGAGAGAGATGGTCTGGCTCCTCAAGAACCGGACCGACATGGGACCCAACAAGTGGGACACACTCGTCGGGCCCCAAAACGTCGGTGGAATCACTGTGATAGAGGGTGCGAATCATTTCACCATGACTTTGGGACCCAAGGCTAAAGAATTGGGCTCGTTCATTGGCAACGCCATGGCCAATTAAATTGTTATGCATTACGCCTTCCTCCAAGACTCGCGCTAGGACTGACAACACTACCATCCTATTGATGGAACTCGCATAATAATCCACTAATGCTGGTGTTGTACCCCCTCAGGATTCAAGCACACTATTGTTGTGATTGCAATCGGCGAATTCCGTGGTGCTAATGGTCTACCTGGTTCCGGGTTCCTTGGAGTGAAGTGATGATGTTGATGAAAAAGACGAACGATGTGATATACGAACCCCTCATGTCATTTGCTACATCCTTATCGGAGTTAGTTGATATGTCTCATCTACGTACCTATGTTACTTGATTTATGATAGAATGCCAATACGAAAAAAAAGTCATATCAAATCAGTGCCCATGCCCAATTTGTGATAAGAATAGAGCACTCGTAGAATGGAAAATTGGGAGTCTCACATCTCCCATAACCTAGACTAACCGATAATACAAAACCTCTGCAAGTTTAGATGGTGACTAGAACCCCAACAACACTGGCACCGCAATCGGCGATAGGAAACAAAGAAACGTCCCGATGAATGCAAGGTAATCCATCTATTCCATCTCATATCGAGATGAATGCATAGCATGCACAGTATGCATGTGAGCATGGATAGGAGACTAAAGAGGATGGTGGGAACGAATTTGTTTGTATGTTTCATTGGGTTGATTGGTTATCTGGTTGAACTTCTAATGCACTGTAACCCAATCTAGTCACTCCTGGGAGGGACAGAACAAGACCAGGACTTAGCAGCGCGTAAATACTGAGTAAGAAGATGCATATGGTGGACATTCACTCCGCACCTACATACATGATGGGAAGGGAGGAAGAGAGACAAGATGAAGCTGATTTAGAGGATTATTCGGTAATCGGGATGAGATCGGCGAGGTATATGCACTGTATGCTGCGGTGGTCGGGTAAGTTTGATGGAGCAGGTAGATAGGGAGGCGGGGGGAGGTGATAGATAGGATAGATAGGCAGGGAGTAGTATGAACAGGGAAAGAGAACCTGATGCAGAGCCGAAATAGGTATGTATGCATGAATGTATGCAAGGAGGCGAATACGAGGGAGGCCGAACGTCGATTGATGAGTGGCGTCTGGGTCGGTTGGTGGTTGGCTGATGGACTGACGGATCGGTCGAATTGGAAGGAAGAAGTTGGTAGGTAGTGAGAGGTAGGGTGGTATCGATGTATCGAACTAAAGAGGCATTTCGGAGCTGAATCTGAGCGCACTACCGCGACCTGCAAGCGATGAACCATTGTTGATGCCAGGACTCGTGGGCCGGCTATTACCTGCAGTCCATTTGGGGCTTCGCGGCTGTGTGCTGGTTGAGCGAGTGGACGGGCGATTTTTCCGAATTTCCCGAAGTTCTTCTTCCTTCCGGCGGAGCAGATCTTCGCGGGACGTGAGGGTTGCTTCGAGTTCGAGAACCCGCGCGAGATGGCGGGCTTCGTCGTTCTTCGCGTTGAGTTCGCGCAGATGGGTGGCGTCTCCTTCGACCTTCCGTTTCAGGGTTTCGTTCTCGCTGCGCAGTTGGCGAAGCTCGTTGCCTGATTGTGCGGCCACTGTCGAGGCGGTCTGGTACTGTTCGCGCGTGTATTCCGCTTGTCGGGCTTCGTACTCGGCTTTGCGTTCTAGCGATGCATTGTCTTTAGTCAGACGCCGAATGTCTTCCCTTGCTGATTCGAGTTCGGCTGCGCTGCCCCCGCCTGCTTTGAGGGATGCGCGGGCCTCTTCGAGTTCGTGTCGGAGCTGGGTCCGTTCGTCCTTCAATTTCATGAGCTCTTCCTTCTGCTTTTCGACTCGCTGGTCGGATGTGGTCTTAGCTTGGGTGAGACGGTCATGCTCCCGTCGGAGTTTGTGGAAGTCTTTGGTTCTTGTCTCGTAACGGTGCTGCAGCTTTTCCAGCACGTTCTCTCTTTCCTGAAGACGGGCTTGGGCTCCTGCGAGAGCTTTCTGGAGCTTTTCGAGCTCTGCTGCGTGCGAGTTCTGCATCTGAACAAGGTGATTTTCTAGTGTTTGGAGCCCACCGTTTAATGGTTGACTAGGAAATCCAGTTGATTCAGTGGACTGGGTTGGCTCTTGCGTCGGCTCTTCCGTTTTCATTCTCTTGGCTGATTGTTCGACCTCATCTTCTGCCTGCTACCTCGATGTTAGTCTGACGTTTTAGAAACATTTGACATCCTGATCGACTCACGAATGCTCGTTTCTGGGCTTGAGGATTCGTCAGCTGAATGTCGACACCAGGTCGGCTTTGCAGCTCTTGTTGAGACGACTCAAGTTGTTCGGGGCTCAGAATGTGCAAAGGCTCAATGTGAGGTAGAGACCAATGAGCGTTGAAATTATCCGAGACAAGGCAGGAGAGAAGTTCCTCTGCATCCTCCTGTACTCCAAGAGCGTCATCTTGAAGGTCACCAACTACGTCACGGAGACGTATGGAGTATTGCAAGACTGTCCTAAGACGTTCGGGCTCTGACAGACCGGGGAAACAAAGCTCGATATGCTCGCTGGAGTTTGACACTAGAAGACGAACCACCGGAAGCAGATTTCCGTTGCGAGCAAACGTGGTTCGCATGTGTTCCACTGTGGGCGTCTTGCTGCTGAAAGACTTATCTAAAGCGATGATAGCGGCAGGAGGCTTATAGGTCTCCATAACCCCATCATTGCGCGTGGTTTGAATCCCAAAACTCAAGGAATCCTTTACCATGGAAACCTCGATATTCGTGCCCGATCCCATTTCCTGGCGTGGACGGGTATACAACAGGCCCTTGCCCATCAAATAACGTTCAACCACCCGCTGGGTCTTCTCTCCTTGCACCATAATAACCAAATGTATATCGCGCATGCTCGCTGTCTCTAAGAGGTAGCTTAAGAGCAAGAATTTCGCGCTTGAATACTCAGCCCAAGCAGCTTCCCTCCCTAGGTCCGACTCGGAGTTGATGTGTTCCGCAATGTTCAAATCTGGGTGTGTAGAAATGTTGCTCAAACGATCTAGTATATCATGCATCTTCGGCAAAAGCGAATCACGCTACTTGCTAGTCAGTATACAGCAAAGTGAGGGGCGGTGGGCGTCGAACCTGATATTCTGTAGTGTCGGGTTGGGAGCTTGTTACACCGAGAAAATCGCGAATACTCTGGCTTTCGCTGGTCAGGACCCGTTCATAGTCATCTTTGACTCTGGAGTCCATTGGAAGAGGCACAGCAAACTCCGACGGCCCAAGATGGACCGAACCAGGTGTTGGCTCTTCCGCGAAGTGCATTGACAATGCGCTCGGCTGAATCGTCTGAGGAGGTCCTATCTCCTCAGGCTCGACAGGGGGTATTGTAGTATCCTGGTTCGCTTCATTATCTTTAGGATGTGTCGGTTCCTTATCGACCCGAACACTGAGAGGAGCTGTGGTCTCAGGTATAGAAACAGGAGCCGAAGGCTCTATGTCTCCAGCAGAGGATGGCGTCGCACTTGACTCCGGGCCAGGGTTCGCTTTTGCGCGCAATTGTGCATATGCATTCCTGAGCTTTTCCCTCGGTGTGGACCCTTCGAATTGGCTGTATTTCTCCATGGTCTCGGACAGCGACGGTCCTTCCTTCTCTTGAGTATCCATGCTGGGTCTCGATATTGAGCTTATTAATTGGTCGACTAATGAACGAAAACTTGGCGCCGGGGAAATACGAGCTGCTGGAGTGTGCGTACTGTTTACAGCAATTGACTCGGGTACTGTACTCGCACGTCTGAATAGCTGGGGTTCATCAACTAGGCCAGGCGGAGTTTCGGGTATTTCATCAGCTCCTTCGGCCGGGTTGGCGGGCAATAACTCGGGTATGTTCGCCGGCGCAGCGGAAGATTCGTTATGCGGAGTTTCAGGGATCCCTTCAGCGACGTTCGGTGTGCCTGTGTTTCCAGCACGGCAAGGCGTGGTCGGCGTCTCTTCGACTTCGTCCGATACTCTGGGTTCGCGAGGAGTCGAGAAGATAGCAGGGACCTCAGTGGCACGGGCAGTCGGAAGCACTTCCGGGTTAAGTAGGTTGTCAATATCCGACTGCGGCGGGTGACTGGGCACTTCTGTATTAACACTGGAACTCCTCAGAATTCCGCGGGCGTCGTCATCCAGACACAGACTAGGTTCTGGTTCAGTGCTGGGTAGAACAAAGGGAGGGGAGGTTGGGGACTGTCTAGGCGGGGGTTCGTCAGTCGGGGCTTCTGTCTGGGGCTGACTGAAATTGGGACCCAAAGAGTCTCTACAGCGTTCTTGAACACTGGAGCCGGGTGGCGGTGTTGGTGGTAATGGTAGTGGAGTGTTACATCGAACAAATTCCTCTTGGACCTGATCTCTTCGCTTCTTGTCCTCCCAAACTTGCACGGCAACGTCGTTGGCGTTTTCCTTCGGTTCCTGGTATTTCACGGCGGGCAGTTAGACCAATGAAGCTCCCAGTACTTCCAACAAGCCTCCGATGAAGCAAGAAAGGGCAGAAGGTAGCAGACTGGTCACTAAGCTCACCCAAGTAGGCGTCCACGGTCCTTCCCAGTCAATCAGGTACTGCGATTCGGACTCGTCAAGTATACAGTTGATAAGCCACTCGTCTGCACCTAGAGCTTCACTATCGTTGTCTGTCTCGGTGTCGCTTGAATGAACGACGTGCTGATATCTCCACCGTTTCTTTCGTTTGTGGCTTCCGTGGCTTGTATATATCGTAGAAGAGGCCTTGCGCTTGCGCGACATTATACGCAGGCAAAGAGCGTGGCCGAGGTGTAAGAATCCATGGTAGAGTGTTGAAGCTAAAGCGATGGGATGTTTAAAGAAAGGTGAGATAACGGAGGTAGAAGGGTTGGCTGAGGTCGCAGTGTTAAAAAGGGCAGCAATGGTAATGGAAGACGGCGAATCCTCGAAGAGGGGGCCAGGATGAGGGGAGTTTGGAGGGAGTGGATCATAAGATGGATTGAGGAACAGTCCAGCTGGTGATGAAGTCGACGGAACCAACGCGGGTGATCGACCGGCACGTGATGGCTGCTTATCGGCCGGGCCTACGGAGGGCGAATGAATTCAGGCTCGGGAATCCCTCTATAGGGGAGATTGTAGATTTCATCGGGTAACACTGGAGTGAATTAGTCTTTGTTAACAAGACCTGTGGAGAAGGAGGTTGGTTTCAATGTTACAGCTTTTCCGTAGTTCCCCGAAGCGAAGACGGAAAGGATTCCTTTGCACCGGTTGGCATTCTAGACTCGACCAGCGGATGGCCCGGTTCTTGCATGCGCAGAGAGCTTCCTATCTAGAAGCTGGCCTATAGCTATAGGCTGCCCTGTAGAATAGAATAGTTGTACTCTATAGATCTTGCGACTGTTGCTGGGTGGGAAACCCCCATCTCAATTCGGTGGTGGCTTCTACAGTCGGCAGCCCTAAACCTGAGGAACCAAGTCACCCAAGAGGTCAACAAGAATCTCAGTCGACCCGCATTCAGTAAACCTGACGCTAATCCATCGGGCGATATTGGTTATTGAATTATGAATGAATTGGTAGTGAGTAAGTGTGATCTGACTGAGGCCATCTCAATGGCTCACTTCCAACTTCAACTATTAACACACATTTTCAGCCTCAAGTATTAACGATGTAATATTTCTCTTTGTTCCATGTATTACAAAAATACATGATAATGAGTGCTTTGGAATTGTCCAGTAGATGAATCTTTCTCTTCCTAAACCAGGAGACAGTGTTAAACATGGCTCCATTTATGCACGATATCATATACATCATTCCCCTTCGGGTTCCTCATGTTGCAAGTGGACCGCGAGCCTGATAAGTTGAACTCCGGGACATAGGTTGACTTCGACCGCAATACTGAAGTAACTTATTTTATAGTTAGTACGTGCTTATATCTTCCAGGAAACAATGCCATAACGCTAAAGCGCATCTGATCCTGGAAAAGCTACCAAATCTGCTGGAGCGAAAAGCGGAAGGGATAAGCAGCATCACTGCTTCCCGGACACTTATCAGGAATGTGGGGAAAGCTTTGCAGCATTTCTCTACTAAATTCCTCCTCCCCAAATCAACCCTATCCATTCCTTTTCTTTGCGCCGTTGACGAGCACATCAGCCGCGACACCAGCCCAGACCTCAATTTCATTTCCTCGTGGAAGAGCACAGACAATCAACATGGAGTCAGTGCACAACATCCTCGCATCAGCGCGTGCAGCACCCTACGGAAATCTCCTCCCAGCCGGGGATGAGATGTTCCTCTCCGTCGCCAAAGCGGTCCAAAACCACATGAAGAACTACGATGCCTCGCATGACTTTTTCCACATTCTCCGGGTTTTGGCTCTATCCCAAAACATTCTATCCGCAGAGTACAATGCTAGGAGCCTTACTAATGGTGTTCAAACCTCCTACGACCCTACCGTGGTCCTCCTCAGCGCGTAAGTAGCCATAACCATGATCACTACCGTAGCCCACTATCTCATACGACTTGTTCTACCATTCCACACACAACTCTCTTCTAACAACAAAACAAAAGCCTTCTCCACGATGTGAACGATAAGAAATATGCCCCACCAGCTATCGAAGGTCAACAACAGACCTCCAAGGTGACTCTTGTGTTGCAGCAGGCCGGAGCTTCAGCTGCCCTAATCGATCAGGTGGAAGAGGTGGTCAATCACGTTTCGTACTCCACTGAGGTCAAGGATCCAGAGAAGGTGCGCTTGGCTGTGCAGCAACACTCTGAACTTGCCATCGTACAGGATGCGGATCGTATTGATGCCATTGGAGCCATTGGAATTGGGAGGACCTTTACCTTTACGGGAGCCAAGTTGGCTGGAGCTAGTATGCAGAATTCGAGAGAGCATATTGATGAGAAGCTGGAGAAGTTGGAGGGGATGATGAAGGTACGTTTCTGAAGCTGGTACTTATTTCGTTCTTGCTAATGTGGATTATAGACTGGCACTGGTAGACAGATGGCTAGGGACCGTACGGAGAGGTTGACCATTTTTAAGAAGTGGTGGGATGAAGAGACGAGGATGGTGGGTGTCTAAGTGCTTGTTTGTTTTCCATGGTGCTTTTGCATAATTAGATCGTAGAGTATGCATTCAGCTGCGATAAATGTGAGTTGGGGAACTGGAACTGCAGTAGCTCGCTTCCCAGACAAAACGTGTTTGTGGATTTCTTCGAACATCTATCTATGCAGACTCATATCTATCATCTAAATGTATACTCTATCACAATCGAGCGTCTCGATGACCCTCCTGCTCCTTCCACTTATCATAGTCGAAGCCAAGTTGCTCTAGGTTTTTGATAGAGCTTCGCTCCTGGCCCTTCTCCGAAAATACCCGCTTCATCTCAGGCAATCTCTGCCGTATCCACCTTTGCCTCTCACCACAATAATTACACAGCTTCCCAGCACCGTTATTGTCAAGACCTTGCCGGAGTGGCGCCGTCGCCGCCCAGTCATGCAAGAAATTATGGTAGTCCGCATCCTGCGGAAAAGGTAGCAAATGGAATGATGTCCCGTTGCCCTTTTGGGCAATGTTTGCTTCCTCCCAGGCTTTCATTTCCTTCTGTGATGGAAGGCTGAGCCTTCCCGACCAAACACGGGCAAACACCGCCGCCTGGTTCTCGGATAGTGGGAGCGGAATTACCCTCTGTGGAAGTGCAGGTAAGACCAGCGTTGTGTCATAGATATAGAACAGGTGTTGGTACACATTTAGAGTGCGACGGCCATCGGTGATCAGAGGGGGGTTCAATGAAGATAGGAAAGGAAAGGAGTAAAGATAGCCAGTGCAGAAGACGATGGCATCAATGTCCTGCTCGATATGGCCGTTTGCGAAACGGACTGCTCTGTTATGTGTATGTGGCGGTAGGAATTCCACTATTTGTGGAAGATAGATTTTATCCGAAGCAGCAGATGCCAGAGGGGTCTCTGTTCGTTGGGATACCAGCAGTTTCCCCTTGGACACTTCGTTGATCTGATTGCCAATATCTAATCCAGATGCCGAAGTCCCCACAACAATGACCTTCTTGTCTCGAAACGACTCTGCTGAGTCAAAGAGCCTCGAATGAGAGATAATTCCCGGATATGCCGTATTCCAGGTCTGGATTCCAGCAATATCGGGGGTATATGGGACGTCGAAGTGGCCACTAGCAACCACCACCGCATCGTATGAGTACGTTTTCTCTACCTTTTCACGGAGATTCTTTGTCGTGAGAGACCAAGCATGGGGAGCGCCTTCCGTCTTCCGCACATCGACCACCTGCGTCTCGAACTGTATGACGTTCTTAATGTCTTCGGCATACTCGTCCAGATACTTCTTTACGGCGGAATGCTTCGGGAACACCTGTGAGTCCTGCTCAAAAGATTTGTCACCATATCCCATCATCTCTTTGGGGATGTTGGTATCCAGTGATTTATATAGCGGGGACACAAAGACCGCCTCTTGAGGTCGGTCGTGGCCTCCAGTCGGGTACCATAGGGGCTCCTCGAGCGGTTTGTTCGGATCCAGTTGTGGCACATCAGTGGTCAGTTTCTCCTTCAGGATCCCCGGGCAGTAATTCCAGACTCCGCCGGCAGAGCTTCTTTTCTCGAAGACATCGATCCGCTCGAAACATTTCTCGGCAAGGAGATACCTGCGGTTCTCGTCAGTGGCTTGAGCCGAATGACACACTCAGGTGCTTTCCTACTTGACCGCAGCAAGACCCGATGGTCCAGCCCCGATGACAGCTATACGACGAATTGGGCTGGAGAGTGTCATTACTGAGGCAGGCTCCGGGCAGTGAGTGAGTGTTGGAAGGATAGTATGTTTCGTTTCGGAGCCCGAGGGGTCGTCGGAGGCGAGCCGATAAGCTCTTCCCATGACGATTGCATCAATCTCGTGATGAATGCCGTGCTCTTCAACATCTTCTCTAAACAGCTAGCTCTACCAATCAAGCAAGCAGTAACTATCTATTCTATTTCCGATCCTAACTAGGATCCCTACTCATATACACTTGCGCGAGATCGTAAACGGGCGGAGATGCCCAACGTGATAAAGGGCGTACCGACCATGACGTAGATTACCCGCTGAACATCGAACTCCGCGGAGAAAAGCACGGGTAATATTACGCACCGATACGGGGGGAATCTGGGCTCACCTCCGCATCTTTCTATCTTCATTTCTCCCGCGCGTCTTCTAATATCCGATCGACCAACAACAACAACAACCACAATATTGTTGCTCCCTGCATACACCATCCCGCCCGGAGTATGCAAGGCCTATGACTCAGGAATGGATATGCTGATATTACATGCTCATTAAGCGTCTACAGCGATGGACGCTCACGAACAGCAACCTCCGGTCTCCGAACCTCTACGGTCGACGACCCCGATCCCTATCGCGAAGCTTGCACCGGCGCTCGAGAATCTCTCGGACAGCTCCATTCACGCCGTAGTGACCTTGCTATGGCCCTACTCATCATCAACCCGTTCTCTCAGCCTCCTGCTAGCGGAGCCGGACTTTCGCCTTCGACGCACGAATGGACAGGTTAAGGTGGTTTTCCATGGGCTGGTCGCAGAAGAAGTAGCCAAATCGCACGTCGGAATTGGCGATACTGTCTTCATTAGGCTGGCGGGATCGAGATTTGTGGACAATGAGGTGTCTAAACAAACGCCGGGAAGATGCATCGCGTGGGACATTAACTTTGATGATAGCGTTTCTATTGAGGTACTTTTCCGGACTCAGCTAGTAGTGATCAGTTACAGTCCAGTGCTCACCAATGTCAGATCTGGCGTTCTTCCCAACATCTCTCCACCGTGCAAGTAGACCGCCCATCACCCCCGCCGCCCACTATCGACAATGCGATTGAAGAGGCACCCTCTACCCCTCCTGCCAACGGATACCCTCGCCTAGATGGAACGAGTCAGAACGCTAGTCTACAATCGTGGCAGTCACCGGCCTTTGTCGAACGATCGCGCACATCGCTGGGGCATCTTTCGAGCTCCATATTCGACCCATTTGCAGAAGAGGATGGCTTCGTGCCGGGGAAAGGAAGGAAGCGACCAAGGTTTAGCATGCGGGGCAGCGATTGGCGTCTCGTCGATGAACCTGCGAGCCCTGAAGATATCGATATCCCGGGAGATTGGACGGCTATGTTCGACGACGAGGCATGGCTGAGAGCTGAGATCGGCGAGGATGATGTTGCGGAGGATGCGAAGCAATCCCCAAGGCCGTCTGAGACTCGCGACGTTGTACCAGTGCCGGAGGGGCCGTCTGATGGCGCGCAAGCTGAAAGTACCGCTGCCGAATCAGAACAAGTGGCGCCCGAGTTCAGTGCAGAGAAGAAATTGGACGATTCACGATCCGATGCGGAGTTTCTTGTGCCCGGCATTGTGTCGAGGGCCGAGGCTCCAAGCCTGCGAAAGCACGGCATTCCCAATTTCGCTGGTCATCTCCCAATAGACACTCCGCGCCTTCACCCTATACCTTCACCCGGCCTTCCGATTCCTTCACCTTTGGTTAGCACTTCAAACAGCCCCTTTGGATATTTCGGATCCGTGTCAACTACTGGCCAAACTCAGTCTACTCCGCCGACAACTATCAACCAGGAGGCCGTCGATTTGGCCCTTGAGGCTATCTCGGAAACGCCACCAGACCCTACCATCAGGAATCTTGATGAGCATGCAACAACAACGGCTGATGTGGACTCTGAGACTGGATTTGCCCATGCTGTACCCTTACACCAATCGGTCACCGCAAGAGCGCAAGAATCAAAGCCTATGCATGCTCAAGATACTACGTCGTCTGTGCCTCTTGTAGAAACAGCTACTCCGCATGCAGCCTACACTTTAGGTTTTGAAGGTGGAGATACTGAAGGAGCAATGCCACAGGAAGAAGAATGGGCCGAGGTAGAAGAGGATGAGGAAAGGGCTGAAGCGCATGGGCAATTGGAAGCACGGGCCGATTCCAGCATGGTTCCGGAAGAGAGAAGATTCTATCACAGCGTGATGGAAACGAAACAGCACGACTTAGAAGGCGAAGATCACGAATATGAAAGCGCTAGTCAAAGCTCAGTCATCGAGGACGCTCGCTCAGAGGTCTTGAGCGAAGAATACGTTTCCGAAGTAGATGAGCAACCGGACTCTAGAGCAAGACATGACATCGAACTCATCTCCGAAAGTGAGGCAGAATCACCGGCGAAAGCCCATGATTCCGCCAGGAGAGAATATGGATATTACGCCGAAGAGGACGAGGAAGAACTTGATGAGGAGGATGATATTTCAGACGAGGAGGCTGAATCCGAGGGACTAGAGAATGATTATGATGAGGACGGGTATGACGATCGTGTCGACTCTGAACTCGAGTCACAGGGAGATGAGCTGGAGGCCGAATCGCCTCATCCCATCAAGAAGGCAGAACCAGAGGTTATCGTGCTCGACAGCGATAGCGACGAGGAGCCTTCACCGAGCGTGCAAAGGCAGCCCGCTGCAGCACCAGCAGCTACACATACTCGCGAACCCGACGTATCGCCGTCTGCGGATGAAGCATCCAGCTATGGCACATCAGAGTCAGGCGATTACGAAGAATATGAGAGCGAAGAGGTTGATGACGCGGAGGCGGAGGACTACAGTGATGAAGACGGCGAAGAGGCTGGCGATTGGTCTGTGCGAGACAATCAAGAAGCCCAGGAGCGAGAGGTCGAGCCGGTCGAGGTCAACTTGATTCGCCAGAGCCGCGAAACCGAGCGGGATGGAGAATTGCATTCCGACAACCAGGTGCAGGTGGCTCATGAAGCAACCATGGAGGCGCACAGTGAGGACGAGGCAGTCAACGTGGAGCAGGCAGAGCAGGGCCAAGAGAGCGAAGGAGATGTGAATATGGACGACGACCAGCGGGATGCCGAAGATACTGATATCAAGGAGACGGAAGCCGAAGCGGTCCAGGATGAAGAGATGCACGACCTACAAACCCACGATTATCAGGTTACCGATGAACAAGCCCGCGATGAACACGACGAGAAGGCTCACTACGAGCCTGCTCTTGAACGAGAGATGGGACAGGAACATGTCGAGGAGCCAGCTGATACTAGAGGGTCAGAGGCGGTGCACATAGAAGATGAGGCAACAGAAGAGCAGGATCATCTTCCAGAAGGTTATGAAGATTCAAGCCTAATCGAATCCACGGAGGGCGCTGTTCTTAGGGCCCCATCCGAAGGCGCCAAGCAAAGCATTGATATCGACGAACACCCTGATTCCCACATCTACCATGAGGACTTGCGGACAACAGAAGTCTTATCACACGAGGCACATCCTGGGCAGGTCGTATATGCTCAAGAAAACATCCATATCACTCAACATGATGTGACTAGTACCGAACCCATTCTACAGTATCCTGAACCTCCAATCGATCCCGAGCTTTTCAACGCGGGCACTTTCCCGGCAGAAATTAGTAGCGGACAACATGGCGGGGATACATCCCACGAGCAGCTACAGGATGGCGAGGGCGCAGATCTGCCAGAACAAGCTCAGCACATTGATCCTAGCTTGTCGCTAGATGGTGCCTCTCAAAGCTTGAGTCTGCCCGACTCGGCTGCCCATGTTCCCAAGATGCCAATCCTCCCACAAAATCAGCTGGTGACGCCAGAGTCATCTCAGATAAATGGAGTGGACATTCCTTCTGTCCCTGTCCTACCGGTGGGTGCAGCACCGCCAACTCCTGAGCCTACTCAGGAAAGGTCAGATTTCCAGCCGGAAGACGAACCACAACCGACCGTCGAGGTAGTTACAGAAACAACAACGACGGTGGAGACGGACAATCTTCCACCAGACGAAGACGCCAAGTCTGAAGCGAGATCCATCTCTACCGCACCCGAAGAACAGGCAATAGCCGATGACGACGACAAAGGAGCCCACACAACCCACAGCGAAGACGAAGTCCTACTTGTTGGCCATGACCGCAAACACCTTGTCAACCTCAACCGCAACTATCCAGGCCTACGCAGCAAATTCTCCTACTTCGCACCCCTCGCCACCCTCATCGACCACTACAACGCACTGACAGACACCATCTCAATCGTATCCGAAACCCGGCCCGCCATCCGAGCCACAACAGGCAGAAAGGACTACATACTGACCTTCGGTGTGACCGATCCCTCCCTAGCCGGCACAATACTGTACGCGCAGATCTTCCGACCCTACAAAACCGCCCTGCCAAACGTAGAGGAAGGCGACGCAATCCTCCTCCGAAACTTCAAAGTCAAGAGCTTCAAACACTCCATGACCCTGTCCAGCGTCGACAGCAGCGCCTGGGCCGTCTTTAACGGCCCCAACGAAGCCCAAATCGACGGCCCACCCGTCGAATACGGCGCGGAGGAGCAAACCTACGCTACTGATTTGCGCCAATGGTATCACGAAGACGGCATGGCCATGGTAGCCGATTACCAATTACAAGCCTCGATTGAGCAGGAAAGTCGCGAGGCTACTCCCTACAGTACCGGTGGATTCAGCGATTCAGGGAGCGTGAATAACGTAGATGGGCGCGCGGACTCCTCCTTCTCGTCGAGTCGGGGCTCCGGCTCCGGCTCCCGGAGGAGGAAGTCTCATCGTCGGATCACCATCCATGAGTTGCGCGATGGGAGGAGATATGCGGAGGTGGGGTCGCCGAGTAGTAAGGAGGATATACATGAGTTGAGGGATGGGACGGTGTATGCGAATTTTTAATGTCTACCTGCAGGTGTGTATAGGGTTTGGGGTTGTATTTGCAGTGTAGTAGATCTGGATGATTTACGAGTGTATCTATGGGTGTTTGGATTGATGTTTCGTGGCATGTGTGGAATACTCTAGCACGGAAAGTGGTAACCTTCACAAATTAAGCATATAATCAGAGCAACTGTCTCTATTCATAAAATCTTACTCGCACGTCTATACTAGCATACCGTCCGTGTCTTCATAACCCATACAGAATGATAACAATACGGCAAAAACGAAACACCAACCCACCATGAACGCTATCCCCAACCCACACCTCTACTCCACCCTCGACCCTAGTAGTACTTTCTATCCTCTAACTCCCGCTCTACATCTTTGGCCCATTCTCCCCACCCAAAAACTCCAAATTGATCGCCGCCCGAATAAGCTGATTGGCAATAGCCGTCGCCGGCGGCAACCTCAACGCCCCCTCCTTATACTCCGGCCCCGGCCCAGAGCCCAAGACACTCGTGCCCGTCCTTAGCGCCTCCTCCACCTCGGCAAACTCAAACCACCTCGCATCCTCAAGCTCCGGATCATGCTCGAGGTTGATCTTCTCATGCGCAGGATCACTCACCTGCGCAATAGCCCCGATCATCAAGTTGGCCGGGTACGGCCACGGCTGCGACGAGTGGATCACGACGCGCGACAACGTGACGCCGGCTTCTTCCCAAACTTCGCGGCGGACGGCGTCTTCGACAGACTCGGCGGGCTCAATGAACCCCGCCAGGGTGGAGTACCAATTGGGCGGGAAGCGCTTGGAGCGGCCGAGGAGGATGCGTTTGGCGTCTGCTGAGACGACGGCCACGATGATGGTGGGGTCGGTGCGAGGGAAGGAAAGGTTTGATATCGTGGTGCGGGTGTTGCAGGGGGGTCGGGTGGCGGGTTTGCCTTGCTCTACGAGGGCAGCGTCGCTGGGTGGACAGGCGCGTTTGGTCCCGCTGTTTACGGAGATCGTCGGGTGGCCGCAGGTGCCGCAGAAGGTGTTGCGGGTGTTCCAGTCTATCAGGGCGCGGGCTTGGGCGTAGATGGCGGCTTAGAGGGGGGTGTTAGTGATGGTTGTTGTATATGGGGCGGGGTAGGGCTAAGTTATACCTTCACTGGCGGGGAATGACATGATAGTTCTTCCTTGGAGGAAGGTCAGACCCTTGGCTTCCATGTCGCTGATCACGGCCCTGGAGTTGGCTTGCTGCTCTTCGGAGTGGCGCGGAGTCACGTCCAGTGCGAAGTAGGGTGTTCCGGCGTAGATCTTCCAGACAAGACCGTCCTCCTTCTGGGTTTCGTCCAGACCGAGGAAGATTGGGGATGCGGTGGTTTTGCGCGAGTCGTACTCCTTGATGATGTCCTCCTCGGACTTGTCGTAGATAGACTCGGGGACCATCTTGCGGATCTCATCGTATTTGGCATAGTAGGGCTCCGCGGGAGATTTGGTCAACGGCGCGAGGTCCTTCATGAGGACGAAGCGTGTAGAGGGGTGCTTGAGCGCGGCGGAGAGGAAGGCATGGTCTGTGCGGAGGAATGACAGACGGTTCAAGGGGGAGCCTGAATTAACGGGTGATTAGCTGGTCATGAATGGAATTCAGGGGATAACTGAGCCATACTGGAGAAATAGTTCACAGTCTCCCTTCCGAACCGTCGGGCCAGCATGGAGTCGGCTTGTATATGCGGGGGGTTGGGGAGCTGGGAATCGTTGCTCATCATGTACTAAGGATACGGCAATTGCGTAAAGAATAGAATGTATGGTGTAGGATAGGAGGGATAGGATTAGGATACGAAAAAACCAAAATGCTGTATATCCAAAGAGGAGAGATCAGAATTGGACCTCCTCATGGCTCCGATAACCAGCGATTAATCAGCACCCCTCAGATGCCGAGGCGGGTAAGCTCGTTACCATTTGCGCAGGCACCGCCCACCCGGCAATTCCTCCGATACGGTAATACCGTGACGATTGAGGGGCACGAGGGGAGCTCCCCACACACGTGACGTGCGTCATGGCGAGTCACGCTTTCTCCAACTGATTCGTGGATGGCTTCATTTGTTATCTTTCCCCGCCGCATCAGCAGGGAAGCATTCGCTCACCATGGGTCACCTTGTCACTCTTGCAACATGGTGGGTGTCTGAAATGGGGTGTATCGTTGTGAATTTCCACTGACAATTTCCTCTCAGCTCCCTCAACCAGTGGGCCCTCGACTTCGAGGGTAACTGCGAGCGGATCATCGAAAGTATTCGGAAAGCCAAGGCAGCTGGAGCCACGCTCCGAGTTGGTCCGGAGCTTGAGATTACTGGTATTTTCTCTTAGTAGCATTTTGCTTTGGCCAATTGTTGACTTCGCTCTAGGATATGGCTGTCTTGATGCCTTCCTCGAGGGCGATACGTATCTCCACTCGTGGGAGATGTTTGCCCGCATCATCGATCACCCTGACTGCCAAGATATCGTTGTTGATGTCGGTATGCCCGTTCGCCATAGGGACTGCAAGTGGAACTGCCGGTAAGTCATGAGTACCGTACCGCTACTATATTTGGCCGAACTAAGCATTCTTCTAGTGTAATCTTCTACAACCGCAAAATCATTCTCATCCGTCCCAAGATGTGGCTTGCCAATGGTGTGTATCTCTCTCGTGACAGTGACTGGGATCAATGGCTGACATTTGCTTCTTCCACAGATGGAAACTACAGGGAAATGAGACACTTTACGCCCTGGCAGCGACCCCGTGAAGTCGAAGACTACTACTTGGAGCAAATCGTCGGAAAGATCACGGGACAATACAAGGTGCCCTTTGGTGATGCACTCATCAGTACGAGAGATACGTGCTTGGGTCTTGAAACTTGCGAAGAGCTCTTCACTCCTAACGGGTAATGGCCTACGTATCCTCCTGTTTATTAGAAGATGGCTAATGCGTGTACAGCCCTCACATCCCGTATGGTCTCGCTGGTACGTCTATCAGATTCACCTAACGGCACTTTTTTTAACGCATCAACAGGTGTCGAAATCTTCTCCAACTCCTCCGGAAGTCACCACGAATTGAGGAAGCTCGATACCCGTGTCAACCTCATTACCCAGGCCACGAAATTGGTGAGTCTATCAATCACACTCGAGGCGTCATTTCTAACTCTTCTCTAGAGTGGTGGCATCTATCTCTATGCAAACCAACAAGGCTGCGATGGTGATCGACTGTACTACGATGGCTGCGCAATGATTGTGGTCAATGGCAACATTGTGGCCCAGGGTTCACAATTCTCTCTGAATGACGTTGAGGTTGTCACAGCGACTGTTGATATTGAAGAAGTCCGGACCTACCGCTCTAGTGCAAGTCGAGGCATGCAGGCCAGCATGCAGTCGCCTTATGTCCGCCTCGATCTGGACACGAGGTTGTCCCGTCGGGATGAGGATGCTGATCCCGGCTATGCTCCCTCTGAGACTCTCAAACCACGCTATCATGTCCCGGAGGAAGAAATCGCACTTGGTCCGGCTTGCTGGCTTTGGGATTATCTGCGACGGAGCGGTGCTGCAGGATACTTTATCCCTCTCAGCGGAGGTATCGACAGTTGTGCTACTTCTATTATTGTTCACTCGATGTGCAGAGAAGTCGTCAAAGCTGTCCAGGAAGGAAACGAACAGGTCATCAAGGATGTTCGCAGGCTTTGCGCCGAGCCAGCAGACTCCACCTGGCTTCCTACTACGAGCCAGGAGGTTTGCAAGTAAGTTTCCGCTGCTGGACATTCCGAACTATCGAATCCTAACTTATTCCACTAGCCGCATCTTCCATACGAGCTACATGGGCACTCAAAACTCCAGCAAGGAAACCCGGGACCGGGCTAAGCTGCTCGCCGCAGAGATCGGTGCTTACCACACCGACTTCAATTTCGATACTGTGATCACTGCCATGATGAACGTGTTTACTATCGTCACAAACTTCCAACCTAAGTTCAAAGTCCACGGCGGTAGCCGAGCAGAGAATCAAGCATTGCAAAACATCCAAGCCAGATTGCGGATGGTACTTTCATATCTTTTTGCATCGCTGCTACCGACGGTCCGTCAGCGCCCAGGCGGTGGTGGATTGCTTGTTTTGGGCTCGTCCAATGTTGATGGTACGTTTCCAAACTCATACTTCATCTGAGGCAGGATACTAACGGAGCGCAGAATGGTCTGTTCATATCTCAATCCCAGTTTGATACAATAACATCCCAATTCAAATTGAACAAACAACTAACGTTAACAGTCTCCGCGGCTACCTGACTAAGTACGACGCCAGCAGTGCAGATGTACGTCCACATCCCCTCCACAAAGAAGGAATAAGCACCACTAACAATCACAGCTCAACCCGATCGGCTCCATAAGTAAAGTTGACCTGAAGAAATTCATCGCCTGGGCCCGCGACTCCTTCGACCTTCCCATCCTCGACGATTTCCTCACCGCGACTCCCACCGCCGAACTTGAGCCCATCACCGCCACCTACGTGCAATCCGACGAAGCCGACATGGGAGTCACTTACGCCGAGCTCTCGGTCTTCGGATATCTCCGTAAAGTCGCTAAGCTTGGGCCGTGGTCTATGTACGAGCGCCTACTTCACATGTGGGGGAACGAGTACAGCCCTCGCGAGATCTACGAAAAGACGCGCCACTTTTTCTACAATTACTCGATTAATCGCCATAAGATGACGGTCTTGACGCCTAGTTATCATGCTGAACAGTATTCGCCTGAGGATAATAGGCATGATTTGAGGCAATTCTTGTGTATGCTTCCTTTTCCCACGCTTCCCCTTTGTTCTCTTCCCGCTCGCGATATGAGACTCTTGTGAGATGATGGCTAATATAGATATTGGTATGGTATAGATCCCTCGTTCTCATGGGCGTACAAGAAGATGGAAGACAGTGTGCAGTACTGGGAATCGAAGGGTTGGACTACGGGTAAGGCACAGAAGAAGAGCGTGAAGGCCGATTAGAGCATCGGATTAGTACCCTATACTAGTATATCCTTTTGGGAGAGACGAAGACATGTAGAGGGGGCGGTTAGTTATGATAGAAGTTTAACGTGAATACGCAGTAATACACATGTCAAGCACATCCTAGCAAATCCCTAAGGTGTGAGTCCAAAATATGGAGTAATGCAACGATTAACTTGTTAATATGGAGGTAACTCATCGAAAAGGAAAGATGGAAGTCCATAGTAGATTGGTATCAGCATCAATAAGATATAGACATATGATAGGAAATCGTAAAGACAGAATGTGAGTGTGGCAAGGAACATGAATGCTTTTGAAAAGCAACGCCAGCAGTGATAATCAGCGCTAATTGACGACAACGATAAGTAGATCCTTGAGATCACATAGGTATAGTGTGAAAAATAGAAAAAGAAAAGAGAGTGAAACGATAGCAAATCAAAGACTGAACAACAGTCTAATCTCTCCAGAACCAGCCGGATTCCTTTTGATTGGCAGATGAAGAGTCTCCTGTACTGTTCTGTCCATGCGGAGGGTTCAGTACTTCCGTCGTCTCGTTGCTCTCTTCACGACCATCTGAGAATCTCTTTGTCCAGACTGTCTTCTTTTGGGTGGATCCATCGGGGAGTCGGACACGCTCGGTTCTCGTCATGGTTGAGATCACGGTTGGTTGTTCTGTGGTTGTAGTTGATTCCGTCACGGGGGTCGACTGCAGCTTATTCTCGGGAAGCGTATCGGGGACCGTGTTCTCGTTCCGCTTGTCAGATACAGGTTCCAGCCATTTCTCGTCGGTGTCACGGGGTCTCCGTCTCTCCTCCAGCAGCAAGCGCAGTATAGGACTCTCGAACATTTCGGCAATGGCCTTGCTTTCGCGAGCAGCAGCGTCCTCGAAGAAGCGATCGAACATGTCCAGCTCCGTCATAGTTTCGGTTTCGTTCTCGTCTGCTGTTCTCTCGAGAGACACCTCACCGCCATCGCCGCGGTCCGAAGTGTAGTCGTGGAACACAAGCATAGGGTTTGACCGGCCGTCTCTTCCGCTTTCGGAAATCTTCCACTGATCGCCCAAACTGCCCCGTTTCGCTAGACCGTACAGCCAATCTCTCGCGGTTTCCCTCTTTGCCAGCGCAGTGGTGTCCTGATCGAGCATCGGTTTGCCATTTTCCAATCGAATAAGATCTTCGAAAGCTTCACGCCAGTGGGATTCCGTAGCGGGGTTGTTGTTCTCATTCTCAGACGACAGGCTCAATGAGGACATGAGGGACGAAAAGACACCCCTGTCGCGGTGGGAGTGGTACTGATCCTGGCGTTCCAGGTGCAAGGGGGAATATGGGCTGAAGAGGAGGTAGGAGAAGGGCCAACCGAAGGAATTGCTAGCGAAATCCGAAAACATGGAGCGGTGGAAGGGGTGGAAGAAGCGGGAGGAAAAAGGGCTGTCGAACAAGGAGGCCCTGTCGAAGAAATAGTCGAAGAAGTCTCGGTCACTTCTGCGCCATCTAGGATGGTTATCTGCGTACCACTGATCGTCCCAGTCTCTCCAGGAATGCGCCGGATAGCGGTTGTGGCGCTGGTTGTAGTGATCAGAATTGTCCGCCGCACCGGGAGCTGTACCTGGCGCATGCTCGACCCCCTTCGCGTCGCCGCCGCCGTCTCTCCTGCGGAAAGCTTCCTCGTCGAAGATAGCCCAGTGGTCGGGAGAGGGCCGCGAGGACATGGAGGGAATGCCCATCACCGACTGGAGCACGGACGAGACTTGTTCGTCGGCGAAGCGGCGGACAGCGTCCAACGCGGTCTCGTCATCGGGCCATCGGCGGGAATCGGAGGGAGCGGAATTTCTGTTCTGAGAAGAGGTGTCGTCACTGGGCATAGTGAGGATGCAGATGCGGATGCAAATGCAGGGGTTGGATGGGAGAGTGAGTTATCGGTGAGAAATGAGGAAAGAAGAGTAGGTTAATGGAAGAAAGGAGATGGAGAAAGAGAGGATGGAAAGATGGCGAAGGATTGAAGAAGAGCTTCTCGCGATTCCAATCATTAATTGTTGGGGATATCGCCCCACTCGTGCTTCCCAATCACCACGTGATCCCCCGATCTGGTGCTTTCTAGTATTTACTCTCTTCCTTCCTCTAATGCGCACTTCATGAGGCTACGTAGAATTGATTGATTATCACCGACATACTGCTATACTACAGTCACACAGCACTCTGTACCACAATCTGGATACACTAATAATCCGTGTCTTACAGCCGGGATCGTCGGTCCTCCAAGTTCTTCCACGCCTCATCAAAACCCGCTCCGCGGACCCACAGGGGATCCTGGCCAGCAGTCGAATCCATCACTAATAATTCCAATCAGTAACTCTTCCGCTTCCATAAGAAGCATCCGGGATGAACATACCCATATTCGCAATCTTCAACCACATATCGCCCTTAATCTTCAACCCCAACTCCTCAGCCCGGTCTTCGTACGGCCGACATGCTCTCTCACCATTCTTCAAAGCTCGCACCAACTTGGGCAGATGTCCATCATCGCTCGACTGAGCATTGCAATAAGCATAGATCTCCTCCCAGCTCTTCGCTGCCGGGTACCTCGTAATCTCATCTAGATGCAAATCCGCTGCTCCATACGCTACATAGAGCAACAGATCCAGTCGGCCTGTCCACTCCAGAATCCGGGCTTTAGTCACGTCATCCAGATACGGCAATCGGATGATCTTCGACAGGAAGATAGTCGAGTTGACCCCGTGGATGTAGAAGAAATCGAACTTGATCTGTTTATCGGGGCGCTGAGCGGCACTAGTGAAGTATGCTACATCCACATCAGTTAGTCACTGCCAGATACACACACGTAGAGACGTATCAGGAAAGAAGGAATATAACTCACCAACAGTATTGATAATCTCCACCATCTTCTGCTCAATCTGATCTACGGATACCGTAAACTCCGCCGCATATTTGATCATCTCATCTGGAGCCCGTTTCAGCACCCCGTTCTTCATCCGCTGGCTATCATCATACTGTGCAGACCGCGCCAGCTTCTCATCGGCTCGAATTTCCTCCAGGATCTGCAGCATGGACTTCTTCCCTCGTATAGCCACTCCCCCGGCTGCCTTTTCCACAGGCCAGAAGAATAACGGACCGTACCAGTCCTCGTGAACAGCCGCCTGTGCCAGACCTTCAGCTACGATAGCAGGCTGATTGAACTCGAGACCGAATCCGAAGTGAATAAATGGATGGATTAAACCTATCCACAACAATTAGCCATCACTCCCCCCTTGAGTCAATCCAAAATGAGAGACGAAGGGAAAAAGAAAGAAAGATACCTCCAAACAACCTCCCCAGCATGTTCTCAGCCACCTCAGCCCCCGAATCCGAGAGGAGATACTCCCCTAATACCCTCTCCTCCCCCTTCTCCTTCATCTGACGTTGGAAAAACTCCAGATAGTTACTATAATGCTTCCCCAGCCCCAGATACTTCAGGAACCCCTTTTCGTCTCCCATCTGATTCACCACATCCTCATCCACGGGTATCTTGGGCCGCTGATAACTGCTGTTCTTTTCATATGCGGCGCGGATCTGTTGGGGTGTTGCACCGAGGGCATATAGGCTTAGAATATGGTGGGGGATGTGGTCTATACCGTTAGCCAATATCCTCCAAGCACCCTTAGAAAAGTAAGAGATGGGAAAGGGGGGAACATACTATGAAACCCACTCTGATTAAAAAACACATGATGAGATAGCATATCCTCCTGCAGAACTTCACTCGCCACGCGAGCCGACTCCTCGCTCACATTATGCGAGATGATTCCAGGATTTGTTTCAGGCGAGAGGTGGATATTCGTAGATGTTGCCATAATGGCATCGTTCAGAAGAGATCGGGGTATATTAGTAGTGGTAGCAGTTGACGAGTTCATTCTCGGCAGATCGTATGAAGACGCTTTGAAGCGCAATATAGAAGCAGTAGAGGCAGTCCGTCTGAGCACCTGACTCAAAGAAGATGAAGAAAGATAGCGCAGAGTCATCTGGATGATGAAACCTTGCCAACTAAACCCCGGTTCTTATAGAGCACGAGGTAAGCTTAAATCCCTATTAATAACTGAACTGACAAGGCCAGTGCGGTCCGGTCAGTCAGCAACCCAGCCAGCCAGCCATTCAATTCCAGTTACAGTTAGTACGACTACTGTTAGTAGGATAGCTCGTATTCATCGTCACTTGGTACTACTCAGTTAAGTAAGGTAGTATGGATTCTTGGTTCGGAATTGTCGGAGTCGCGAGACCGACGGACGGTTATGTGGATCGACGTCATGCTGATATGGGTCGTTCTTACTGGGGCTTTCGCGTACAAAAGTAAGTGATTCCCTTTCTTTCGTTATTAAGGTTGAGGGGCAAAGCTAATCAGATTCATTGTGATTGGGTATCTATCTAAGTCTCCCACAGGGTTGAAACCAAGGAAATGGTGGCTGGGGAAGCATATCCGAGGTCAAAATGAGTGGTAATTACTTAACTAAATAAGGTCTGCAGAAGTTAGTAAGTGAATAGTAACTGGTGATTGGTGAGTGGCTTGGTCATTCGATCTGGGGTAACTTATTAGTAACGGGAGGGGGTCAAGCTCGGGCTCGGCCTCTGGCTCGGAGTTTGGCGCTATTGCTTACTCTACGTTGCATTGGGATTTGGGTCTAGACTGTAGCTGCTATTATTATATTGTGTGGAGATGATGCTGGGGTGTACTTAGGTGGATCATAAGATGATAGTTTTACAGCTTCATGTCCCGGTGACTCTATTCAAGAATGCACAATTAGGTTCCATTCGTATGTGAAATTACTTTTCACTAATGCATGTCCAATCTAACAGGGTATGTCGTATAGTATAGTAGGTAGTGTCGGTCTGGGTATTAGCTTCACAACTACCGCATGAAATCCTCCAACTCCTTCTTCCGCTTGAGTCGTTCCCGCTCCAGCTTCCGGAACAGCGGGTGATGGCCCACCTTGTCCTTCAGCTGCTTGTTCCGGCTCTTGTTGTACTCGATATACGCCATGTCTTCACCGCCGGCCAGGCCGCTGAGTGTCGCGGCACTGCGCTTGACTGCTCCCTTTCGCTGGCCGCCCGAACGTCCTGAGAAGAGATCGTCCGTGACGTGCTCTACCTCGGCAGAAGTCTCGTTCTGTAACATCACCTCCTGCAGCAGCTCACGGCGTTCGCTGGGCGTGGCGTACGCCAACCCTTCCAGGTTCTCGATGCCTTGCAGGTGAGTAATGACCTTGAACGCGTAGCCCTGGTCGACAAGGAAAGCCTGTCGCTTGGAAGAGTAGAACATTTCATCTGTGTCTTTCGACACAAGCGAGTAGAAGAAGGCGTTGAATCCCTCGTCGTTTCGACGCTTGGCTCGCAGAATCCGACCAAGTCGTTGGGCTTCCTGACGACGGGAACCGTAATGCGACGAGATCTGGATCAGACAGGTGGCTTCCGGCAGATCGAGCGACGTGTCTCCGATCTTGGAGAGGAAGATGGTATTGACTTGTTCATTGTGCTGGAAATTCTCCAAAATGCGCATGCGCTCGTTCTGTGGAGTACCGCCGTAGATATAGGCCTTGTTCAGCTTGAGTGCATACCGCTGAAGAGCGTAAACGTTGTCGGAAAAGACAATGACCTTGTCACCTCGCTTCTCGTGGTAGTCGATCAGGAACTGGCATGCTTGGAATTTCCGAGGGTTCATAATGTATAGAAGAGCAGCCTTTCGTGACTTTTCTCTCATGTACTCCGAGTAGAATTCGGTCGTCATCGGACACCATACCTCGGCGCACTGAACCTTGGCAATGTGCCCTTGCTCGGCCAGTTCCATCCAGTTGGCTTCGTACAACTTGGGACCAATCAGGAAGTTCAGATCCTTGATCTTGTCATCCTCTCGCAGCAGCGTTGCCGTCAATCCCAATTTACTCTGACATGCGATTGCCGATGTGACCTTTCGGAACATCGATGCAGGCACGACGTGCACCTCGTCAAGAATCATCAGACCCCACTCTCGTGACTGAATCCAATCCATCATCTTCTGCGCATCATGCGACCGAGCACGCGTCTGGGACACCATGGAGTAGGTTGACACGATGATACCAGTCGATCGACGGAATTTCTCCTTGTTATCTGAGGTGAAAACCGCAATATCACCGGGATCAATATTGGACCAGCGCAAGAACTCGTTACGCCATTGCACCACAGACATTGAACTGGTACACAAGACAATTGTCCCCTTCTTGATCGTGCAGCCCGCCGTAATACCCACCAACGTTTTTCCGGCACCACAAGGCAAGACGATAATTCCACTCTTCGCACGTCCGTTACCGAACATCTTACTCAAACTCTTTTCTTGGTAGCTTCGAATTCGTGCTGCCGGCTTCAAGTCGATATCCAAGGTGGGATTGATCTCATCATTTCGGAAATCATACTCCTCCAATGCTGGACAGCCCATAGCCTGACAGCGCGCCTTGACGGGTTCGACTGCTTCGTTGGGAATTTCGAAACTGTGCACTTGAACTTCCTCCTCGTCGTCATCGTCGTCGCGAATAGCCAGCAGAATATCGTCCTCTTTACGAGCCTCGCCTGCACCGTCTTCCGCCGGCTTCTGCTCCGAAGCCTGCCTGACACCCGCTGCATCCTTTGTACCCGGAATGACCAGGCCGCCCATTTTCGGGGCTGCCTGCTGAATAATGCCCTCCGTGCCTTTCAATCGCTGAGAACCAATAACTTCATCCTGCAGCAGCATCTGCAACATCGCCGGATCGGTACTTTCCACGAAGAAGCGATTATGTTTCAGCACGACCTTGATCTTTCCGTATGATTTCGTGAAGTCGAGAATGAACGACTTGATGGTATCCGGAAGCGGCGTTTTCGACAATCGATCTAGAAAGTTGATGATATCCTGGGGCAGCAAACCCACCGAGACAGCCGCATACAAACTGTTCCCTGTCAATCGGTATTCGTGCAGATGGGTCGGACGCGACAGCGGTTCGGCGATAGTAGTCAGGAAGTCCTGCGCCTGGGGTGCCAGAGGGGAGAAACTCTCCAAGGTAATAGTTCCCTTAAGAGGATCGATCCAGAGCGGGCGGTTCGCATGATCGGGTTTCAACGATAGCGAGGAAAAGTCCTTGTAACCGAAATCGGGGTCCTGTCTCTGTACGGCGGCGCTCTTCTTGTTGCTAAAAGATTCGAGAGAGAATTTCTCCAAGACACCTTGCAAGCAGAAGATGTCAGCAAGCAGACCCCATATGAACGAGACTCCACTTCTACGCTACCTTTCAGGTTATCATCCTTGACTTCTTCCTCGTAGTCTGAGTATTCATCACTACTACCGATATCCGGCACAGGTGTGGGCCGTTTCGACGCTCTACTTGACCGACCGCTATCCGTAGCTTTGCGTTTGATTGGCATTATGTATGTATGTGGCTTTCTCCCTATTCGACCGGAGTCGAAGGGGATCGTCTAATGTGGTGAAGAGGATGCGGGACGGTGAAAGAAAGTACGCGGGTGCTCCGAAAGGCTACCGGCGCCTGGACGAGCGTGAGGAAATACGGCAGCTCGATAGCTCCAGGGCGTAGACCGAACCGACCAGCTGAAGCAGTGAGGTACAGAAGCTGGTGAGAGCGCGACAAAGATAAAGAGAGAGAGAAGGAATAAGGCAGGGGAGATGATCAAGAACGAGAAGCATGAGATGAGGCTCGGGAATGACAAATTCACGCCTGAGGCAACAAGGCGAGTGGCGATCCGGCAATACAGCACTGTGATTGGCTGGGTGTCACTCACTAAAGGGAACCGGCCGGTTTGACGTAGTCTAATCCTTAGGTAAAGTCCGGAGCTTCCTTACGAGCCCGCGGCTTCGAGTCCACCTCAGTTGAGACAAACCCGTCGAGGCCAGAATAACATTCACAATGAACACGGTATGTTCCAGTCCCTTTGAATTTTATCTATAATGTCTCACTAACAATTGCTTCGTCACTATCTAACAGATCCGATCTACATGGTGAGCGAACCCTACAACAAACACCTGCCTGCTAAGCGTCCACACCACCTGGAACACACATTACTGATGGAAACTCACTCAACCCAACAGGATAGGCTGGGGCACCCTTTGCGTCGGTAAGAAGCAGTTCCCGGAACAAATCCAAGCATCCATAAATCTAACATCGGAATTACAACAGCTGGCGGCGGAGCCTACTACTTTGCTAAGAAATCCATCAACGCCGACCGTCAGACCCGATTCGAAGCGGAAGTGAAGCGCAAGGCGCAGCTGGCTGCGATGGAAGCCGAGCACCGACGCCAGAACGCCCCGAACAATGCCCCGACTCCTAGTCCGACCGAAGATCCGAGCCTGAAGCGCGCCCAGTTAGTGCGTGCCGATGATGTGGCCTCGCCGAGTGCTGAAGCTAGCCATGACCCCGCACCGACTCGTCACGAACCGGAGACAGAAGCTGAGCGGGTGCTGGAGAAGAGTAAATATGAGGCTACGCAGCCTTTCCGGCCTCCGAGGGGAAACCGCTTGTAGGCTGGGAGGTAGTTTGCACATAAGTATGTGAGGTGGAGGCGGTGATGGTAAAACAACAGGGGAAAGAAAAGGCTATGTTGTGGCATTTTCATGTATCATAGTGTGGTGTTCCGAGCTGCAGGGGCTTCTACAGATTAGTATAGTATGACCTGCTTGAATACTCTGATCTGCGGGGTTATCCCTGCCACAGTAGGGGCATAACTATAGTAAGTAGTCCGGGTTCGGTGAAGTGAACGCTTGTCTATGCAGCAGTGCTTTGAAGGAGTAAGTGCTCAATTTCGAGTAATGCTTCGATTGAAATTAAATAGCCATAAAGGCATTGCTCTATAGGTAAAATAGCCACGATCAACCCGGAACAAAAGGCCGTGGAGCATCCACCAATCCGACCAAGAGAGAGATGTCCACATTGATGGGTGTAAGCGGGCTGGCACCAGTCCAAATGCCTTCCCCAATCATGAGACTTTCTTCAACGGGTAAGGATGCAACTATGCATGTGATAACCCCAAGAATAGCAGAAGAAAAAGCAAAGCAAGGAACGCCATCGAAACTCCCGCCCGCCCTAAACTGAGGTATGATATGCATCTCTGCGGAAAATGTCCCGAATCATGTCGCGTGAGTCCTTCATACGGTATGTATGTAAGCAATCGCCCAGCTCCCTTACGCCTTGACTGATGAGCAAATGTTGGTCCCAAAAGAAATAAATCAGTGCGAAAAGTGAAAAATCGCGCGGAATCGAGAAGATTCCTGACGCCAGGTGTGGGTGGTGGTCGTTCGGAAATGAGCCCCGCTAGTGTGTGTGGCAGTCATATCCGGTCGGATTTAGGTGACCACTGCTTAGCGCGCATGGAAGCATAGCGGTGGGTGCGGCCTATCATGGATTATTAATATCAGGTGTTTGGTTGTGGAGTTTTTCCAGGGAGAGAAGGGCTTACTTGTTGTGATTGGGGTATCCATTGTTCTTTTCGCGAGAACTCTCCAGTGCTGGAGGTACAAAGGGAAGCACCACGGCCGTGAATAGACAGGAGCTGGTGATGAAGCGAGAAGTGCGAGTGTCTGGCCGAGGACGGCGGACGGAAAAGTGACGGATGGTTGGGCGGGCGAGTTGCACAGCGATAGACATAGTGAACGGTGTTGCGATTGAAAGGGGGAGAGAGGGGTGCAGTAGATTGAAAAGATGTGTCTCGAACTAAATATTGCCAGAACCAGTATTCGATCAAGAGAGTGGGTTGTCCAGTAAAGTAATAAGTAGACAGGAGGAAGCGGCGCCTTTTTCAAGGGGGAAGTAAGTTCAACAGGTAAGCGTTCTTAGTTGCAGAACTTCAGGTCAATGCAGGGACAGAGAGGCAAAGGTTAATACTAATGATAAACAGGTTGCACGACTGCCGTGCGGCAATACGGACCTACTTATAATAATTATGGTATACGACTCTATGGAGGCTTGTTAGAGGCAAATGGAAGATCAGCCTACATCTCAGCCGAACGGACCGTGTTACCCTGTGGGGGGGTGTGGTTGTCTTGCGGGGGTTCAAAAGGCCCACAGGCCCATGATGATGCTAGGTTAGTCCCTCAACTAATGCTGATTGATGATGACACTGGGTTTGGGACCTTGAGAACCTTGAGGGATAAACGAAAAGCGCGCGGAAAAACGGTCCCGAAACATGTAGCAATCAGCTGGAGATCGGATAGCATGCCAGGCAGTTGTCGATTCTAGTGTCTGGTCTATGTTCATACACATCACTCCATACCTGTCTCCTGCATTCCACCCTCAATGGATGCTGCATGGACCACAAGAGTTATGTACGCACCCACTGATGGACAGTCGCATTGACCGAATGGGCCTTGATGACCCAGTTTCAACACTGTTGAACTGACTCACAGGATTGAAGGTGAGAACTCACGCCATCGAGGGGCAGCTGATCGCGATTTCCGGCCGAAAGAAGCAGCGGGGCTCAATGACGGACCGGCCAGGCACGCGGGCGGCGATCGCGGTAGTTGATTAGTACGTTCGTAGTTGTTGTTGCTCAGGCGCGGTTGGGCATGGCGTGCCAGGCTGCAACTCCCTCCAACTTGTGGTTCCCGGCCCGCTGGATTTAAGGTCTGGTCACTCGCTTGTCTGATGGCGGGACTTGAGTATCCGGCCTGGCGGTGTGTGGTTTGTAGATGTACATTGGCTGCAGGGTGAATGAAGACAGACTGGTTGAGTGACTGCGGTTGATCCATGACAGGACCTAGACGTAACTATTTGTGTACGTACACACGGAGCACGAGCCCAAGCTGATCAGGGGAAGCTAGGTATCTACCTAGACCATCCCATTGTTTAGGAGGGGAGATTAAAGGGGAGGGAAACACGAAGCCGATTTGCATTCTGCTGCATCGATCATGCCACCCCCCACGACGCCTGAGGCCTCCAATCACAACTGACGTCACCGCTGTACCCCCGCAAATCCTGACTCAGCTATTAGTCAAGCTTCGCTGCCTCCCTTTTCACTGCTGGATGCATCCACAGTATGGAATAGCCATGAGTAGAACTCGGAATATTGTACTTCAGGATATTATGTAATATCGTGATTTCTCACAAACTCGCGGTAAGGCATGTCTGCATAAATTTCTGGACAATGACAGAGTGGTATCCGTTGTCACTCGAATCATCATGTATTGACAGGTTCACTTACTATTCTGAAGTTAATATAAATAAGCTTCACGGAGATACTATTAATGGTATCTAACACATGGCTCCACATAGATTTCACTCTTAAGCAGTCTCTATAATGGTGCTCTATTATTCTTCGGTACCCTCACTAGATAACGCTGCAGCTACTGAAATAGTATACTGTGTGCATGTTCCAATCCCGCTGCAGGGGGATCAGTGATGGGAGATGGAAGACATCCGTGGGTACCGAACTAAGGGGCTCGGGCCTTGATGCTTCTCCATCTGCACGTAGAGTGGATTTCGATGTCTCTTATCGTATGGAGTACTTTCAGTAACACCAATTAGGGCACTATGTGTCACTCAAGCCGTGATGCCCAATGCTTTTACAGAATAACAGTACTGTCATGTGACTCATAACTTGATCATAGATCATGCAGTGGTTCATTGGGCCAAATTCGCACAATTAAGAAAAACTATTGACTTTACATGAAGCCTGGTGGATAATATCGATCTAGAAACAGAGTATGCAACGAGAAGGATGAGTTGATTGCCGACATGGTTTCTTCAACACACCATTCACTGTCACCCTCACCGCCTGCGTCGCAGTATATAGCTAGCTAGTCATGGTCTCCTAGATGCAGCTATATCATGGCACTGAAGTAGGTCAATATACGCAGTCATTATGGGAGACGAACGACCTGTCACTGGTATCAGTCGCAAAGAAGATTACATGAGCCCTCATGATAAGTATTCATACGATCATAGCGATGAAAGCGACAGCGACGTTGGTGTAACCTGGTCTCCTGGTGACGGAATTTGTCCATCAACAGCAGAGTTCCATCATTGCTGTCGGTCAAAGTTCGATGAATGGAGGCATGCAATCTCAATACCCCCAAACGACACACTCTCTTTCTCCTTCTTCTTAGAGACCTTCTTAAGCCTCCTCAAACATGTCCCGCCGTTTTTACACGGCCTCCCGGAAGATGTTAATATTACAGGGCGCAGGAGAACGTTTCTTATGCTTAGATCCTCTCTACAGATACGATCAACAGACGATCCAGACTGTGACCAACCTTACAAGCTGATTGATTATCTTCAATGCCTCGGATCTCCAAGGCTTGCCGGCAAGTCTATAAGCTGAAGGCTGAGACGCAATTACATACTATCCTTCCTTTTCATACCGAGCCCTTCCGCTCTGGGTATTTTACAAATATTGTTTTAGCTTGGTCGTACATTGTCTCCTGCCGCTGGGCTGAAATATTCCAGCAAGCAGGTTGGAACAGCCAGATACTTCATGAAAATGGTGTGCAGATCGAAGACTCTTTCTGGCATCTTGTCACGCAAGGCTGCTGGATAGCACTAGCGAAAAAAGAAACAGCAAAGTTCTATTCTCCATGGATGTTGGCCAGTGAGGGGACTAAAAAAGACCGGTAAATCTGTTATGCCAGTTTATCATCATTGCTGTGGACTAACAAGTCAGAAGCAATTGAGTGCCGGTCACACCAAACTCGTCTCTAGCTTTCGATATCCTCGTGAACTTCTGCCTATCAGAAGGACTGGAGGTAGAATTGGTCACCGGGATTGCTTCTATTTTATTATTGACATCGCGGAATGCACCCTCGCCTAGCTTCGCTCCTCCTGTAGTGGTTCCGATTGCTTCTGCTGTCTCTCCACCAAGGGCAAAGGACGTGGTCTTACGTGATCTTTACCGATCTATCGATAAGTTTCTCACTTTAAGCTCCACGCAAGACGCTTTGGACTCATTAATATGCAGTTCTTTCTTTGATCCGTCTATTCCCTGTAATTTCATAGGAGCTGCATCCTTGGGTGTGAGGAAAGCCCTCTCAACGGCGGACGAGATTGATAACCAACAGCCTAACAGCCATGTATTGTCGATCAATTCTTCCGAAGTGAGCTTGACAACGTGGTCGAAGAACCTAAGCATCGCGAGCTTAGCGTTGAGAACATTTTGCGGTGGATTAATGAAACTGAAAATCATTGACTCTAGCACCAAATTCTACGTCAACTCAATCAAGTTACACTCCGTTGCACTATCTCAAACCGTCAAACATGAGCTAAAAACCGGAGCTCCGTCAGATGCTTACTATCTTGGCGGACTATCCTCCATATATCAAATTTATTTCGGTCGGCTAGGGCATATAGGAATTAGAGCACTAAACCGGTCGATGTTGAAGCTTTGAATGTGGTGAGCTGAATACGCGCGACGCGAAAAACGCGATCTCACCCCCCGAAATTAGCGCAATTACACAGATCCTTTGTATAGCGCAGCAATAACCCCTGAACCTCGATGACTGATTTTCCCAAAAAGGTCCTACCTCCGGTTTTCCCTTCGTACGAACCCACTGATATATGCTTCCTCCACGCTATGAAGCTTTGCGAGAGCTGTATTAGAACGATCCAGGAGACTCTCCACCGTGGGGCGGGTGGATCTACTCAGCACGAGCTGCTCCAGTATCCCCAATTACTCAAAGCATCTTGCTGGTTATGCAAGAAACTGGTTGCCTGGGTCGAAGACACTCATCCTATGCTATTCAAGAAATGGCGAGGGCTGCCTATGACATTCGTCTTCAACCAATCTGTTGTCGCCATACGAGATGGCCCCGGGCATTTGCTCCCCTGTGAGATAGTGGCCATGCCTCGGTTCCGAGGCGAGGTCATCGATAGCGATGAATGCGTGATTAATTTGGACTTTATGTCAGAAGAAGGTGAGATGTAGTTTTAGAGGACTTGCCCGGAGTAAAGCCGGAACTAATCTGTCGAGGGCAGAACTCCGTCGTGCCATGAACATTGAAACGAACCAGCAATCCACTACCGCGGACCTTAACCTCATCCAAACCTGGGTCGATAATTGTACTCAAAATCATCACAGGTGTATCAACCTATCGGCAGAATTATGGTATCCGACCCGATTACTGCACCTGGCCTCCGATGGCCAGGTTAAGCTGGTCATAACCAAAAGCACATGCCCCAAGGGTCCGTATGTGACACTCAGTCATCGATGGCAACAAAATGCACATCGATTTACTATGCTACTGTCCTCGACCATCCAGCAAATGCAGCAAGGAATTAACGTCCGGCGCTTGCCTCGGACGTTCCAGGACGCGATCCTGTTAACCCGTCGCCTGGGTGTGGAGTATCTATGGATTGATTCTCTATGCATCATCCAAGATCCTGGGGATCAGTCGGACTGGAACCGAGAGTCCATACTCATGGAGAAAGTGTACTCGCACGCATTCGTGAATATTTCCGCGACTTTGGCTGAGAATGGCACCGAGGGACTCCTTGTTCCTCGCCAGTCGCATGCCTTTTCCGCTCCGCCTGGAATTGAAGTAAATGCTCACGGAAAGATCGAGACGCAGTACATCATTAATAGCGATTTTTGGCACGACCAAGTAAGCAATGCGCCGCTTAACAAGAGAGGCTGGGTATTCCAAGAACGGTTCCTAGCACGCAGGGTCATCCATTTCGGACCGCGACAGATAGGATGGGAGTGTCAACAAATGCAAGCCCTGGAATCCTTCCCTAGAGGATTACCCCCTACCTTGACCGTCGGTTCCAGGAGTAAGCCGGCGATCTATGAGGCATTACGAGAACTATCCCAAGTCGCCTTGGCGAGTCCGCAGGCTGCTCAGAACGCGCCGCGTTTTCCAACCGCTGATCTCCAATTTGCCGAGTGGTGGAATAGTACAATGGAAGACTATTCACGATGCAGATTCACCTTTGTGAAAGATAAACTGGTCGCGTTGGCGGGAGTGGCAAAATATGTCGCGAGGAATCGGCCAGCTGATCGGTATCTAGCGGGTATGTGGCAGAGTTGTTTGGCGCATAGTTTGGCTTGGTTCCGCATCCACCAGCGCGGACGCGTATATTCCAACCGTGACTACATTGACTGTCGTGTACCAAGCTGGTCCTGGGCATCTTTCGATGGTGAGATATGCTTTCCGTCAATAGTACAGGGTTCTGTGCATCAATTCATGAAGGTTGTCCAGTTGGCTGAGGACCCGCTGCTTGTCGAGCGTTCTTGCAATGTGGATTTCGATACATCGCACCACAGCTTTATCAAGATAGAAGGCTTCCTCTTACCAGTGCACATTAGTTGGTCAGAAGGAACGATCGAAAGTCTTGGCATAGTTGGTCATGAGCTTCGCTTCAGTGAAAACGAGGGACCAGAGGGTACACATATTGACCTAGAACAGGACGATTGGCTTAGAGAGATGGCAGACACTGGACATTTATACCTGGTGCCTTTATACGCCTCCACCTATTCCATGCAAGCAATGCTACTAGCACGTGTAGGAGACACGGGTCATGATGTCTACCGTCGAGTTGGGGCAATCGAGATTGTCATCGCGGCGGTATCGACAGACTTGTACCAGGGCATGAATGAGGAAAAAGAGATGGGAGAAGGGGACATCGATCACCCAGATGTTCCATTGATTCTGAATCAGAATGCCCTGCGTCTGCTAAAGTTTACCATGGATACCAATGAAAATTCCAGCGCGAGGAAGTTTCGTTCTGTGATTGAGATTATTTAACCAGGCAATCCTAGTGGCAGACCACCCCCTGAACTATACCTATGAGATCAAATTTCATTGGCAGAGGAGTAACACGCCATAGCTTTCAGGAATACTTAGACGAATACCAGCTGTTCTAGGCTAGAGTGGCGGGCGTAATCTGACTTCTGTACCCTAACTGTGACATGACATAACCTTCTGCACCTGGGCACACAATCCCATCCCCACATGCGGTAAGAAAAGCTGTATCACTTTGGATTCAATAACATATTCTATTCTCCATTGGATTTCGATGTTCTAGGCCTAAATAACTGCACTGATTGCACATAACCCAGAAAAGGCTGGACGATAAGGTACGATTACCGCTCGAGGTACGAATGTCTGGGCTGATATTGAGGGTGTCTTTAGCTTATCAGTAACTCACCTGGTAAATGCATCATCCTGGAAGACATGAAACAGAAGGGTTTAAATCTCTACTGCAATATTTACGGAGTACTGCCTGTTTTCCTTGCATAAGGCTATACCATCTTTGTATTAGCCGCCAGGCGCAGCCGGCTATCTCTACTCATTGGGGAAGATGACAAGGCTGACAACCAATTCATAACCAGATCATACGGACGGAAGACATGAACAGATAAAAGGGGGCATTCAAGCCCCGACCTCGTCTGAGCGCTTTTTGACTTCAATTGTCAATGTTCCCCGCAACAAAATGCGCTGGGGTCGACGGTATTCGCGCGTCCACAGCGACCAGAACTCTGCCCATGCAGAGCCCATAGAGCTGGAAACTGGCAACCCAGGCGAGTCCGAGGAACAGGAGATGGGGACCCGACAAGCACCAGGGTTTAAGTTAGTACCACAATCGGACGAGCTTGACACTGACAAACCTATCCTTGAAACAACCGCAATTGATCCTCGCTCAACTACCTCCCCTCAAAAGCGCTGGTCTGACCCGGTCTGGCTGTGTGTCTACGGGAATACTGCCATTCTATTGATCAACGTAATATTCACCATCGCTGCTGCCTCGTGGGCAGCCTCTCACGATGGAGATGTGACGTTTGGATCGAATACTCTGTACGAGGGATCCTGCACCCGGATCAAAAAAATGAAGATTGGGATCCATTTGATCATCAACGTCTTCAGTGTCATCCTGACGGCAACCAGCAGCTTTTCCTGTCATATTTTGATGTCGCCCTCCCGAGCCGACGTGGATCGCGCCCATTCCGAGCGCCGCTGGCTCACCATTGCTGTGTTTTCCATGCGAAACTTCAAAAACCTCCGGTGGCCCCATCGAATGCTGTGGATTCTATTGACCGGGACCTCACTCATTGTACAACTCATGTAAGTCAATACTTACCTGAACATAAGACTGATATCGACAAAGACACAGCCCTTCCCAGGAGCGTTTGTCTGACTGGCTTAGTTATAACTCTGTGATCTATTCCTCCATCAATGCGAATTCCTACGCCGCGCTGATTGCCTCGCATGAATTTGTCTCGAACACCAGCATTCCCACCTCTGATTTTGAAGCTCAGTCTTGTTACCCTGTGGTCGATCTCGCATGGAATATTTCGGATCTCCGAGCAAGCATACTTAATGGAGAATTTGAGGTTCTAGACACCCAGTCATGCATTGAAGCATACGCCGTGGAGTACCTTTCTGATCGACGAACGGTTATTGCGGTTCCCTCCGAATCAATGACTGCCAACAGCACGAGGTTGTACATGAGCGGATATGGATGGCCTGCCAGGATCTACGGCGTGAATAACCGTTCCAACGTGATACAGGGGAGTGGATTGATCGGGAATTACTTCGACTCTTCTGGTTATCACCCTGGCGACGCATTTAGTTGGATTTGTAGCTGGAGCGATGCCTACAAGAACTGCACCAAGGAGACTGCGCAAGCTATGAGTCCATGGACGATACTTGGGGAGACGTGGACTCCCTCCACTTCGATACAACAGTCCAATAAAACCTCATTAGATTGGATGGAAGTGGCCTGGACATCAGATGCAGATCTTGAATTAGATTGGAGTGGACTTAACAAGACTGAAAGGACAGATCTGAAGACTAAACTCGAGGCCAACCCAACGCAGGAACAGCTGAAGGCTTATATTCGCCACCGTGATTGGAGCAACACGACATTTGCAGACAGCGTGACGATTACTTCCTCTTGCACAAATGAGGATTGGTATAAATATTTCATGTATGGGGCTCCAGACCGGAATTTAGCCTTTCCAATTGAGTATTGCCTGAGCCAAAAGACGGGCGATCAATGTCGGCTGCTCTATCATATGCCCATTGGGGTAGTTATGATTATATGCATTCTCCTCAAAGTGGTCTGTTTATTTTGTCTGGTGAACATCGACCGCCGCACCCGTTTCCTGACAGTTGGCGATGCCGTGTCTTCGTATCTGCAAAACCCAGATCCTTTGACCAAGGGCTGGTGTATGCTTTCCAAATCGACGGTAAAGCAGAGCGAAGAATGTCCCTGGGGTCCCAGCTGCGACCACGAGGGCAAAAGCCAGCCGCTCCCACCCCCAGCCCATCCCGAGAAACCCTCCATCAAGATAAGACAGTGGTCGAAGGCGTGTAACACTTGGTTCTCACTGGGCGCACTTGTTATCCTGGTGATTTACATCGCCTTAACGCAGACCTTGCCCGAATACGCTCAAGCAGCAGCACAGAACGAAGCATATGAGGACGTCCCGATCTCACAGATCTGGAAGATCAGAGGCTTTGGCTCCGTGCAGTCTGATGCCCTACTCACAAACCTGGCTACAACCTACGTGGGCATGGAGCTGCTCGCTAATACCCCACAATTTTTAGTATCATTACTATACTTCCTGTTCAATGACTCTCTGACCCGCATGCTTCACGCTGCCGACTACAACAGCTATGCGGTCTCGCGCCGGCCACTACGGGTCTCCTTTCCCCAGGGCGAGCAGCGATCCACATTCTACCTGTCCATCCCGTACCGTTACTGCCTGCCGCTCCTGCTCACCTTCACGCTGATTCACTGGTTCATCTCGGAAGGAATATTCTACGTACAGATCCTCCCATATGACCTTGCTGGCAAGCCGCTTTCCTCCTCCGTCCTGATGACGTGCGGAATATCAACCATCCCTCTCGAGGTAGCGATGTTTCTCTCCATAGCCACCTTGCTGGGGATCTGGTTACTTTCGGCCCGGAGATTCAAATGTGATAGCATGCCCTTTGCAATTGGATGTAGTGTTGCGATCAGCGCCGCGTGTCACCCGCCTTCAAATGACCCAGATGCAGCTTTCAAACCAGTGATGTGGGGTGCCTTGATGGATGATACTGATGGAGCTACTGATGTGCCAGCTCAGCACTGCTGCTTTACATCCTTGGGTGTGAAGGAACCCCAGGGAGACCGTATGTATAGTTGATAGCAAGTAGTAGCAATCACTCATCCCCTTTCTTAATTATATATATATTGAAGGAATTCTTTCTATATATCTAAACAGCTATCAGATCTGGGTACTAGGTCTAAAATAGCGGCTGCTTGATAAAGCAAAAAACTTGCTAGTATATAGGTATTTACGACTATACTTATATGAATGTATATGTCGCTTTCATAGAATTTCGTTTATCTACTTTCGGCTGCCAGAATTTTCTCTACGTAGTAGACTTTTTACGGGTTGACTTTAGCCCCGGACGCCCTGTGACGATTCTTCCGGGGCAATATGTGGACCTGTGGATGCCATCGCTCAATCCATGGTCATGTCAGAAGCTTGCTTGTAGTCTCATTTGCCAACTGAAGGAGACCTTTATAGCGCGAACGCTTAGATGCTTGTCTAGCTGCATTTATTACACGATTTTACGGGTTAAAGCAGTATAATAACCAGTTAATCGTTGTAGAAAGGCAGAATAACCAGCTCGTAGAATAGTTAGAATGAATATTAGTAGGGTAAGCGTTCTATTTAATATATACTAAGACTAAGAAGTAATAGAAGATAGTGAGCGCCTGTTACTTATAATAGGCAATGTAGGGGAAGCGACAGTTTATGAAAGCGGATAGACAAGATTTAGACTATTTAAGAGGTAATAGAAGCAATACTAGAGCGTGTAGATGTCGTTTAATACCACCAGGTGCTAAATCAGGCTAGCAGCAGGTAAAGTACGCGACCCTAGGTCTCTGCGCGGCTGGACGTTACATAGGAAGTGACGGTCACTTTGTGACTCCTGTGTTATAGGGACGTTCGATTATATTCTAGAGAGTAGGGATTGGATTCTAGTACCAGATCAGAAGCCATAAGGGTAATCAAGATAGATCCTCCCAGTTAAAGTATCCCTGCCAAGATCCATTACTTTGGCCAGAGAGACTCCCGCAGCTCACCAAAAAGGGCATTGATACTCTGACCATGATAGCTAAAGCATTCATCGCTCCAGGCCATCTGAGAGGACGCGTCTTCTCTCGTTAATTCATCTGGAGCCAGCGATGCGTATGAATTCAGGGGCACCTGATCATCTTTAGTTTGCGCAGTTTCTGAAAAGATCTGAGCGGTGTCCTTAATCCCTTCTTTGGCGTGTTGTCTGTGGGGAGCCTGGACAATCTTCAATAGGAGCTGGGTCGCTCGACTGATTCCACTGCTAGGCTGACCCGGCCGTGTGTGTTTATCTTTCAGAAGGTGACAAATCTCAGTGACCTCGCATCTCCGGCGCTCTGAATCAGGAAGCCCTGGATGCGCCACGACGTCTATTGTCAGGACGAGCATGGCGTTGAATGTGTGTTGATCCACACTTTGCGAGCGACCAAATATACCAAGTCGGCCGTGGGGCATCACCTGACGTATCCTCAAGAGTTTTTCCGCACACTCTATACCGGTTTTATACGAAGCTGCAAACATCGGATCGGAGATTCCCTGAGAGACAAACGGCCGATGTAGGCGGCCAAGGCGGGAATAAATGCCATACAGAAGTACAGCGCGCTGCTGCGTGACGTACGGCCGCTCCTGGACTAATTCTGCAAGTTTCGCCTCGTTCCCTTCTAGTTGGAAAAACCACGGGAGCTCATCCAGGAAAGACATGTATCTGTTGCTGATATCTAGTATGAGGGGATATATGGGTTGTAGAGGGCGCGTAGTCTTCGCCTGCTGGATCGTGTCCATGGCTTCGCGACAGAGATGGGCGAATTTGATGCGATAACGAAAGAATGACATCGAAGTCAAGTGGTGATCGGGCCTCGGGGCTGCTGGATTCCCCTCTAGTGCCACACCTTCGTCTTCTATATTAGCCGGGTGGTTGACCGTCATATGATAAGGACTGATAATGTAGCTGCCGTGCTGTGGACCTGGAGCACTTCCAAGTAACCTGGAGATGATTGTCAATATTAGATAGAATGAGTCTTTTGGTAACAAACGTAGACAGACCAATCGGCACAAGTAAGATGCCACCATAAACGGCGCTTCATCTCTCTTTCCAGCGGGTTTGGTTCCACGTTTGGCCGTTCTGCATCAATATTGTGTATCCCCATCTGGGTCGCCTTCGCATATGCGAGACCTTTCAAAGTATGATATCTTTTTGATTGGCCTTCTGAATCCCAAAGAAGAGACATAATAATGAGAACCGATTGCAGGGATATCAAGGAAGACGAGAAAATCTCATCGGTTTGCAGGATGTTTTGAAGAGCGGTCTCCTTCCAACAGGTGGATGTCTCTGTGTCCAGGCCTAATCCGTGGGCTAAAAGATTATGCCCGGACCCCAAGTAAAATGAGGCGGAAGCAAATATTGATAGAAAAAATGTAACACTTTCATTTAAAAGACTGATCGATTGTGACCGTTGGGAATAAACCTTTTCGAGGAGATCCCGTGTTGACGGAGCATGAACTACATGACTCAGACAGTCTATTTCTTGGATGTAGTGTTCAAGTAGGCATTTAGCTGTGCTGAGCTGGGGGAGCTGTGTATCTGCTCCCAAACCTGGACTCAGCCAAGACGCCCGCGAAAGTTCTGCAGGACCAGCTATAGTGGTGCCTGCTGTGCTCAGTAAACTTTCGTTTCCGGACTGAGAATCCCACATCTCTTCAGGCTGGGAGGACGCTGCAATTGACTCCAGGTCGTCCCATTTCTGGTGATCGGTTTCCAAGTATGTCGTGTTGAATTGTGGCGGGAGGGTAACTGCCAAAGAATCTATGTCCCTCGGATTTAAGTTTTTTGGTGGACCTGAACTTTCGAGCAACAGTTGCTCTATCCTCTTCAAACGATCCTTTATTTCTTGAATATCTCTAGCTGAGGGTTAACCTAGAGGATCGGAAAGGGTAGTTGTTGGGGACATATACTCCTCCAGCGATGTACAGCTTAGACGATCATAGTGGGCTCTTGGGAATGTCTGGTGTCTGGTTCCTGCTGGCACCACATTGATCAGCCTCAACCCTATATTCAGCTACTTTCCACCCTATCTACCTTCGGAATATTCACACACGGTATCTCTGTCTTTGCAACTGGAACAAGGACGTTTTTTGTCACACCGGATCTTCTTAAGCCGGCAGAAATCACATGACGCTGGTAGTTGCCATGCACTTCGCTTTGGCCCTGGAGCCTGATCATGGAATGGCCTCTTTAGTGAGCTCATTTGAAGAGAATACCTGGTGCAAAAGGTGTTGTTTTGTAAACGATTTTCTTTTTTGATGGTGATTGTCAAGAGTGACACATTTCTGAGTGTGGATCTGTTGTCGATCCGGACCCCCGCGGACCCCCGCGGACGCCCGATCCAATCAGATATGTGCGTCTCTCTTGGTTTAGATCGAAAAAGGATGGATTGTGGGTTCGTATGGGCGTTTGCCCACAGACTATGCTCGATCCAGTTTGGCAGCATATCCAAAGAGCTTTGTAGGAGATTCATGACCCTTGATGGCTTGATTGTGATATAAATAGGACATGCAGAGTACATGATCAAGTGCCGAAGCAAGCTTCCACATCTTCAGCTCAAGGAGTCGTATTCTTCCAATTCCCGATACTCGCGAAAAATGAGCAGGGAGAATGTTACGGACGAGCGGGAGCCTCCAGACATTGAGCGAAATGAACCTGCCAAATTTCCAGACGGTGGACTTCGTGCATGGCTCGTAGTTGTCGGTGCTTTCTTTGGACTCTTTACAAGTTTTGGGTGGACCAATTGTGAGCAACACACCATTCTGGACAAGCTGACGCTAATTCCAAATCATCAGGCGTTGGCATATTTCAAGCATACTATCAAACCCATCAGCTCCGAACCATGTCCGCCAGCACCGTGTCCTGGATTCCCGGGATATCTATGTTCATGATGTTTATTACGGTAAGCTCCATTCTAACATCTCGACCAACTGCTCAAGTCTTATATCGGGTAGACATTGACTCAATTAAATGACAACCTGCAGGGTCCTTTTGTTGGTCGGCTGTTCGATGCATACGGGCCTCGATGGCTTCTGCTCATCGGGTCTCTGCTACACGTATTTGGACTTCTGATGGCTTCATTTGCTTCTCGGTATTATCAATTCATCCTGTCTCAGTCAATCTGCAGCCCTTTGGGTGCGAGTATGGTGCTGTACTCCTCGTTCAATTGCGTCGCAACCTGGTTCCGAGAAAAGCGCGCTTTGGCAATGGGCATCACCGCAAGTGGCTCCAGCCTGGGGGGTGTTGTCATGCCAATTCTTGTCGATCATATCATCGATAGGAATGGCTTTGGCTGGGCCATGAGGATTTGCGCCTTATTCATGCTCGCCTTGCTGGTTGTGACCAACTTAACCGTTCGCTCCCGGCTAAGACCGCATCCCACTACTTTGACTTTGACGAGTTATTTGAAGAACTTTACCGATATACCCTTCGTTCTGGTGACATTGGCGAGCTTTTTCTATTCGATGGGGATGTTTATCCCCATTACATATATCGTCACCTACGGCCAACATGTGGGTATGCGGACTAGTCTCGCTGGGTACCTCGTCTCCATCTTCAATGCTGCAAGGTAGGTGACAACGCAACAGAGCCCGAGATTATCCTTGAACACATGCTCATGAATGCAACGTAGTGGCATCGGCCGAGTACTGCCGGGGTATGCGGCAGACAAGATCGGAAACTTCAATATTTCAATATGTGCAGCGGCCCTGTCTACGGTGTTTGTCCTAGGCTTATGGCTCCCTGGCCACTCTCAGGCAACTGCGATTGTGTTCGCCGCAACTTTTGGGTTTAGTTCTGGGACCTACACGGCTCTGAGCCCAGCTTTGGTCGCCCAAATCTCGGACATTCGTGAGATTGGCACCCGGTCGGGAGCGCTGTATGCTTTCATGTCAATTTCGGCATTGGTCGGCAGCCCCATCGGCGGTTCGTTAATTGCCAAGGCGCACGGAGAGTATTGGAAGTTGCAGGTCTTTACTGGCATGATGCTGGCGGGAGGAACGCTGTTCTATTCTGCGACTCGCTTTCGCTTGACCAAAGGCAAGGCCTGGGTGAAAGTGTAACAGAGCTCCTGGATATATCTGCGTTATTAGTTGAAGTGATGGTCACTTGAGTGTCCGATCAATTGACGACGCTTAAATCGTCTTTATTAGGCCACTAAGCCCGTTCCTTAGACGACTAGTTCAACGATTGGATTGACATCGGCTGGAGGATTCTGGCGCACTGGTTCATTTCTATATCGAACATTGGGACTGACCGGGATTAGTATAGTAGCCGATTAACGCTGGCTAGAACTATAATAGCAGCTAAGCTCACCTTAAGATTGCTGTTGTGTCTGAAAAACGACCATCTCACATTCGACTCGGCTATTCGGAGGACTTTGAAGCTCTTACATATGAGGGAAAGGTCTACGCAGTCTTGAGCACCTTTAAAAATGCTTAACCAGGAGTTCCGTCGCTAGTCCAGCAATTAGCGGTCTGTGAGTACAAGTTCCAAATGGGGGCTGCTTGATGGAAAAATCTTGCTAGTATATAATCTTGAAAGTTATTTACGACTATACTCACTTGAATATATATGTTACTCTTATAGAATTTCATTTATCTACTTTCGGCTGCCAGAATTTCTTTTACGTAGTAGACTATCTTGAACAGTGTCGACTCTTACACACTACTCTGTAGTTCCACTGTGGGGAATACGTAGGTATTCTTGTTCCGCAATTGATATGTGAAGGATTCTACGTTAGCGATGGTTGAGCTTGAGATTTGGTTGACTGCAGGTCGTAGACTACATGTTGTGAACCTCCATACCTAAATCTGCCAGGCCGATTGTTCATACAACAAACTCCCCAAACTATACTAGACTGAGAAAGCTGTCGTGATGCAGAAGAGTCCATGGAAACTCGTTATCCAGCGCGGATATATGTTCCGAGTCAAAATCATCATAAGTGACAAGTGGCCTGTGAGGCTGAAGGAGCAGGAATCGGAGTCTCCACGCCGGTGTGAACGACCCCGTGCAACTAATAATTTACAACATCTCGCCAGTTGTAATGCAATATGGTATAACAAGTCCAGGGTCGTGCTCTTGTTGGCAATGATCCTACTGCGTGAGGCGCAAAACAGTTCCCACTCCGGCGGAATAGATATCCAACCCCCACCCCCTATCAGGGGTCTCTTGTTTAGAACGCTAGAATCCAGGACGAACATGCCCTGGTGGGACTTCATAGAGTCTAGTCTAGTCCCTATATTGCGCGGGGCAATTTCATGGCCTAGAGCGTTTTCACCAGAAGTGACCAAGTCTTGTCAGAGTTTTGTGGCTCAGACTCTAACTAGAGACTAGTGTCACTTTAGCCATCTGCTGGATAACCAGAAGCACCCTTAGGAGCAGACTTGCGACGCTCCATCTAGACAGTGCGATACATTACCAAGATGTCTATCACATCGCTTGATTGACAGCTGAAAGGAATGGAGGAGGATCACAAAGCATAAAGATGACGGACGTGAAAGGGTTATCACACACATCCTTTACTATTCTTTCTTCGATCCTCGATGTTCGGAATAGGCTAACCTTGCGGAGGATTCGAATCACTTTCTCGGATCGCGTCTTTGCAGTGGGTCTCGGGCGAGACTGGCGTGGCGGAGCACCTGACAACTTCATCTTGTAGTCCGACTATGTGCAGCGAAGAAATAATCCGATGGCAATGTGATAATCGCAGACACCACATGTGGGGATAGACCCTGTTCTCACCAACTGCTAGCTATTCCAGAATGAGCCATTCGGGATGAGCTTCGATCTAGGCGTTGCGGCTGAATTCGCTCGAGTGTCTCTTATGTACCCCAGCTTTTGGCCCCATGTGCTCAAACACTGGTTCCCCTTGGCCTTCCCAGCCCCCGGGAATTGAGTTCTGCTTCGGTTCCATGCATTGGGCTAGGTATAGTGCAATGCTCATCTTTATTTGCAAATTTGCAACAATGTCTTGTGATTGATGCTAAACCTGATTCGGCAGGTGGCTACGCTTACTGCTTTTGCCTGCTCATGAGCAGATGCAGAAATAACAAAGTGTTCCAATGAGCTGATGATTGCTGAACCGTCACCCCCCTTATGCTTAATTAAGCCTCTTTTCTGTTTCTTGACTGTGAAACCCTGACGCTGTCAAGACGCTGTGGATTCAGGTGGCACAGTGCTGGTTAGGCAACTCCGTGTGCTTCTCAGCCTCCAACCGTCAGCCGCAAGGTTACAATAGCCCCTCTATCAAGGCATCACATGTAAGATCTTTCTCATAACAACTGATTCCTTCTTTTGCGCTTTTTCTCACTTTCAGGAGAACCATGCATGGAGCCTGGCTATTTCAGGACGACGACCGAAGGAAGATGGATCGAGGTACCCGAAGAAAGTGGGCAATGGCCGTGGGGGCGAAATCTACCATCGCCCTCCTCATGCCCCATTCAAACTGCATGGTCGTGTTGGTTTCTCCATTACCCTCGTGGCTTCATTTGCTGACGATGTTCTGAAACAGTGCCCCTGTCTACAATTGGATTAATTGTTCATGATACTTTCATGCCTTGTACAAATTGCCTGGAGCTCCTGTGGGAGCTAACGAATCTTAGGATGGCCACGGACAGAAACCGAATGGAACGTCACAGATCTCAGTTTATCTCGACAGTACTAAGGATGAAGCAGGCTATTACGGTCATGACTGATTAGGAGGTCTCACATTCAAGCTACTTGGGCGTTGTTCCACTACGACTTCATACGGGGATCATCCTCTTAATCGCCCCCAATCTCACTCTAGAACACGAAAATCTTTCCTCTCGGTTGGCCTTGGGTCGACTCCGCCCCCCTTGAAGGATGTAGCCTCAGGAGCTACTTTCAGGAACCTACCCATTACGCACGGCTTGTCATGTCCTGAGTGGGCAGTGTCAGAGCCTTGGCCGGGGCTCTGACCTGGTGTTGCTGAAGGCACACGGGAACTGTTGGTTGGGGGCCAATGATCCATCCGACTTAAAAGGGTGATAAACATCTCCCAAGCTGGAGCAGATCACAAGTACTCTTACATTTCATTATCGTCGCTCTCTTCATTTCCCTTCTTGGGACAGTCATTCTTTTTGTCTTTTTGTAAAGACAGTCGTTCTTTAGATTGCTTCATTCCTATACCTTCATTTTACTTCATCCGAACGAATATCAGGTTCAAGATGGTTAACCCTCTCCACAATGGAGTGGCCACCGGTCTCTTGGCTTCCTTCCTCATCCAACAGGGTTTGGCTCTAGAGTTGACCGCATTCAACCCTTCTACAACAACGAACACGCAGGTCAAGGTGGCAGTGGCTGGGACCGAAGCTCAGTCTCAGGACTATTCTAGCATCGATCTGCGAACCAGCCACTCGTTCTACTGGGGTGGTAAGTGCAAGTTCTTGGCGTGTGACTATGCAACAAATTGGCTAACATGTCTGGAATAGCCTCTTCCGGTGGCGGGTCCACCTTGGGTAATCTGACTGTTATGGACGAAAGTATTCTCCCCATGGAGACTTTCAGCGATTTGCTGGAGAATATTCAGTGCACCAACTCGAGTATTACTTTGGGCTTCTCGGACTTGGATGCGTACTCCTATGCAAAGAACTCGTGGACTTGGGTGAACAAGGCCGCCAACAACACCTTTCTTATGGTGGCTGGCGTCCAGCAATGTAGCTGGAATACCCAGCGTGTTCCTTTCGTCATTACGGGGGCCAACTTTTCAAACAACTCTACAGTACGATTGGCCGGCAAAGCGGCGACCTGGGATGATGTTCTCAGGAATCATGAGATTACCATCGGCAAGGCCCCGAGTGACATGGCAGTCGAGCTCTCCAAGCGAGGCATAACTTCAGGAACTAAGTCTGGTTCGATCAGTATTGACAAAACCGCGTCCGACAAATCAGTGAAGATCTTCTCGAAAGACGACCTCACCCTCAGCGCTGAATGCAAATCATGCGGGACTAGTGGTGAATTTGACATTGAGTTCAAGTACAAAGTGAAGCCAAGTGGCAGCAGTATTTTTAGCGAGATCGGAAGCGCATTCAGTGGAGATTGGGATGTCGAGACCGCGGAGCTTACACTTACACCAAAAGATGTCGCGCTAGACATTACCCCTGCCCTGGATCTGAGCGGAAACTTGACAAAGTCCTACTCGGATGAGGCGCAGATCGCTTCCTTGACCCTTGAGGGAATCAACATCCCCGATATCTTCACCTTGGACGTGCAGCTTGCTTTCGACATCGGGGCCAGTGCTGGACCCGTCAATGGCGATGCGTCTATCTCCTATCCCATGAAAATCTCACTTGACAATGATGCAGAGGCTGTGCTCGACATTGCGAACAAGAAGGTCACCCACAAAGACTGGACCCCGACCATCAAGACGTCTGGCGTTCAACTCGATGCTGAGATCGATGCCACTCTTGAGGCATATGTCAGGGCTTCCCTCGAGTTGGTCTTTTCGATCGGTAGTACGTACAACACTCTGAAGTATAATAAAGTTGCATCGCTAACTCGGTCCAGGTAAATGGGGATACGAAGCCGGCATTTATCTCAAGCCCTTCCTGGCAGTCGACTTCACTGCCGAAGCATGTGAGTGAACTGACAAGGCCTGGTGTATGGTAGCCTCTGCTGACAACATGTAGCCACGAGTAAAACTTGCTCGGACACGTCCAAGAATTACCACTATGCGATCGAAGTGGAGCCTTATGCTGGAATTGAGCTCGGTGCGGACGTTGCTAAGAAGAGCGACGAGGGTAACCCTATTGCGGATGCCACTCTTGCGGTAAGTCAAGTCTAGGCATGAGTCCAACTGCGATTGTAGAATTTGACTAATCCCTTCGCAGTCCTTCACCCAGTCCATGTCGTCGACCTGCATTGGCTTTGACAGTATCACTTCGACCAAGACGGCCACCTCCACGAAGACCAAGTCGACTGATGAGTCCTCGTCCGACGATGAAACTTCTACCAAGTCCAAGTCCAAGTCCAAGTCGTCCTCCAAGTCATCCTCCAAGTCATCCTCTAAGTCGGCTTCCAAGTCGGCTTCCAAGACCAAGTCTCATCCTAGCAGCGCCTCTGCATCTGCAACCCCAACCGGCCACTCATCCACCCACAAGCACACCTCCGGCTCCTCCAAGTCTTCGACAATCAGCGAAGCTAAGATCACATCATCTCCTAAGACCACCTCGGCCAGGGCCACGAGTTCCCACGCGGCTGCTAGCTCGTCTGCTCACAGCGTGCACAACCACGGCCGCAGCTTCAGACAGCATGGCCGTATCTAAGCAACTTCCTTGGAAGTAATGAGCTGATGCTACCTTTGACAGCTACCTTCATGTTATGATTTCACTTCTTGTCTGTGTGTGCGCATACAGGGCAACTGTACTATTCTACTATAGATTATTTGATTGGCATATAACGTTGGATTTATACGTTCGTGTAATGATTCAGTTAAAGAATTACAATAGCTTCACAGCAATCAACTTATATAAACTATCTGCCTCCACATATGTAATGAACTTGAATTTTCTATCGTAGCTCGGCGATGTACATGATTTGAGTGTAAGTTGGGTCCAGCGTCTTGCGAATTGCATGCTTCGCTACCAGTTTCAAGCGAGGTGAGCGATGGCCATATGTACAATCAGCTACGCATTCCTAGAATATCCGAACCTCTTAGCAAATTAACGGTATCTATGCTACCTGTTCGGTAGCTGTACAGAACAGAGTAACCAGCATATAACCCAGTTAGTAGGGCGGCCACGATCACGTGCAAAGGCCGGAGCTCCGCCCTCTCCGCCTCAGGATCCATATCGGTGCCTCACTTACACTCTGCTTCACCCTCTCACTCATTCTCAACAACAACCTGCCCAGCAATGGCATCCCATCAACTCGCCATTGCCAAGGCCTCCTTCTCCGCAGGACTCCTGCGGCCAGACCCGACGTCCGTCGCGCGCGACGAAATCACAGCCTTCCACACCAGCCTAGACCGGGCGCTATCGCATTGCACCCCGGCAAACATCCAGGTTTGAACCGATGCGTCCTAACCCACTGGCCAATACCCCAGAAGTACTAAAATAATGTTCTCTTTTGCGCACCCCTTAGACCTGCAAACAATGGCTCCTGGAATACGTCGTCTCGTCAGGTAACCGCGTAGGCGGATGGGCCAAATACCTAGCTGCGTTGTCTGGATCTTTCGAATCGTCATCATCCACACCATCGCCGGCCGAGACTGGTGGGAAAAGGTCGACATCGACATCTGGCAAGCGAAAACGCCTTCATATCCTGTATCTGCTGAATGATGTGCTGCATCATACGAAATACCATCTGGATACGACCGCCGCGTTCAGCACCTTGAGCGGATCGCTGCAGCCGCATGTGGTCGAGCTGTTGGGCTACGCAGCGTCGTATGATCGCGAGAAGAACCCGAAGCATCATCGTCGATTGGATGAGTTGCTCGATATCTGGGAGGAGAACCGCTATTACGGGAGTGATTATGTGAATAAGCTACGCGAGGTGGTCAAGAATGCTTCGGTGTCCGGTCCGGTCAAGACGTCGCTAAGTGTCGAGGAAAGTAATGTGGATTTCTCAGGAGCTGGTGCGAAGCCAATGCCCTCGGGCAAGGATGTCCCGTTCGTCATGCCGGCTACGCATGGTGATCCATCTATGCCCTACTACGACCTACCTGCCGGAAACCTCGTTCCGCATATCATCCCAGATTCGACGGTACCGCTGCGGCCGGAGTCGATCAAGCCGCTGCAGTTCTTGGCTGGACCGGCGGATGAGAATCTTGTCGTGGCGCTGAAGAAGTTCCTCAAGGACGTGGATCGGATATATGGGACTGGAGAGCCGGAGCACGAAGAGGACGAGGTTGTGGATATTGATGATCTAGGCCAGGTGGTCGTCCGCGATGCCGATGGGGAGGTAATCGAGGGAGAGACATACTACGGATGGTCACGGTCATTCTGCCAACAGATGAAGAAGCGACAGGCGAAGGGAGACATGAGTCGCAGCCGGAGCCGCAGTCGCAGCCCCGTCAAGCGCCGACGATACAGCGACAGCGCCAGCGACTGGAGTTCTCGTTCACGGTCACGAACTCGTTCACCACAGCGCAGATCACGCCGGCGTGATTCCCGATCCCGAACACGGTCTCCATACCGACCTCGCAGTGCATCCCGGTCCAAATCGCGGGAGCGATCCAAGTCCTATTCTCCGCGTCCGCCAGCTCCACGATCCATCCCTCCTCCGCCTGAATACCATCATCAACCCCAATACCCCCCACCACATAATGCATATGGCAATACGGCACCGCCACCTCCTCCGCCTCCGGTAGGATACCATGCACCACCACCGCCGCCACCGCAAATGGGATACCCTTCGGCCGCCGGCGTACCACCGCATTTCGCTTTCCCGCCGGGCGGACCGGCACCGCCTCCGCCTCCGCCCCCGAACTATCAGGGAACTTGGCCGCCACCACCGCCGCCTGCGATGAACCTTGGGGCAGCACATCCACCACCACCGCCGCCGCCGCATGCTGCGCATCAAGGGTCGCATTTTCCGCCGCCGTACGGACAGGGTCAGTATGTGCAGCAGATGCCACCGGGGTCATATCATTTCCCTCCGCCGCATCCAGGGAGGGGAGGATGGTATGGTGGAGGTGGAGGAGGACGAGGTGGACAGGGCTGGCGCTGATATCAACTCAACTATTGTACTGATATAACACTACATTATGCCATATATCATTAATGAACGACAAATGACAGTCGACTAATCCTACATACATAAGATAAAACATATCACATCCTAAAACTAACCCATATACTATACCAGAAAGCAATCACAGAATAAGAACAGTCCCCAAACCCCACACCTTGAAAGAACTAATCTTCCATCTCGAAGGCTCCATCATCGCAGAAGCACTAGCTAGCACCCGCACTGGCAGAAGCACTGGCAGATGCCGACGCCGACGCCGACGCAGAAGCCGAAGCCGAAGCCTGCGCCACCAACATGCTCTCCCTCTGCTTACTATCATTAATAGCATCATTCTTATCCTTGATCGCATCGTCGAACGGTTTGCAAGCCGACGAAATGGGCTGGGAAGATCCTTCGGACTGTCACCGACACCATTAGCTTCACATCACATACCATACCATACTTTCCCCTCCCCAAACCAATCCCACAAAGAAATACCGGAAATGGGAAGGACATACATTCGGCTGCCCATCACAACACATAACCTGATGCGAGCATTGATCATTCGGCGTATCGTCGCTCATTCCTGTACCTGTACCCATTACCATCATCATTAGCCAATCCACCCCCACAAACACAACTTACACCCCGAAGGGAGAATAGGAAAAAGGGAAAGGAAAGGAACATACAATCCAACCCCAAAACGGAACTAATATCAACGCCCCCGATCCATGGAATCAACATCCCCAAAGGCTGAGTGATCTGGGACGCGATATCGTTGATGGATTCACAGCATTGTTTGGAGCGGTTGGACGGGGGACAGGTGGAGTTGTTGGAGTCGGCGATGGTTTCGTCGACGATGATTTGGGCGATGGCGGAGGAGAGGCCGTCGGGGGTGTCGAGGGTTGAAGAGGGAGTTGATGAGGAGGATGGGGAGGAGGGTGAGGATGAGGATGGGGAGAGGGGGATGCAGGTTGTTTGTGTTAGGAGGGTGGTTAGGGTGGTGGTTAATGTGAGGATTTTGAGGAGCATTTTTTTTTTCGGTGAGTGTCGTTGGGACTTCTTTGTGACTTTTGTGTACTATATGTCTCTGTGTTAGAGAGATGGGTTGCGTGTGTGTTGGATGTAAAGTGGAGGAGGTGGAATGATGGTGAGTATATAGGGTGGGTGAATTGAAAATAGGAGGATAGGGATGAGAAGGGGGAGGGAGGACATATTCTCCTCGTGTCTGTCTCCCTCCCCGTTGCCTGGCAGGCTGGAACAACATTCCAGGGGATACTTAATCTAAGTTGACTCTGGTCTGGAATGGTATGGTTTCTGGCCAGGATTTGATGGAATGCGGATGCGATACTCCCGTTGTTCCGTCAGCTGTCTGTCTGTCTGTCCCTGTCTAGACACTACAATTGTTGCTGCAGACTGGCTGATAAATACCCGAGTAGACTACTAGACTACTACAGCACTCGTGCAGCTGCTTCTCGCACATGGCTTATACCCAACACACACACTGCAGGAGCAAAGCACGCAAGGGATATGAGTCATGATTCAGAAACCGTGCATTAGTAGATACACCAGGACCAGCCTCAAAATAAAGATGATAATAATACACAGGAAACAAGGAAGGAAAACAGGAAACTACTATGCCAATGGCCGCATATATTCATGCACTGCTCTCTGCACTACATGAACAGCACAAAGTGAGTGACAAGGGTCAGAAACAAGCCAGGGGCTGGCAAACCTAAAAAGTCCTCTCAGCAAACAAGAGACGATGTCAGAAATGGTCATGTAGTGATCCCAGTTCGTTGTCAACTCAAGTCGTTCAATTCGAGGTATTGGTGGAAAAGAAAGAAAGAAACAAGAAAACAAAACACACATGCAGTAGGGTCTCACGGAGCCTCGGCTCGGACGTCGCCCGTCTCTATGAATCGCTTCGCCATCGCTTCGAAATCAGAGCGCTCTCGCTTGTCAATCATAACGCCGGGAGACACGTCAAATAAAACTTGTCTTGGACGACGTGCCTCCCCAGATTGTCCACAGACTCCACCGTAAAACGTAATTCGTGAACTCGTCCCCAAGCCAGATGAGGGAAGCAGCCACTACAGCTGCCCCTTCCTCACCCGGGTAAGCCTTCAGAAGGACAGGTCGGCCGAGTTCACGCCGGACTTGCGTCTGGTAGATTCGGAGCTATCGTGAGCCGCACTAGTCGCGCCGGCAGCTTGACGGGCAAGCATGCCGCTGGTCGAGCTGCCGCTATTGCCGCTGGTTTGGCTGCTGCGGCTGCTCCGGCTGGATCCCTTTTCGTCGTCTAGGTCGGTGAAATCCGCCATCCGGCGTTGGGTGTATTCGAGCATGACTCGGCTGTAGTCCTCCACGGACGAGTGGGGGTCGACAGCTCGGCCTGTCTCAAGGTGGTCGCCAGGAGGGCGACAGCCTTCGCCCCCGGTAGGGGGCATGGAGCGGTATTCGTCGTCATGCATAGCAGTGGCCATCTTGTTGTTGTCTAGATAGGAGATCAGCCATGTCCAACCGCCGCAAACTGCTAATCATGCAAGACCGGCTCAGAGAACATCATCGTTCACACGAGACCGCCATCAAGGTCAGATGATCTGCCGACATCACGTATGAAGGGTGAGACCAGTGCATCAAGGAAGATCCCTCTTTCATATATAAGACAATAGACTGCGTACACTTACCCCAAGATCAAGTGGAAAAGGAAAGGTAAGAAAAAGCAACAAGCAACAATTATTGACTGATCAAGACAATAATAGTTTCAGGAATAACCACGGAAGCAGTGTGGGATCTCCAAAATAAGACTAGCACGCGGTTTCAGGTGGACAGACTTGGTACGCAGCAGCTTTGGGCAGCAACAATAATCGGGAAACTCTTTACAACGGACCAACATATAAGATGGGACCACCCGCAAGATAAATGTTCTGACCAGACCGACATGAGATCACAAAACGGACCATGACAGAACCGCTGGAGCGACATGTCGACCCTAGGGAGTAGGCTCGACTTGTCCATGGCCCGTGAGCAGAGGAGTCCACCGTGTTGTTGTGTCTCGGAGACCCTCATAGGACAGCCATGACATCATCTGCCGTCGCAGGGCTCCTCTCAGTGGCATCCTTCATGCAGTAGAGGGCCGATGGGGCCTGCACCGGCGTTCTTACCTTCTGTTTCTTTTCCCCCCTCCACTTCATCGGTGCGGCGGCGGAGGCGGCGGCGACTGGGGCCCGGACCAGACCTCCTCCATCAGGGAGGGAAGGATGATCGGAAATAACCGTACTCCACTGGCTCTCCTCGGCCGGTGTTACCCCCGGATGGTCCACGGTCCCATCATTCAGAGGAGCAGCATGAGGTCACCGATGGAATGCAACTGGTGCATTGGAGAATTCATGGCGTCGAAAGATCGACGGTCTGCGCTTACTGAAGTGCACGTCCCTGCAGATCGGCACTTATACAGGCCGAGGCCTGGAAGAGTCTGCAGGCCGCCTAAGAATCCAACAAGAGGTATGATGGTTGACAGCGAGCCATCATGGTGGGGAGGAAGGGAGCTTGTCCCAGGAGCTAGTTGCACAATATGTGTGATAGAGAGAAGGAGGGAGACTATGGGGACGCGATGTGTCATGGTTGAACCTAAAAGTGAAAGGACGCTAGTTGACTAGGAGCATGCAAGAGGAGGTTTAGTGTGGAGGATGGCTACTGATCATCTCCGGTGCCAGTAAACTGCGAAAGAGAGGATGTCTGTCTCCTCTTCACAGTAGTAGTTACTCCATTCTCAACCGGAGAAGTTCTTCCAGCGCTATGGCGGACCCAGGACCCATTCTTCTTCCTGGGAGGGAACCGACAACCGATAAAGATGAAACTAATCAACAACCCTGCAGAAGTAGTAGAGCAGTACCGAACAGGGGGGCCAGTTCTTACTGGGGAAGCAGTTTTTGGATCGGGGAAAGCAGCGAGACTTTGGGAAAAGCGATGGAGACGATGAATTCATCCTTGCAAATGCAGACCGATGATTGGCTGATGGGAGGAGTTCGGAACAAGCTAGTGCCATGGCTGCATCGGGAATGGCGCTGTGCCTGGGGCGCGCGTGACGTCATGCATAAGGCCGCCACCGAGTCATTTCTGCTCGTTTGGCTCCATCTTCATCTTCAACACCCATTTACGAGGTATGATGAGGTCCTCCAGATGCTCCATTCTCCATTCAGCAAGTCTTCTTGTCCTCTTCCTCTGTCCCAAGAGTTTGGTATGGTATATCCTCCAACATTGCCAATCTTCCTCCCTGGAAACCCTCTCTTTCTCTCATTCCAACAACGCCTAGGTGAAGCAACATGTGAAAGGCAGTCATTCCGAGCACAATATCGCACTACCTAGTCCATCATAGAGTTAATGATCCGGCTTCGGGCCATTCTACAACGGCAGGCAATGTATACTGCAGAGTCCGGGAAGCCTCCCGGATTGGATCCGATCTGTTTGGTGGCCCATATGCACCTTATGCGCTAAAGATCGTTGCCAGGACACGCAGTCAGGGACGCACACAAACACACCTCCCAGCCTCCCCTTTCTGCTATTCTTCGGCTGAGTGTTGATATCCCACAGCGACCCACTCCTGTAAAATCTTCATCAGCAGAAGGTTCGGTTGGTGGCACCCCAGGTGGATCATGGCGCAACACAAACTGCTCGCGTAAGAAGTTGGCAGCCCTGAAAGGCACTTCCTAGACTAGCGCATTTGATCTCCTCGGGACACTGCACTACGGGCAGCTAGTAGATAGCCCGGCTCAAACGGGCCACAAACAGATAGTATTACTGTGCCTGTGTGTCCAATCCAGGCAACGATCCCCGGCAACTAAGTTGGCTGCTGCTGCTGCTGCTGCTCTCCCACGCGGAGATTGAAGGCGGAAAGTAAAACACGCTGTCTGCGGACTGCACAACCACCGACCACTAGCGATAATCATAATCAAACAAAACTTGGAACCCTTTCTGGGTCTATATCACAGGAGCGAGCGGTGGATTATCACACAATGTGACATCTGTTGCCGTGGACCCATCGCGGAACAATGTTCCAGGAAACCAATAATGAATTCCTTCTCGGCTCTCACGGCGCGGTTGTTATTCCCTCGTCTGGCGTTTTCGTGAAGGAATACGCCCATGATATTGGGATGCCACGTCTCCCCACCCCCACGTCAAATAGAGAAAAAGCACAGGCGTAACTGGCCCCATGGTTCCGGAAGTATCAGACGGTGAGATGGAATCGCCGCGACTAGCGAGGAACAATTGTGTCTAACCGCTCCCATGATATCACGTTGTCTTCGGACCTCCCTTGACATGTTTTTCGCGCTCTTGAGCAAGCGGGGGAGAATCCCATGGACTAGACCCGAACAGACAGAATATTGAGAACCTGAACCTGAACACCCTGCTTAACGGTTGTCTAGGCATACGCGCCTCCTCGGTTATGGGACGCTTCTTCACGTCATACCGCCAGGGATCGTGGAACCCATGATGTTGTCTGCACCACTGGAGGCGTCCAGTCCTGCTGCGAGTCAGATTATGACGATACGACCACCAGACTCCCTCGCATTGATCAAGTCCTGGCTTCCAGTGACGCCACGTATTCTCACCTCGCAGGCCAGATAACGCTCGATTGAACATGCTGTCCTCCCAAGCGCCGTCTTGATGACATGACATTGCTGAGACAGTGTGGCCGATCATGCTAGGGGGGTGAAGGCTAGGCCTGCTTCTCCGCTCCGACGATGTCATATGTTTGCGGCCCGTTTGGCCGAGTCAGCTCGAATACGTACCTTTTCATCACACACTATCGACATTCCCCGAATTGCCTATAACTCTGAAAAGAGAAAGAGACACTCCACGTTGCCGTAGAGTGAAACATCCAACGTCATGCCTCAAACTCAGCTATCGATCCACCACTCCTAACCCGAAATGAAATTCACGTTGATACCAAGGATGTTTGTTCCGATTGACCAGCTCCATTACCAGGAGAAAAAAATGCTCTAGATCCCTACAACAGCGGGTAGATACAAACAGACGCCACAATCAAAGGACAGAAGAAATATTTTCATCATGCTCGCACATCATCACACGTAACCTGTATCAATTAATCAGCTCCATCGGCCCCATTACCAAACGGGGCATAACACATAGCAACTGAAACCCTCGGAACTCAAGTGTAAAAAGACATCGGCACTTACCTTTTCTGGCACCCTGGAAGAAGAACCTCACAACGAAGACCTGCAGCGCAGCCATCGAAACCATCATCAAGCCCTCAATCACGCTGAAGTTGAAAATACGACGCTCCGTACTACGAACGGTGCTGAAGTTCCGGTTCTCTCTCGTGCGGAAGTACTTCTGGTTGCGGGTGATGGTGGAGAGCTGGGCGGACAGCTTGAAGATCGACTCCTCAAGAGCGGAGGCCTGCTCGGGACTAGCACCCTGGCGGGAGGGCAACTGTGCGCGTTCTTCGTTCTCGACCTGTAGACACCGCGCACACACGTACGTAATTAGTCTCAATCCCTACTACATTACTTTGTAATATACCACCCCAAAGGGTCTGTGGGGTTGCCGATGTGATAATGGGTGACCAAAACAAACAAAACATACCGCGATCTCGAAATCGACAATCTTCTCCGCAAAAGTCGACATATCATTGTTGAAGCAGAACCGGTACTCGCCAATGCTTTGGGCCGTGAACACAAAATCGCCCTGTCTTTCCTTGGTGCCATCCAGGACCACCTTTTCGCCGGGCCCGACAACGGAGTAGTCGATATCGAAGGAACCGCCGGATTGGACCTACAAGCCAGAATTGAAACGCCGATTAATGGACATTTCCGCATTGGGGAGTTAGATGCGAAATAGGAGGACTCACAGCAAAGTAGAATGCGAGCTTCACGTTCCTCTGGTCAACATAGTTATAGAAACAAGCCTTCTCGTTGGCCTCGAGGCGGTAGGTCAGGGCCGTAGCGGCCACGGACGACACAAAGGTGGCCAGAAGGCCGATAACCAGGGCTGCGAAGCGCATTGCGAGCAGGGGGGAGCGGAACAAGAGGAGCTGCGACCTCAAGTTTGGGATTACGCTTCAGGGGGGAACGGTGAACGAGTTCGAAGACAACGCAACCAGACTAACTGATGGAGGTGGAAGTTCTGGCCAGCTGTGACTTTGGCCCGCTCCGTTTGTTGTGTTTGCACTAACTGTCTTACCGTTTATGCTGGACCCAATTGGGATGGATGGACCCGCCTCCTGTTTGTATTCATACACTATTTCTACTCTTCTGCCAACTTCACTGCTTTGGCATTCAGACAGGTAAATGCATATTACGTCGGAAGGCGGCGTGTGTCAAACTGTCTATATAACTCACACCACTGCTCCTATCTTAGCCAACCCTTTTACAGGTATACGGTTCATTCATAAAAGCTTGCATCGTTGCAAGCTAGCTCATACATCAATTCCAGCTGCTAAAAAGCATATCATAACGGGTCCATTAGGCCTGCCCTTCTAAGCTACCCGACAGACCGATACCACAACACATCGAAATAATTCGCATCTGTTCATCATGTATAAAGTATGTTGTTTTTGAAAATTTGTCTTCATAAGCTGAATCGCCTGGGCAACACATGTCCTCCATATGTCCATAATGGTATGCGTTCCCTGCCAATCGTAAGATAGACTGCCCAGCAAAAATAAAAATGACGTGCATAGCCATAACCACCAAGCAAAACTCCCATCTATCGGATGAAGAAAGATTCGCTCCGGTTCCAAAAATTGCGGTTCTTATTTACATGCTCGAGACCAAGCAGGTCGTCGGAATCACCGATGATGTCGGAGAGGATATCATCTAGACAGCGTCAGCCAAACCAATCGTTCTATTCATGGGGACGGAGCCGGGCCCACTCACCGTCTTCCACATAGCGCGGGTTGGAATACATATTGCGAGACACCACAGCAAACTTAATCTTTTCAAATTGCTTGCCCTTGATGCCGGTCCGCTTAGACAGCCGCTCCTTGGTCTGCTTGAAGATCTCGCCCTAATAAACGTTAGTAATGTAAAACCAAACCCTAAGGCGAGAATACGACGTACCGGCTTCATAACAAACTTGAAAGGCACACCATGCGGCCGGTTGACCTCGCGGTCGAAGTTGAAAGCATTTATCGTCCGTTCGCCGTCCTGCATATTGGCCTCTTCTTCGGGCACTCTTTCGGCGTAGAGCGACACGAATTCGTTAATGCCAGCGATCTTCGAGTCAGCCTGGAATTCCCGGTAGATCTTGCCACCATGGGTTTCATAGACGCGTGTCTCGCGGATCGTCTCGTCATCCAAATTTGCCTTCTTCTGAAGGCCGGCAACGAGATCTGCGATGGTACCGTCTCGAGGAACCAAGACCTCCACCAGTTGCTAAACACTGGTCAGCTCCAAGACCCTTTGCAACAAACGTGATCATCAATCAAAACTTACCTCCTTGGTGATGCCTTCAGGGAGCCATGTAACCTTCAAGCAGGTCTTAGACTCAAAGTCGCTCAAGCTAGTTTCCAGAACTTCGTAGTACAGGGCATCCTGACGATGCATGCTGTATCCATAGGTTGTTGCTTGCCCACCGAGAATATGATACAGGGTTTGGTTGGGTTGATTGGGGTTCCGCTTAATGAACGCCTTCGGCTTGCCAGTACTTGCGAGGACCGGTGCGAAGCGCAGATGTGTCGATTCCACATTCAGGTGCTCGCCGACCTTCTTCGAGAACTGATCGTATGTCATCTTACGGCTCAACGTAAGTGTAAATTCATCGCCCTCATCTGCCTTGATCGGAGCAAAAGTGATGTTGATCCTGTTCAACAGGTAGTCGTAGTATTGCCTTGCGTCCGTATACAATGCAGTTGCCGGTAGCTCGGACTCCTTAATCGTTCTCTGGAAGGTGATGATGTCTCCATCCTGAATCTCGGACTGCTGGAAGGTCTGCTTGGGCTTCATGACGTCGATCATGTTATGTTTGATCTCTTCGAACAGCATGAACTCGGTTCCAGCAGGCCAGCCCATCTTCTCGAGGATGATAGGGGCAAGGTCAGCAACCTTCTGTGTCTTGCGCACGTAGACGGCACCGACACCCGCGATTGTTTGCGAGGGTGCATCGAAATGCTTCAAGAAGACGAGCACCGAGTTGCTATCCGGCCAAGAGATTGATCCGTCTGCGGAAGGCTGGCCCACCTCCATCCAGACCTTGAACGGGTTTCCTTTCGTGCCATAGCGGTTGTAAGCTTCCTCAACAGTCATGTCCTGGTCCTTGATGACTTGGTCCGGCCGAGTCGTCTTGTTCTGCCGATTCACCATGACCCAGAAACGAACCTGCTCAGGATTAAGTCCCTTCTCCTCTGCGAGCTGCTGTGCAAACTCTCCGACCTTCTTGGCCCGGAGAATTCTGTATTGCTTCGGCACCGCAGGATCAGTAGCTGGCAGGTCAGCACTCGTGAGGTCGAATCCGTGATGGGCCTGGAAAGACTCGTCGCTCAATACGCCAACATTGATATACAGGTGGGCTTCTTCTCTCTCCTTCTTCCTGCGCGCCAACTCAATACGTTCTTCCACGAGTCGGTTTTCTGCGGCATAGTTAGTTAAACTCTTTGCAGCTGAATAGAATACCCAACATACCGATGTGGGAGGGAACTTGCTCCTTTGTTATAGGCAAGAGAACATCATCCAATCTCGACTTCCGAACGTATACCAGCATGTAGGCGTTCATTGAGCGCTTCGTTGACAGCCCGCGGGTATAAGGCTGCCTGACACCGGCCGCGCCGTTGGCTAGTTCGTATTCACCACCGTAGTTCTCCTCGAGCACCTCCTTGTCCGTAGCCCGGGTCACTCGATCGTCGTCAAACCGGTACCAGAACCCATCCTTGGTAGGCTTCAAGAAGGCGTAGTAATGACCGGCATTCAGGTCACCGCTGTGCACCAGCACACCGTGCAACTCGTAGATCCAGGGTTCGGACTTATCGGCATCGTTGGAAAGGTACGGGGACGCATCGAACTCCATGGGGAAGGCATGGCGGTCGTTGATCTTCATCATGGCGTCACGATGAATGTCATACTCGAATCGCTTTAAATGAAGGTGCAGAACAGGCGGGAAGCTTTCAAAGATTACACCTTTCTTGGCGTCCTGAAGACCGTATGGTTGTCCGGCATCGTACTTGTTCTCACCTTCGAGAGTCTCCACCTGAATGTAGTCCTTGAAACTGTCGTCGAGAGTCTTGTTGCCTCGAACGTTAAGTTGGATGTCCCAGAAGTCCTCCACTCGCGACGATTCGTAGTCGACATTGATGCAGGAGATGTAAGTTTTCGTTTTTCCGACGAACATTTCCGGTAGAGCCTTTTCTGCCGGCGTACCCTTCATCTTCTCCTCCATCCTTTCCATGAGTTTTCTCGAAAGCTCCTGGACATCCTGTTGCTCAAAGATTTGTCGCGATTCCCAGCCGAAAGATGCTGTGAGTTCTGTCGTTGATACAGAGTTCTCACTCGTTTGAAGATTATAAAACAGTCTCTGGAGAGTCCAAGCACTGTTGTCTCTCGAAGCCTCGGCCTCCGTGGGGATCTCGTAGACGGCCTTGGAACGTGTCAGCATAATCACGTCAAGACAGGTAGAAACTACCACATACCTTTCGGAATTTGTTGGTAAAGTATAAGGACTGCAAGAGCGAGTTCAGATAGCAAGTTGCGCCTTGGTTCTTCAACCCAACCATGCCAGTTTCCTTCTTCGAGTCGTAGCTGGAAGCAATCAGCAAGAGGTCCGAGTAGGCGTCTGAGCCAATACATACTTCTGGAAGCTGTGCCACAGTACACCTGTTGGATCTTTGACGACACGCACGTATGCTGTGATCTTGGCCTCTTCGTTCTGCACCAGAGGAACGCCGCGGCCCTCCCATGGCACGCTAAAGAGCCTGCGCAGCTCACAGAATCGAGTGAATCCCCAGTCACCCTCGTCCGCATTAAACCGATGTGTGGCGACTACAATCCGATCAGCGAAAAAGAAAAAAGAAAATTAGTCACGGCTTCCAGTCTGGGTATACGCACCGTGAGAGATATAGATGGACGGGTCGTTCACATTCGACAGGACCAGAGCAAACTGGACGCAGGCATACCAGTTCGCTGGAGGTTCGTTTTCCCAAGCGTGTTCCAGGTAGAACGATGCATGTTCGACATGATTACCGTAAGGAAAGAAAAGGACCCGCCTATCCAAAAATATCAGCACCAGCTTGTCGGACAGAAGCGATAGGACGGTGCACCCACCAAGGAAAGCCGGCGCACTGGAAGACCGGGCCGTGTTCCTTCTTCTTGAGTTTCCGCCAATCCTGGATATGCCATGTGTGATATGTCTCATCTTCTGTTTCCAAATCGGGGTCTTTCGGGAGGATCCGGGCCATCATTGCTGCATCTGTAGTGAAGATCGGGGAATCAGACATGTCCTCAAGCTTGACGGAGAAAGCGCTCGTCACCGCGACCTGTAACGGCTCACCCCCACCGCGGGGATTCCGTGACACCAACACACAACCATCGCCACGGCAAAAGAGACACCAAAAGGAGCAAAGAAAGACGGGGGAAGAAGAATCTTACGATCGTCGGCAAGAGGCTCTGGCTCCGGTTCCTCCGATCCGGACCGAGAGACGACGACTTCGTCGGTTCTGTCATTGTGATACTGCTCATATTCGTCGACGAGCATCTCACTGCCTGGGACCTATAGGATCCGGAACACGATGTCAGCGGTCGGTGGCTTGCCGGAACGGGAACATGTTGAAGTAAATGCGAAATGAATTTTAATGAACAGCAATATGAGGGAGAACTTACGTTGTCCATGTAGAAGGAAAAGAGTGCGAACCCGCACTGGAGATGAACGACAGACTCTTCTCACGGACGGGACGCTGCAGGTGGATGAGGGAGTATTAAAACGGAACGGGTTAATCCTTCGGAGAAGTGGTAGGATAGGGCGGGAATGAAAGGGGAGGGGGAGAGGTCAGGACCTCGTAAGTCGAGAATGAGAATTGAAAGAGAAGAGGAGGATCTGGGCTGCAGTGATTCCAGTCCGCAGGAGTTTGGGATGAAGCTAGTGGCGGAGTTGCCATAACCCAATAATAACGGCCATGCGGGACACAGCAGCCCTTATTATTAAGAGGTTTCTGGTGCTTCCCCTACAAACCACCACCACCACCACCACCTGTTTTTTTCTGCCTGTTACTACTGTGTTTGCTGCCTTTTGAAGGTGGGTTGATCAATGGATGGGAGTAAATTCATAGGGCTTGTTGACTCGAGGAAGGTAGATCTCTCTACAGTGACAATACCCTAGCCACTTCTATTCATGCTCGTACGATGATTGACTCCAATGCCAATGGTTTTGGCATTGAATGCTTCTTGTTGTGAGTCGTGTGAACACAGGACCTGCACAAAAGAAGCAGTAGCTGGCAGTTACCGGTTTTGCCATCTGCAGCTTTAATTTAGGCGGCTACTAGGTCCTCCTCCTGGCAGTTGCCTGGCGTTGGCTCGCGTTTTGTTATCTATTTTCTATGCAGGATACAGAGTTAAGGGAAGGCTGATAGCCACCTACCCAAGCGTGATATCACCCGTGCATTTTTGACGATCCACCGTCCAAACTAGACCAAATCCGAGCGACATTAGGATGCTGCAGTTCCGAATGACCGAAAGGATAGTTTGACAAAGAATTTATCCGGCGCCCTATATCTATATAGACAGGAAAGGAATATATCATATGGCCATTTAGTATTTGACTTTTCGTTTACTATTTCTTACTGCTCTTCCTGCCAATTTCCTCTTTTACATAATTAGGCTTGGACCTCCTCCCAACGCCATCCGCTCTTAGTCCACGATCGGGTGGAATGGAAGATCACCGTTTAATTAGGCAGCACCCCTGTACTGTATCCTAGCTTCTACGCAGTACCGGTCTGACCTCGGATCAGAGTGATAGATTGATTGATACGAATACTCTCAAGGGAATACTTGGGTGCTGATCACTTCTTTCTTCCTTTCAGTTCAGCAGTACATGTGAGCATCGGCACGTCACATGCCTGGCCAGTTCTTCCCTGAAAGTTCTCACCGCCCGGGCACCTGGAAACCGGCCGCATTTGCCATCAGGAACCATGTCATGCCACTGTGAAATCAGCGGTCGTGGACCGAATTGATCCTCTGCAGAGCCATGTATGGACCATTCTATCGGCACTTGATTTCATGTGGCTCTTTTGATGCGCGTCCGTTCTGCATTGGCAAAATACGGACCCCTCCATGCCACATCCGCGCTTGAGCCATTGACTCAGTCCAGACCACAGCAATATGGCGTGGAGTCATTCAGCTCGTCGCTGGCGGGCTCTTCGTCAATGCTGCACCCCAAAGCTACGATTTTATTCCACCCAGCAAGCTCACAGTCCGCCGCCATGGAGGCCAGTATCGGCTTTGGATGAGTAGGCTTTTTTTGATCCAATTTGCCTGGCTTCAATACTAATCGGTTGCAGATGGGTTGAGCGTGACATCCGTCCTATCAGTTTGCGACAGCTAACTTTCTTTGGACGAACCCTGACTGAATCCCGGCTCATCAGCTCGGCCAACTACGTACGAACTGAGCTTCCAACCAGGTTAGTGCAGTCTCGTCCCAGATCAGTCGACGATCTCACTAACCCCCATATCTCACTAGACTCGCGCATCGCCTACGAGATATCCAACGACTCCCGTATGTTGTGGTTGCCAACCCCCACCTGTCCATGGTATACGAGCTCTACTACAAAGCATTCGAGCGATTTCGGACCATCCCGGAAATAAAGACGTTAGATGACAATGACAAATTCTGCGACATCCTACGCAAAACGCTCCGAGAACACCTAGTTGTGATTCCTAAATTGGCAACGGGTGTCCTGGAGTGCCGCGAGCTTGTCCCGTCAGATGTGCTGGACAGCTTCATGAACACTCTTCTCCGAGCGGTAAGGCCTTGTCTGGGTGAGCGATATGTTTCTCTACTGATACATTGGGTCTAACAGAGAATTTCACGCCGCGTTATCGCCGAGCAACATCTTGCTTTAACGGAAACCTTCAACTCTCCATGGCACTTTCCTGGCTCCCAAGACCGCACAGACCTGAATGCCGACTTTGTCGGTGAGGTTTTCCTCAGATGCAACGCGAAAGAGGTTGCTGAACGGTGCGGAAAGCTGGCGCAAGATATGTTGCGGCAGAGCGGTGCATCGGATAAGATCCCGGAAATCACGGTGCAGGGTCACCTCGAGGCAACCTTTCCTTACATGCTGAGTCACCTGGAGTATATCATCGGTGAGCTACTCCGAAATTCGATACAAGCTGTGAGCGAACGATACCGAGACTCTTCGGAGAAACCGCCACCTATCGAGGTTCTCATCTGCGAGGCCCCGCAGCATGTGATCCTGCGCGTATCGGATCAGGGCGGCGGCATACCGCGTAAGGTTCTGCCATACCTGTGGTCTTTCAACAAGGGCCCTTACAGCACGTCACATCTCCAGAATTTGGAGCAGGTTCCTGCCATGGCTGCCACCATGCAGGAGCTGTGCGTGCCGACGGAAAGAAAGGATGCGGATCGGGACACATTCCGCGAGAGCTCGCTGGATTCGCTGACCTCGCGGCCTCCTAATCTGCGTCTGGGGATCGGATTGCCCATGAGCCGAGTGTATGCCGAGTACTGGGCGGGCAGCTTGGAGCTCCACAGCCTCGAAGGTTACGGAGTGGATGCGTTCCTGCAGATCTCGAAACTCGGCAACAAGAACGAACAGGTGACGACACGTGCGTCGATCGATGCAGTATAGATGGGGTTGGAAGGGACAGAGAAGTGAAGCCGTATATATTGGGAGATATACAAACAGCAACAGCAACAATGGCACCTGCCTCTCCTACATCTTACTCCTATCTACTACTACTAGTTAGTTGACTCCCCACTTACCCCAGGTTTTGCGTAGCTCGGCCTTAAGCCCAAACAGGCAAGCGCGGCCCATTTGTGGCAGCTTGCGGGATGACGTCAGCCGGAATGGATTCCGGGCATTCCAGGCCAAATCAAAAGAACATTTCTGCCTTGTTGGTGGCCTGGCAAGGGATCGATCGCTCGACTCGGCTGCTGTGTTGTTCTATCAAACTCAACTTGTGACAGCTGATTGATTTCTTGGGAAATTGATTGATCCTACCGCACCACCTTCCCATCCCGGTGACGTCGATCCAGAAACGCCAGTGAAACCTTGTGACTGATCCACTCGCCTTCTCGATTTATATACAATGAAGCGTCTCAATTCCAACAAAGATGACAACGTCCCCATCTACATCTACTTCTTGCTGGTTGTGATTCTATCCCTCAGCTTCCTGGGCACCTATCTGGACTCTACCAAGCGTGTCAAGTCCGCCACACGGTCCTAATCAGACATTACTATTATATCACCGTTATAACATAGCCATTAAAATCAACAAAGATGGCCGGCACATGCTCCATGCTCTGCTTGATTCTTATCACGTTGTTCAGTATGCAGCCCCTCTCTTGAATACTGACACTGTCCTATTCTAAAGCTGAAGCTAATACTCTTGGTTATCTAGTACCTCCTCTCGGTGTGTTTATGATCTCGGGTTGCAGTGTTGACCTACTTATCAATATACTCTTGACGATTCTCGGGTCCGTTCTAATCATACTCCTTCTTGCCTTCGCAGGATTACCCTGAAGTGAATAGTTTCTGACTGAGTCCACTTTGTGCAGGTACCTGCCAGGCCATGTCCACGCATTCTATCTCGAATACGTATACTACGCCAATCGCAACGCAGGAACCGGCGATGCACCACGTCGGGCGCCGGGAGTATATTCCGAGCGGATTCAGCGCGGCGGTCATCACACAACGTATGGCACGATTCCGTGATGGGTGCTGGATGAATCAAGCTTCATGTGAACATGGCTGCTGTTTCTTTCCCCCTTTTCATCCGACTGTGCTGGGTATTGTTATGTCATAAGGCCCTCAAATGAGCGACTAGGGAGTCGATAGCATCATTAATCGGAGTCGAGGTTCTCTATTTCTACAATCCAAGTAGATGACATGCTCAACCTCAAAAAACCTAAAACAAGCCCATCCATGCATAAATAAACACCCAAAATAAATAACAACAAACCCAATGCAATTATTCCATCCCTCCTACATGAACAAAACTAACCATCACTCACTATACTCCCAACAATCCCTCCACCTACGCCGCCCCGGCACCAGCACCAGCAGCAGAAGCAGTCCCAACATTCCTGCCCTTCAGCGCCGGCAGCCCAAAAGCCTTACTCGTCCCGACATCGCCCTTCGTCCTCATCGCACCCCCAGTCTCCGGAGCCCACCACAGCGCCCCAACCCACGGCTGCACATTCCACCCCACAGAGAGAGTGACATTCTCCCGTTCGGCCATCTTCCCCGAAACATCTCCGATAGAGTACTTGGCTCTCTGGTCGCGGAGTCTCAGCTTCCCGGGCTCAGATGCCTTCTTGGCAGTTTTGCTAGTAGTGGACGTCTTCTTCGTGCTGCGCTTCTTGTTCGCAGATGATGCAGAAGGGAAGAACTTCTCGCGCAGGGCATTAAAGGAGTAAGGCGACTCCGGGGCGGGGATGATAGTGTCCCAGATGACGGAGTGGGAGGGCGCGGAGGTGGTTGGATTCGAGGGGTCGGAAGGGTAGGTGGCGTAGACGTAGACGAAGAGTTGTTTGGTGTTCCAGTTGAAGAGGGGGGTTAAGTCTTTGGGTTCATTGAGGGAATGGTTAGTATTAGTGTAGTGGTGGTGGTGGTGTTGGGGAAGTTGAGGAGCAGGGGGGAGGGGGGAGGGATGGAAGTACCAGCGTCTAGGTCGAATTTCATGGCGGCGTATTCTTCCTTTCGCGTGCTGTAGTAGTGGGGACGGCCTTTTGTTCTGTTGGGTTGGTTGTGTTAGTTATTCCATTCTTCTTGCTTATGGGGGTAGTTGTGTTGTTGTTGTTGTTGTAGTAGGTATTGGATTGGGTGGGATTGGATTCGATTGGAGAAAGATGGTACACGTACACTTTCACATCGCGCAACTTCACACTGGATGTCACATCGTCAGTAGGATAGAGAAACACGCTGAGAGCCGCGAGACCGGCGACGAAGAGAGCGACTGTCGTGAAGAAGCCGAAGACGCCTTGGGCGCGGTTGAGGGTGGAATGCATTGTCTCCCTTGGTCCCTCTTGTAAGGAGAAATCGGGACTGGAGATAGGATGGGGAGAATAAAATATAGGGAGAATTACTCCCTGTGAAGCTGTTGTGTCGCGAACCGGGGAGAATTGGTACTAGTATTGAGGATAGAGAGACAAAGATGGGCGGAGCTTTGAAGCCACATGGGCCTTTTTCGGGATTGGCTGGGCTTACTGGATGGGGGCTTATCGATAAGCTCCAATAGTAGTCAACTTATCTTCTCCGACGCTTTCTTACTTTGTTACTCACTCTCTTCAACTTCTACGCTGAATTGCTGCGCGCGATGTCATTATAGACAATTACATACTCTCTTTCGACATCTATATTAATAGCTCTTTTCATTACTACAGGATTATCTCCTTTTCTTACCTACACCCACCACACCACATCCTCAACACCAACACCAATTGACCCCGCATATTCCCCCTCTCCTCCACCCAATACTCCAAACTCCACAGTACAATAGACCATTTATATATATATACATTAGAAGATACAAGGAGATAAAATGGGCGACCACATTCTCTTCTTCTACGGTACCCCCACCCCTCTTTCTCCCCTTCCACTCCACATCTACTAAACCTCTAAAGGAACCCTAATGGCCCCTCCCATCCTCCACCGCGTAATCCACGGCCACTCCACCCCCGAGCCATGGCAAAAGGCTCTTTTAACAGTCAAGCCTGCAATCCTGCATGGATACCGACGACATAGAGTTCGGTATGCAGATTATCCGGGTATTATACCCACACCTTCTTCATCTGGTGCAGATGATGGCAATGATACTACTACTGCCGGTAGTGATGGCGAGGCATCTGTGCTAGGCACAGTAGTGTGGGGATTGACAGATGGGGACATGTATCGATTGGATCGGTTCGAGGGGAGTGAGTATGAGAAGAGGGTGGCTAGGGTGAGGGTTTTAGAGAACCATCATCATGATGAGGGTGATAATGGGAAAGCAGGGGATATACAAGAGGTTTTGGATGCAGCGGAGACAGAGGGCAGCGAGACAAAGGAGGGGAAAGAAGTAGAGGCCGTGACCTATGTGTGGACTGCTGGTAAGGAGCGTTTAGAGGATGCCGAGTGGGACTTTGAAGCCTTCAAGCGGGATAAGATGGCGTGGTGGGTGGAGGCGGATGAGAAGGATTGGTAGATAATAGATAGAATGGTATTTCCAGTTGAGCTAAATCAGATCATCCGATTCTATCACATATTGGTATATACAATTCAAATCACCGCTCTTTTCATGAATATCCTCGAATCAATCGCATGCAAATGCTTGGTATCTAATGCAACCCGTAACAACTGTCAACTCAACCCTCCTCCCCGGTGTCCCGAAAACGCCTGCGTGCGGATGGCACGGACTAGGAAAATGACAAAACCAACAATGCATAAGATAAGTATTAGAGGTAGAGCTTTTCGTTACTACTATGTGCAAGGCTGACTACCTGGTGGGCGTCCCTCGTACTTGCGTCTCGACCGCTACGGCACTCACGGCGTCGTCAGGCTCATTGCCTTCCCGAGCATTTTTCTTGACGTCGACAACGGTGCGCGGATGTGTCTCCGACTCCGGGCTCTGTCGTCGAGTCTTTGCGGGCTTGGAATTTACCTTAGACGACGCTGCCTCCGGCTGACTGTCTGGAACTAGGACAACATCTTGCTCAGCAAGTGCTTCGTGATGCCGTGACTGTTTCGCGTCCACTACCGGTGATCTGCTCGTCTTTTGAGATCTCTCCTGATCCGAGCCGGTCTCCACTGCAGCCTTCGAATGTCGTTCAGAACTCACAGCTGGAGCATGGTCCTCTGAGTTATTGGGTGACGCTTTCCCATGCCGGGGTGAACGTTTGCTTTCGCTCTCCGCATCTTCCAGCACGGGATTGCCGAGCAGGTAGCATACCGGCTTCTTATTCACCATGGTGTCTGTGTCACTGATCTTATGGCTTTTCAGCTGCTCCTGCTCGTCATAAAGCATGTCAAGGAATTTGCGGAGTCGCCTTCGGAGAAGACCAGATTTGAGCGGAGGCCAGTCGCTTTTTGGATCCATCTCCTTCCGGAGAAGCTTCCTGACAAATACATCCGGATCTTGAACAAACTTCTCCAGGTACGCCAGAAGGTACAGACCGCAGTCGGAATAATTGGGCTGCAGAGGTATTTCCCGAGCCCTCATACCCTTGATCAGGCCTTTGTCGATTTCGATTCCCTTCTTCGATTTTGCTTCTTCGTACAAATATTCACGTAGGGAGCTTATTGTTGGCGAACGGGGCACATTCAGCGAGTCAAAAGTAATGATGATCGGCTGGCAGACATCGTATCTGGGGCCCGCTCGCTTCGCCTTTTGTTTGCGAGGCTTCGCTGATGGTTCGGGCAATTGAGGAGCTTCCTTCGTATCAAGTTGTTCGGGCGTCGTTGCTTTCTCCGTAAGACTAGAAAGCGTTTTAAAAGGCCCTTCTGGGCTACCATCAAGCTCAGGCCACTCTTGGTCTGCAGCAGGACTTTCTGCAGGCTTGTCTTCTCCAGTCCTGTCAGCTATCCTCATCGTTTCGAGAGATTGCCTAGCTAACTCTGCTCTCGTAGAGTCTGAGCCGTTGGAATGCTTGTGTTCCTTGCCCTTGTTGGTGGTTACCTCCGGCTCTGGAGTTTCAGGGATCTCCTGAACCTGACTGTCTGGTGGGCCCGAAGGCTCTTTCTCGCCTTGCGTAGGCTTGTTGGGATCAAGCCCTTCCTGAACAATCCCCTGCAGGCTTGGTAAGTTGCAGATTATGGCAACATACCAGTGCGCGCTTTCGTTGATGGGGACCACGACATAATCGTGACTGAATATGTCGACGGTTCTCGTCCACTTCTGCACGCCTTCATAATTAATGCCCCGCTTGCCTCGGGGGACGTTCATGAGTGTATCGTGAAAGAAGGAGTTGAAAAAATATACTCTCTTCGCCGCCTCACTATTGGTGCGCTCCAGATGGTCTTGCAAGAATCGAATGTAAAACCCGATAAGGTTGTCATTCAAGAATTCATTTTCGCGCAGTCGCTCAAGGTCGTAAACATCCACCTCGGCCTTCTTCTTCCCGACCAGCGGATAAACAAGGGGCCTAGTCCATAGTCAGCAGCGATGCGTACCAGTTTTTGGAGAGTCACATACTTATGCCACTTTTCAGTGTTTACGGCTGGTAAAGGTTGCTGCGTATTTTCATCATCGCTATCGTCACTGTCATAATTCGTCAGTCGCACTCCCCCATGAAATGTTAGCCAGCCAATACATACCACACTACAGTAGTCGCGGCGGAAGGAAGACGCGACATGGCTCTTGTGGTGATGCTGGACGCAGACTTCTTCACGGGAATTTCCACCCCGGGGTCCGTGGCGCTCTTCGACACACGGCTTGGGCTCGTTTTAGGCTGAGATGGGGGTGTCTTGTTGGGCTTCGGTGCAGTAAGGGAGGGGTTTGCACATTCCCGAGAGGCGGCATCCGGCGGCGACGGCTGTCTTCCAGCGGCAACCCCGTTTTCATCTCGCAGGTTGTCCGTGAGCTTAACCCGCTTGGTGGCCTCACGCTGTTTGTCCGGCACTTGCTCAGGACTGCCTTCCGATGATGGCCGTTTTAGACCATTTGTAGATTGCTTAATTTCTCTTTGGGCCTTGTTAAATGCTTTGTCCATCCATTCGCTGCTCTCGTATCAGCCTTAGTTCAACAGCAGAAGGTAGGACTAAGAAACAGCATCGATAGAGCCAAAGAAAAATAGCACGAGTGCCAGGAGAACAAAGATCAGACATACCTTGACTTGTCACGAACGTCGACCTCACCCAACAAACAGCAGAATTCCTCCTTCACAGTGGAAGACATAAATTCTATATCAATTCGATTGTCGAGTTCAGATGTCTTTGATAGGACTAATCTGACCTTATTGCTCGGTGTTTCTGCCTTCAGGATCTGTCGTACTCTGGAAAGAGGCGCTTCAAAAACGTTTTCCGAATCTGTCTCGTGACACAGTGCGATTGTGCGTTTCGTCATGTCGATGTGGACCTCGATGGTTTTGCCGTCCGATGCTTGCTGTTCGATAGGACCAGTTCGGACGAGATTTGCTCTGAAAGATCGTTGGTTTGACATCTCCGAAGCCTTGGTCTTCTTGTTCTTCCGTTTCCCTTTCTTGCTACCCCCGGAGGCTTCGAAAATGGTTGGTTTAATGTCTCGAGACAGATGCTCATGGTCTGTCATGCTTTGACTTCCAAGCTCAGCTCTCTTGCCTCCGATTTGAGCGGGCGGTGGCCGCACCGTTACCGCCCCTTGAAGTTCATCGGGACTCTCCCGCGATTCAGACACCCGTCTTCTGGATTTTGCCGCGATTTCCGGATCATGAAGGAACAAACCCATCTTTGTATTCTTTGCAGTGTCCTGAGATTTCGCATTTATGATTTCGACGCTTTCTAGGATCTCATGTTTGGAAGGTCGTTCCTGCTTGGCGCCGGAGTCTATGTCGGAAATGAAAGAATTATTTCTCCGTCTTTCTTTGGTTGCATTTTTTGTAAAACGTTCGTCGCGGTCATCATCCGACGGTGCGCCGAAACTGGGTAAGGGGCCACGCTTTGGGCTTGGTTGTATCCGGGATGGTCTCACGATATTTTCAGTGCTTCGGTACTCGTCCACTTTTGAGCGTCTGTTATTCCGCTGTTTCTTTTGCTTCCCTGAACTCTGGCTCAAAGTAGGAGACATACGTGGTGGGTGACCGGCGATGCGGGGCGCATCCTGAGCGGGGTGCTCAACATCGTTGTCCGATGGTTTTGTGAATTTTCCATGGCTGGAATCGAGGGTATCCTGGCGGCGCCGTTTATTGGGTCTTTCGGAGCCTGCGTATCCTGTGATATTTCCTGGCTGGCTGTTACGTAGGCGACTCGGTTTTCCTTGTGCATGAACCGGTCCACTGTCTCGACCTTTCGATATCGTATCCACGGGTCTGAAAGGTGACTTGTTCCTGCTGTCAGCACGGGCACAGTAGTATCTTTCGGTTCCAAATTTCATCATACCTTAGGTTTATTGCTTTTCGTCTGTCCTGGCACTATAGGAATCCCACTGGGGTCATTCCTATAAAGTGGATATCGCTGATCAGCATACCTCCTTTGAGACCATTGCGCAAAATTGAACACACCATTTATTGGGAGGAAACAACCTGAGTTCATCGTATGCTTCGGAACGCTGGCGCGACTTGGCATGTGTTGCATCGCCAGACCTAATATCAATCGAGTCAGTATCGCTCGGTATATATCCGCATTGCGAGGCCATATTTACAGGCGACGCATTCCTGATTCTGATCGAGGAACGGTCTGGCGGTATTGTGGACGTACAGGTCGGTGTTCGTAAGGATGTCGAAGTCCTTCGGCATTGCTAAAAGCAGTCTATCACGGCCGGTGTTAGCAGAGCGGAAAATGTAAATTTAGAGGCCAAGACATGGGCTGCGAAAGAATAATCGCACGATATTCCCGAAAGCGCTGGGCGGAGTACGGATACTTACAGTAACCGGGTGAAGGCTGTCAAGTGAGGGATATAGAGACCCGTATTCTACAGGCGAACCGGGATTCCATGCGCCGGACGTCTCAGTCCGCTGTATGTGGTCGGAGGTCGCATCTGATGGGGGAGCAGGATCGGGGGAGGTTTGCGGGGAGGAGAGGGGTCGACTGGAGGTCCGGCCGGAGAGGAAGTCTGACAGTTGCTTGAAGAATGGCATATAGTCACGAGCGAGGTCATTGCATGACCGGACAGGCCAGGAGGGTTTTCATATTCGGCGAATACCGAGCAGAAGTGGGCATGGCGATGAAGAGAAATGCATCATGGATGGGCCAGAAAGGCGGTGGGAGGATTCTGCCCGCCGGCGTGCGGAGCCCTAGGAATCTGCTGACTAGTGCGGGCACTAGTGGCCGGACTAGTAGTGTCTCGTGCATTTGCTGTAGATAGATAATTCTATGGTTTTGGTTAATCATGTGAGATTATTCCATTTCTACAATGTACTATGCTGCTCATGTATATGGTGCTTTAATATACATTGTACCTGTTTTTGTCTTATGATCTTTCACAAGAGTGAATCCATTTTACACATTGATGCTGCATCCGTAATAGTAGGGGTAGTAGTAGTGACAACTTATAGTACTAGCCACCATTCATTCCATTTTATATAATCATACCAGCCTAGTAGATATAGGACTCTGGTTGAGCACCTAGTAGGAGTAGATACTAAGCTCGGTATTTTGCAGTATAGTAATGCTCGAAAATATTCTTTGTAATGACAGAACAAGTAATACAAACCGATTAGAATCATCCACCAATTTTCAAGAATTATAAGGGACATGAAATAGTGCAGAAAAGCCCAAGGAGGATCACAGGACGACAAATGAAAATAAACCACCAACTCTTCAACATATGATACATAGTCATTACTATTGATCTGTATATATCAGGGATAAAAATAGGAATTCACAGACCGAGCAATCTATCCTTCCCCATACAAGGACACCTAACACATCAATCTATAGCCGTGACGCCGTGAGCTTTAGAAGTGTCCGAGAACTGCTAATCCAGTAGCCACAGAGAGATAATCCGCCTCACTCGAAAGAACTCCTAAGGGCTGCAACAAGAACAGCAAAAGAAGTAAGTAGCAAAAATAATGCACCAGCACCCCAACTAACCGTCCACCTCTATCCCATAGTAACTACATCCTCCAGCTTCAAGCTATAGTTATACCTACCATGATCTAAGTAACTAATGCACCGCAGCACCTTCAATCACCCACTCACAGTGCTCCATAATGCAAGTTTAGATTCCGAATGCCCTTTTACGGTCATTGAATATGATGTATCACACCCCTGCCGTAGCATATAACAGACTAGCCTGCAGGGTGTCATGTCCCTGGTCTACATTGGCCGTGGCTCCACTTACCGTAAAAAATTTCTATCCAGACTATTCACGTAGCAGTGGATTAGTGGCGCTTTTCACATCTAGGGTTCATGAGATACAAGTGGAATAAATAAGATGGTGGTGGGGATAGTATCTGCGGCTTCCAATATGTGAAGGGATAGGGAAGAAATGAAGAAATTAAATTAGGGAGGTAGAGACATGAGTGGACTGCTGGTGCGAAAGCGTGGAAATTCTACCGCAGGGGGGTTGTCGGGGTGGAGAAGAAAATCTACTCATAGCGGGGGTTTAGGTAGATTGCTTGTTTTTCTAGTGCTTTATGTTTAAGGGATGAAATCAGGTGTAGACAGTAGGACAAAGTCGATCCAATCCCACGTGGGCTCTCAAAAAGACCCGAGTTTATAGGGAATTAGCGAGAAATCGAAAAGCATGCGGGGAATAAATATGTAGTGGTTTACATGCACGATCTACTAGTCTGGTTCGAAAAAAACGTCACTAGCAGATCAATAAATAGTATCTCCAATCACATTTCATGCAGATGAGGAAGTAGAAGTAGAAGATACTAAGTATAGCAGTAATAAAAGTAGTTACGCTTCATCCCATCCGAGCACCCCAAACTTGCAGTTCCACGTGCAGTAGCAGCGCCCATGAATTGACATAAAATGGACAGAAAAAAAAAGTTAAAAAAAAAGAATAAAAACCCAAATCGAGATCACTCAGTATTTCGCCCTAAATGCCCCGATCCCAAATCATCCCAATGAGATTTTTGTGTGGCCTTTACTATACAGGATCATAACCCACGTAAAGCATGTCAAGATGTCGTGCCTTTTCCTTTATCCCCCTCGTCATTCGCCGTAACTCTTCGTCGATCGCCCAGCTGGTTTTGCTGGTTGTGATTGTGGTTGTTGTTGTTGTTGTGGTGGTGGTGATGGTGATGGTGATGGTGGTGATGACCGGCGTTTCCGGCGGCCTTCTCCTGGCGAGCCTGGTCGATGGCCGAACGTTGGGCGATACTGTCGTCATGACTCTTCCAGACGATATTGGTGTCGGCCGGGAAGTTCAGCAGACGTTTGATTGTCTCTCTGCAGAACACGTTAGTAAACTTGCGATGTCACTTCCAACGGGATGTGTCCACGTATGACATACCTGATCTTGATGTTCCGCCCGCCATCGATGCGGGTCCACACATTCAGAACATCCTCCCCGCTCCGCACACTGAGCACCGCACCACAAACCTCATCACTAGCCTCTGCAAACTGGTCACCGATCATAGCCAGGAGGAGATCCTCCCAGTAGCGATCCGCAACCCCCTTCTTCAGCCTCACCACCCATTTTCCACCTCTCTTATTGGCCTCGTCCTCCCATACCGGACGGATGCCCTTTTTGAAGATATGGTAGTCGGAGACTGTGGGGAGCAGAGAGGGCCTCTTTAGGTGCGAATAGATCGACCAGAAACTCTCTACTGATGATATGGATGCAAGCGGAGCGGTAGACTTTTCGTAATCGGAGTATTTAGGTGTGGGAGGCCGGTACCAGATAATCCAAGTGGACTTGAGCGGGTGCTCCTTGAGCGTCAAGGCAGCGCCCTTAGGTTTGCCGGCCTCAGCAGCGGAAACCTGGTCGACAGGGTTTTCACGCTTCTCGCCGGGAGTTTTCAGGTCGGAAGGTGCACCGGGGGTTTTGGGGGTTCCAAACGACGCAAAGGCACCGGAGCCCAGGCCGAATGCAGAGGAGGCGTTTGTAGACGGAGAGGACACGCCGCCGGAGAGGGGGGAGAGGGCGTTGAAAGGGTTGGACCGGCCGCCGTGGGAGCTGTCGGGGCCGAAACGCTTGGTGGCGCGGGGAAGTTCAACTCGAGCGCCGTCCGTCCCCGTCATAGACAGAGACAACTTGGAGGTGCTATAGATAGGAACAAAAGATTAAACAGGTTAGTTGAGTCGCATCAGCCACACAAGCATGCGGGCAAAGTCATCGTGTCGGAGTGGGACGTACTTGGATCGGCGAGTCCAGAGGTTTGCGTTATCCATGGAGATAGCTACTGACGGCCCAGAAAGCGAGCGATCATCAGCCGGGGACACAGGATCCGGCGGTCGGGTAGTTTTGCGAAGGGGAGGAGGAGGAGGAAGAAGAGATTCGAGGTCGTGGGCGAAGGTACCGAGCAATGCAGGGAGATCGAGTGACACAGGACCCAAGTCTGAAAATTACTAGATAGGATTAATTGAGGGTACAAGCAGGGACGCGGCGAGCGGAGCAGTCAGGACGGTAGTCGAGGCGAGGTGAGGAATAGAAGGTGACGAAGATACGGGGGGAGGAGGAATCGTGATCGTGATCGTGAACGTGAGGAGGGAAGTTCTAAGAAGGTCGAGGGGGGGGAAAGAAGCAGTAGATACTTTGGTAGATGTGAAGTGGGAAAGGGAAGGGAAGAAGAGAAATGCGGAATTGCGGTTTCTGGAAGTGAAGAAAGCCAGCTGCCCGCCAGCCAATCACCGTCCCGCCCCGCCTGTCCGCCCGCTCCGTCGTTTTTCCATGCGGCGCCCTTTATTAAAGCCGCTGAATTTTTCTCGCATCTCTTCTTCTTCTTTTTCTTCTTTAAACCCAAGACCACCAACTCAAATCATCGCTGGCTGCACACTTTTGATTCTGTCGAATTTTCAACTGCACTGGCGATTCCGATGAGTGTGTCGAGAATATCTTCCAATACCCGCTTCTAAAACCATCATCACGAGGGCTCTTCCGGGCTCCATGATGCGGTGATGACCTGTATGTCGGGACATGCCTTTGCCAATATTATGATTTTTGGCCTTGGCCCCCTGAGAATTGAATCGTAGCAGCTGTGGAATCTTAGTCCGGCGCATATGTAGTAATTCGACTAATTGCCGGTGCGTTCTTCCTGTTTTGTCTCCCTGTGCTGCCTGCAGGCTGTCTGTCTGGTTGAACAACGGCCGGTCGGTCGCTTCCCGGTCTTCTACGTTGCATGATGAAGCTTTCATTTACATACTCTGGTAATCCGAGGTGCTCAACCGCTGCTACGCTACTACGGTGGTGTAGACATACGCTGGTCGAGTGTGAGGTCCACTGGCATGTCTGATTGCCGTAATTTGCTCCTATTCTGCGTGTCACTGCTCTGCCTCATCAGTTGCTGACGTGGCTGTTTGTAGTAGATTGTCCCATGGCAGACTAGAACTTGCTCTCCCACGTGCGAGTTCACTTCTGCTACACTCATACTTATCGATATTTGTGAGAATTTGACTCGGATTGACACCTGAGATTAGATGATCTTCTACAACCACGGCCCCTGTACACAAGAACAAGATGGAAAGAGAAAAATGGCATTGTATTGTCGTATCAATAAAATCTATACACGGATCAAGTGTGCCCAGGATGGAAAAGGCCTCAACTGTCAAAGATGCTGGACCATAAATGTAGAATGCTCGGAACTCATTCTTCAAGATGAAGCCGTGTGCATATCGCCCGTCGGTCACAGTTCCGCATAGTAGATGATAGTGGTAGGGGTAGGTGAGGAGAGAAGAAAGGGTTGAGGGAGAAGTTCTGTCATGGGAGCTAGCCCCGGTGGTGCTGTTTTCATTTGCAGAGTTGTGTAAACATGCACAACGTCGACAACGCACGCTTAAGATGGCGCGCACGCTTCCCGGGAACCCCTGTTTGAGTACGTTGGGTTGGGAAAGTTCATATGAACGGCAGGTTGGAGAGGGCTGCACGGATGTTACATACAAGCTTCACTGCCCCGGGTGTGGTGCGGAAGGTGGTCCGCTTTCAGACCCGTCTTGCTTGACACGCTTGGGGTCTCTCTCGCTCGGAGGTGCAGACGGTGCCCCCTTGCGCTTCTCCTTGTCTCGCTGGTACTCAGCACGACGTTCTTTGTCTCTCTCGCGACGGAGGGCCTTGGACTCAAACTCATGCCAGTCACCTTCAATATTCTCCAATCTGAGATGCGTTAGCGATAGTGTAGCATGGGCGATAATGCATTCGAACTTACTCGACGGCTTGTTGAGCACTTGGCTCCTCTGAAACAAAGTATGGGTGTGACAGAATCTCCTCGGTACTTGGTCGTTTTGTAGGATCGTAGCGGAATATCTGCGAAACCAAATCCAGAGCAGCGGGCGATAGGACTTCCCGGTAGACCTCTTCAAATATCCTCTTGCGCCGTTCAGTCGGCCGCATCAGCTCGAACCAGGGCATCTCGACAATGTCTGGCCACTCTTGCCGAGTTGGCGTACCAAGTGAATTGTAAAGTTTCTCCAATTGACTGATCTCTCCGCCCTCTCCGGGAAAGACAGCTTTCTTCGTAAACATCTCCACGTACACGCACGCCGCACTCCAGACATCGACCGCCGGACCGTACCTGGTTTCACCCAACAAAAGTTCGGGTGGTCGATACCAAATGGTGATGACACGATTGGTGTAATCCAGTTGGCGGCTCTTGGAAAAGAAACGGGCCAATCCAAAGTCCGCGAATTTCAGTTGCCCTCTGTTGCTAATGAGAATGTTGGCGGCCTTGATGTCACGATGCATGACCCCACGGTGGTGCAGGTAGTTCAAGCCCTCAAACATCTGTTTAGCCAAGTCTTTCTTGTGAGCTGCCGTCAGCGTGAAGGTCGGATGGTTAATCAAGCCAGTCAAATCGTGCGAGAGATATTCAAAGACCATGAAACACTCGTTTCTCTCAACCATGACTTCCAACAAGCTGACAACGTTGTTGTTGCGAAGATGTTGGAGTAATTTGATCTCCCGCACAGCTGTGACGGGAAAGCCGTCCTTCTCGCCTTCCATTCGTATTTTTTTCAATGCAACCTTTTTCTGTGTGTAGACATGGATTGCCTTGAAGACCTTTCCATATGTACCGGCACCAATGACAGACTCATTGCCAGGCTTTCGATAGTAGACCGAGTCCGACTGGGCAAACTCTTCAGAGAGGGTGGGACGTGGCTTGGGACGAGTCAAGATCTTTGGCTGCTTCTTTGGTTCTGGAGATCGCTCGCGACGGCGCTCGGGACGGAAATCCTGTCTTCGATCACCTCTCCTTCTTTCATTGCGATGTTCGAAACGACGGTCGTCTCTTCTCATGTCGCGTGGATCTCGAGCTTCACGAAAGCTACGGGGTTCCCGAAACTCTCTGCGGTCGATCCTCCCTCGATCTCGGTCCCTGTCGCGTGGCCGATCGCGGTCGCGATCCCTATCCCTGTCACGATCGCGACGATCGAAACGTGTGTCGGGCTTGAACTTCGGTGGCGGCGGGCCAGTTGATAACCTATTGCGGGGAGGTGGCTCAGCTGCGCGCGGCGGTGGCTCTCGTGCCAGCATTCTTTGGGCCAGGTCGGGAACTGGCTTAGGAGCTGGAGCTGGGGTAGACTTTGCCTTGAAGGCAAAACTGATTTTGCCCCCTTTGTTGGGGGTAGCAGATGAATTAGACTGTTGGGTAGCATTAGTTGCAGGTGGGTTGCCTTGAGCATCACCTCCCGCAGTAGCCTTCGAACCGTCATCTTCTGCGTGGGTTTCTTTCCTTGATGTAAAACGGTCATCATTATCGTCAACATGGGGTCTTTCTTCGTTGGCGGGGGGCGGCGGGGGGCTGGCTGATGGTTGCCTATAGGGCTCATGAGGACTGGAAGGGCCTCGGCCTCGGGGATCCTGGCCCCTCCAATGTGCTTTGTTAAAATTGCTTCGGCCATGTGGCGGCCCGTTATTATGGCTCTGAGGGCCAGAGTTCATGTAGCGACGATCGCCGCCGTGGCCTTGATAGCCGCCACGGTACCCTGAATGCCCACCACGGTAAGAAGGTCCTGAATAGGATGAACTGTGACCATGCGGGCCACTCGTGGTGTAGTTGTTCTGCCGGTACGGAGAGGTAGGGCTACATATATCGCCTGAGGTTAGTCTGATGCTGCTAAGAAGCGTTCTGAGATGGCTCGACTTACACATGCTGGACCCGTCCCCCGCGTCCGCCCGAGTATGGAGAAGTAGGCTGTGGCGATCCGTGGTAAGAGTTCGTCGGAGTAGCGTTCTGCATCGTCGATGAGTATTGGGAAGCATCCGCATACGGCCGAGATGTTCGCGGGCGCTGGAATGCATCGCGTGATGTCTCCCCGTTGGCCGAAACACTGGCATTATCTGCATCGTGCCCTGGGGCTTCCCGAGACGGGGATAGAGACCTAAACGAGTCACCCGCTGCTGAGCGGGCGGGCCTGGCGGAGTTCATCGTCGAATCGCCCAAAGAATTGCGGCGAGACGCTATAGATAGTCTTGAAACACCGGACTGCACAGAGTGACGCGAAGGTGATCGATAACGGGGCTCGTCTTCGACTTCGTCTTCCGGCAAAGGGCTGTGAAAGCGACGGCGAGGGTACGCGTAAGATTTCCCACCACGTACGGGAGACCTAGAGCGCCTAGGCCGTGGGGATATTGGACGTCTACCCCCGGGTGGGCGCCTATCTCTCCCTCGTCGGGGGGATGGTCTCCGACCAGACCGACCCCGAGTTGCAAATCGTCCTCGCCTGTTGGATGGCAGGCCTCGATCCAGGTCGTCACTGTGATTAGAAGGAGGATAGCGATGGCTTGGCCGGGTGGGAGGCTGATCGAAGCCACTGGGAGAAGGACTGCGCGTTCTTTTACGCTTGAAGGGAGGCGGAGCGGATGGTGAGTGGTCGCGCCGAGGGTGACCTCTATCGGTGGTTACTTCAGCTTCGAGGGAACGACGCGATTCCACGCCAGGATAATCAGCGGGTAAGGGTGAGCGATGACGGCCTAGTTTCCGACCAGGGTGAAATTCCGGATGTGGATGACCAGGGGAGCCACGGGCGGAGATGGTGCTAGGGGACAAATCACGGTGTTGACGAGGTTCGTGGTGAGGTGGAGGAGGAAAGGGACGCGGTGGCGGCGACCGTAGAGGAAGCTCGTCGTCGGGTCTGCCCTCTTTGGGTCGGCGACGACGCTCACGGTCGCGAAATTTGTCCCTTCCCCTATCGCGGTACGAGCCTCGAGGCCGGTGCCTCTCCCGGTCTCTGGGGTCTCTAGTGTCGCTGGTGGCTCTCCACTGGTCTCTCAACACCGGACTCCTGCGGGACCCAGCCATGTATTCTCCTTCAGCTGCATCGGATTCCAACAGAAAAGGAAGGAAAAGCAGCAGGGATCAGAATGACCGGCCCACTGAAGGATGAGGAGATTCGCATGTAGATGTCAGCGTAGGATAATCCGGTGGAGCCTATTCCTCTCGTCTAAGCTGTCGGGGCGTGTGTCGGCCGCGTTCACCAGTTCTTTCTGTCGGGGGATTGGGTGGTGCGGAAGACCGGTTTTTCCGGGGGGTTGAGTCGACGAGGGAGGATGGAAAAGGCGTCGCGAAGGCCGGCAGTCTGGGCAGAAGCAGATCGTCAGTGTCCGGAACACCTCTCGAACCAGCTGCAGAATGTAAAGGGCAAGGAAAATGCGTTTTCTAGAAGGGGGAAGGGGGAGCAGACGCACCTCGCAGTCTTTTTGGTTGGTCCCGAGGGGGATTAAATTGCTTCCCGTGGCCGCTTTCGTTGGCCTTGGGAGTACTAGAAAATACGAAGAACCACCAAGAGTTGGCAAGGTGGTGATGGAACGGGAGTCTACTTTGTTGGCGGGAGATATTTAGTGAAGAGAGTCAGTCCAGCAGGTGACTCTGGGGCGGCCCAACACCGACGTGCCGCTGATCCAGTGTTCCTCCTTGTCCGATCCCTTCTTCCTCTTCACTTCCGGGTTTGCCAGAAGTTTGGCTCTTACTACGGATGCTGGCGCAAGGCCGCGGTGCAGAGACGGCAAAACCAGGTGACGGCCGGTATTGCTGTCCGGTAAACCCCTTGGGGACGCTTTGGTCTGGCGTACGGGGAGATATTCAAATGTCGAAAAACCCCAGTCAAACATGAGCGTCGCTGAATAGCACACCCTCAGCCCAGTATCATTCACTCCCTGCCCATGCCTCGATCATGGCCATTGTTTCCATGTCTGGGCCACGGGAGAGCCTCAAGTTCTTCTTTTCCATCACGGTCCAGCTGCACCGATCTCTGCCTTTCCCCTACCTCCTTCTTGCACTTCTGCAAATGATGACTTGTCTTGGGCTCATGGTCGGGTATTTCGTCTTTCCTCCAATTTTGTCGCGTAACATATCAACACCGTCTTCCCCCCACCTTTTACAGGCTCATTGCCTGCGTATAGCGCTTTTGGTCGCTGGCTGGAAGAGAAAGTATATCCTCTCCACAACAGAACACACCTATCTACGGGGAGCAAATAAACCGCAAACTGACAAACATTGACAAGAAAGATCAGAGCAAACACCCTGCTCAGGCGACTTGTAGTAGCAGCACGGCGCAAAGGGATGATTCCGCAATTCATCAGTTGCGGCTCACCAGATTAACACTTCGCCATCAGTGGATGTGGTGTAACAAGTTGAGCTATCGTAGGCACCCAAAAATGCACAAGCGCTGTTCATTGCTAAACGTAGGTTAAGGGCCGCATGCTTCCTGATAATGATCAAGGACCAAGAAGCAGAAGGGGGGCGATGTTGATAGGCAGCGGTGAACGTCTTCGAGAAACCGAAGACATAGGATAGTCGAGCCTTGTGAATGGGGAAAGTATCAGGTATCATAGAGGATGATGCCATCCGTCTAATTACTCAAAGTGTTCGACGGTCGGCGACCTGACTTTGGCACACCACGTCGAAACCATGTTTGACTCCTGGGTAAGAACCGAAGGTAGGCTCTAGCTATATCACAAGCCACGCCACAGATACAAGTATTTGTACTCACACTCATCCAGTTTCTGGAGAGCATACGGTTAATGTCTGCCATGTACGTACCTGTCGTTGATGTTCGGGGTGAAGTCATTGAGCCTTAAGGGACTCCGAGAAATTCCGGCATCTAAGCCTCCCCAACAAACAACATGGCGTACCAACCATACTGATTGTCAGAGCAGAAAGAGATTATTTCCCAACCATTCCTGGGGTAAATCGGCCATCAGAAACCACTTGCGAACGCGATGTTTATCAAGGATACCGTAGAGGATCGAGACGTGGCTGTTCATGACGTGTATGTAGGCGGTGGGGATGCGGGCTCGGTGAGGCACTCCGAAGTCCAACTCAACCGAACACATGGTGAACGTACGTGGCTAGGACTAACCCTAGCGGGCTGAATAACGTGCAAAGAGATCCCCAAGTCATCTTTATTGCTCCAGGGTCCTCCAAGCAGAGCTTATCCACAACGAAATACCAGAGGACAGGGGCTGGCCGGGACATGGACTCTTGTTGACTTTGGTGACAGGTCAAGGGTGGCCGTAAGCTTGAAGCAACGGAGGGAGTGCCGCCCGCTGTCACGTGGCTCGGCGCCGGATTAGCCTGGTCTCCGTGCTATTATAGTTATAGCTTGAACATTAACTGTTTCACTATTGTACTGCATTGAATCCTGCCTTGAGTACTGTCTAGATGCTATTTATTATTTTTGGTCTCGGTAGTATTGCTTGCTCCATAGTTCTCTGATTCTATTTGCCTGATAAGCGAGAAACTTTCTGCTTTCTTACTTTGATGGAATTCAAATCTGTCTTGCGATTCTCTAAGAAGTACTATTAAGAAGATAGATAAAGTGCAGTTCCTAGGAATTCCGACAATCTTATATCCTGGTAGTTATAAATAGTTTTCTTTGTTATCTATATTTTTGATAGTAGGAAACATAAGTATAGTCGTTTCTTTTCTTTGATATTTTGACTTGCTTACTGACTCCTTCTAGGCTAGTTCTTCTTGAACCATAACATTAAAGAAATGGGCTATATTCTTATCAAGTAACAAGGCTAGCAGATCGGCATTGCCTCAGCATCTCTTCAGTCTAAGGTTACGGCCTGGGACAATGCCGATGCATAGAGGAGGCATAGAGCTCTACTGCCAGTGCTCCTCTCCAGCCCGCTTGTTGAATATGCTATCCAACAGTTGCTCGGGAGGATTTGTCGATAGTCATTCATATACCGTGCTAACCCCAATTGAGTGGGTGCACGCCATCTTAGCAGATTACCAGGCCAGACCTATCATCCATCTGATTGATTGATCCACTTCCCTCTGTTTCCGTGAAATAAATACTCTATAGTCCTCCCTCATACCACTCAGGAGCACTTCATCTTGCACAGCAAGCCTCCATATGCTTATCACTACCACACGTACCACACAAGTTGCACCATGATCCTTAGCGGACTTGAAGTTGTCACCTGCCAATTAGTGCGGAATCTCCGCGGTGCCACCCAGCAACAACCCTGCGGCATTGACCTCACCCTTCGTCAGATTTCCGTATGGACCTCCGCAGCGACCATCGACTTCGATAATACGAAGCGCCAGGCGGCCAAAACCTCCATCTTGCCGTTTGACAGCACAAGCCACGCCATCACACTGCCCCCAGGCGCATACTTGGTTGATTTCAACGAAACCGTCCAGGTCCCACGGGACTGCATGGGCAGCATTTTCGCGCGGTCATCCCTTTGGCGCTCCGGGGTGGGAATCACGGCGGGTGTTGTCGATGCCGGGTATGAAGGTGCTCTTGGTGCCCTGATCGAGGTCAAGAATCCCCACGGTGTCGTCCTGTATCGAGACGCCAAGCTCGCACAGATTGTGTTTGAGGAGTTGAGCGAAGCGGTGGAAGGATATAATGGTATCTACCAGGCTTCGACAAGTAGTGTCGGGCGCGATGGACCGGGTCGGACTTCCAAGTCTTGAGCAGGGGATACTTATAACAGCGAGGCATGCATTGGAACGATGGGCGGCATCGTTGCTAGATTCGTCTACCCGGGTTTGCATCTGGATTTATTCTACCCCCCACAGATCAGCCATACCCAGCAATCCGCGCGGTTTTATTCCCAGCCCGATCATCGAGTGGATTGTCAGGTACTCCCATTTCCAATCCTGGGGACGGTGCGACAGTTGTTGCGGTTGTTGCATCTACCCCAGTCTATCTCTACTACCTCCTTCTCTACTCCTGCACATGTATTACTCCTACAGTGCACCAACACTGGCGTGATTGGCCCTAATCACGCGCAAATTCTCCAGCTTGATGTGCTATTTTGAGGCTAAGAGGTTGCTCTGGGAGATGACTTTCTTTAGAGTACAGTTAACGTACTTGGACTAGACATGTTTAGTGAGGACCAGGATAGGAAAATAGCTTTAATGACAGCAATAAATAAAGATGGAGACAAATATATTTTTGGTTTAGAAGAGAAGGAAAGACTCTTTTCGTTATTCAAGATTGAAAACCTTTTAATATAGAATTGGGCGAATTGAAGCTTACTAGCAAAATCTCAATCGGCAGGAGTATGCAGAAACTACAGGATAGACAGAGTAAGTGCTATATTAGGAAAGTAACAGTAAGTACTTAATGAGTGATAGTATAAGTAGTAGCCGCAGTCTATACTCAGTGTATGTATACAGGCTACACATTGCAATTGAACAGGTAGTGAAAGTTACATGCAATTTAATCATTAAGCACCTGTGGGCCCCTTGTGGATTAATACCTCCTGGAGAATTAATATAGTGGAGGCAGACGATATGGTTTTGTCGAAATCCACTGTAGTTAGACATCACCTGATCCTTCGCCACCTCTGTCTATACGGTCTCTTTTCCCACCACCACCACCAACACAAGATCTCGAGACCTTAGATTAATCATATATACATACAACCAAATCAGCCCCCGCTCTTTGTCTTGATATATAAGGTCAATACTCATGGCGCTTTACTAACCAGCTCAGTCCCTTAGCATTTAGACTCTATAACTAGAGTGCTGACCCAAGTGCGCAATACTCAAACGGAGTAAAGAGTACTATGATTTCTCTCTATGAGTGTCCATCCCCATGTAAGTATTCGCGACAAATCCTTTCTCACCCACTATTAACCCTTTTCCTGTTAACTTACACAGTAAGTTTGGACGCTCTGATAAACGATCCCCTTCTTTCTCGGGACTTTCGGCTTGTCGAATGAAAGTGGCCTGGCATCGGCCCCTCATGATCCCCCAATCTCATAATCTGGCCTTGTCGATTCAGCCTTACCATTCACCAGTGAGCTGTGTAACTTCCTCGGCATATCGATTAGGCTCACACAAGCAGTTTCTACCACAAGCTGGTCTTTAGAATATTGTGTTAAAGATCTATTGCTCACGCGTTTCCCTTAACCCTTGAATCAGCACTCGCAGCGATGTCTTGGAGACGAACAGCTACTTTGACCGCCAGATACTCCAATGAGTGTTAGGACTCCTACAATAAATGGTTCCTGCATGGTGATGGGGTGCATTACGTGGTTCCCGAACCAAGCATTATCTGCAAAGAGCGGACGATGCCCCACAATGTTGGACGATGGGCAAGCTACATTGCATCGCTGCATGGTAATAGGTCTGAAATCCATTATCTCCGCTTAGTACACGTTTGGGATATGTTAGAGTACTGAACCCGTCGTGGATATTCGTCGTCATCAACGGTGCCGACAGTGCCGTGCAGAAATTGGACGTGGGTCTGAAAGAAGCACACTTTAAGCTTACCAGTGATAAGATCATGAGGTCGTTTGAGCTCCACTTCTTCTTGTCCTCTGACCTCCGGTTTTGTCTATAGACTAGTTACAAGATTCCACTATCTACATCTAGTCCATCTTCTCCCTTGATTCTTCCCGTGCATCGGCGGTGTTCTGCCGGCGGAGACTTTCCCTCGTTAGGCAACAATCGGCACATCTACTCTATCAACAACGGAGCGAGTGGGGGATCTCTATTGAAACTGATGAACGTACGACGACACCTCTTACCAGAAACGCTGATTTACTGCGAAGAGCATGATATCCGCTTTTGCCTCCAACGATCAATCTGCCTGGCTCGGAATATGCAGGTACCGGGCCAGGCTTTCCGCTCCTTTCTCGGTCGGAGTAACCGTTCCTGGGACCTGCTGCCATTGATTTGATATCGCCGATGTCTCACGATCTCCTTCTGTACATATAAAAGCTCTCCTCTCCCCCTGTTTGTTTAGACCTCAGTTTATCAGACTACCGATCGTCACTCTTTCATCATTACAGTCATTCTTTACCTACTCGACATCCTCTATGAAGTCAACTACACCTCTCCTCGCCGCTGCTGGCGTGGCTGCGGCCAAGAACTGCAGCGTTGACACCATTGCTAAATACCTTCCCAAGAATGCAACCGTCTTTTACGCCAATCATTATGAAAAGGGATATAACTTCACCCCTCCCATTGAATACAACTATGGCCTGACCTCCGATCCTATGGGCATCAGCGCCTATGAACTTCCTCTTGCTGGCTGTGTTGCCCAGGCCAACATCTCCCTGCCCAACAACACCCAGCACAGCGTTGGCTTAGTGCTACCCGATGAGTGGAACGGCAGATTCATGGCCGTCGGCAACGGTGAATTCGCCGGGTCTGTCGGCTGGTCTTCCATCATCAACACCATGTGGTACGGCTTTGCCAGTGTGTCAACCGACACCGGTCACGAGGGCAACAACGGAAGCTTCGGATACCACAACGAAGCTGCCCTCACCAACTGGGGCTACCGCGCCCTCCACGATGCCGTGGTCAACGGAAAGAAGGTTACCGAGGGCTACTACGAAAAGGACATCTCGTACAGCTACTACCGGGGTTGCTCCGCCGGTGGTAAGCAGGGCTTCAAAGAAGTCGAAATGTTCCCTGACGACTTCGACGGTGTGGTTGCCGGCGCACCGGCCTGGTGGACTTCTCACCAGCAGCTGTGGAACGTCCTCACTGCCATCTGGAACCTCCCCGAAACCGCAGACTACCACGTCAGCGATGCTCAAATGACCGCTGTCCAGGACGAGATCCTGAAGCAGTGCGATCCCCAGGACGGCCTGAAAGACAACATCCTGCAGAACCCCTTCGGATGTGTCTTCGACCCCGTCCCCGTGATGTGCAACGCCACCTCCTCCAACGACACCTGCGTGACCCCAGCCCAGCTCAAGACCGTGAACAAGCTCTTCAACCCCTGGTACGAAGCCAACGACACTCTGATCTTCCCGGGATACACCCTCGGCACTGAAGTCGGCGCCCCCAGCCTGGACGACGACTTCGTCACCTACATCCAATACATGCTCCAGATCGGCGGCGACTGGACCTGGAAGGACTGGAACCCGGACCTCGTGGCTCTCTCCGACAAGATCAACCCCGGAAACGCCACCGCCGACGACTTCGACATCTCCCCCTTCTACAAGAAGGGCGGCAAGCTCCTCCACTACCACGGTTACTCCGACCCGTCCATCGCAACCGGCTCCTCCGTCTACCTGTACAACCACATCCAGGAAGCCCTCCGCCCCCAGGACATTCCCATCGACGACTTCTACCGCTTCTTCCTGATCCCCGGTATGGAGCACTGCACCGGCACGCCCTCCGACCAGGACGCTCCCTACTACATGAACGGAGACAGCCAGGCCGCTTCTCTCTCCGGAACCGTGTTCGGTGTGCCCGGCTTTAATGACCCCAAGCACGACCTCGTCCTGGCTATCATGAACTGGGTCGAGAACGGCACGGCCCCTGACTATCTCATCCCGACCAAGTTCAAGAACGATGATGTCGCTGATGGCGTCGACAAGCAGAGACCTATTTGCCCTCATCCCCAGCTGGCCAAGTACAAGGGCTCTGGTGATGTGGACAAGGCTGAGAACTGGTACTGCGGTACTCTTTACTAGGGGAGTTTTTTACTCTCTGAATTTCTGCTCTCTGCTCTGGTGAGGGGAGTGGGTGCTATGTAGTATCTTGCTGCGATCGACCACTGGTACTTGACTGCTGCTGGTAGCTATGTATATATAATGCTGAATCTTGGATTGTTATCTGTATCATAGCAGTGTACATAGTTGGTATAATCTTCTAATTTCTATCTGAACTAGAAGAAACAGATGATCTTTCTGAAATAACGTGTCTCGTGATCATATAACAGATGTGTAATTGAATTTGTTTTACTTGTCTCACTCCCAATGTGTAGGATAAGGACAGAAGTTTCCACTTTCCTTCTTTGTTGTAGGGTGTTGACGTTGCCTTCTACCCGAGGTAGCCGTACACTTGAAGTCAGAGGTCCCATACGTGAAAGAGAAGATTGATCGAGGACTCTACAATTGTTAAGACAAAAAGGATGTACCTATTCCTATGATAAACTAGACGGATACTAGTTGACGACGCGCCATCATTGATCCAGGACATTTCGTTGTCTCAGATCCTAGCAATCCATGTATATGGCTTAGACACCAAATCACTGCTTGCTATACTTCGAACGCAGTGACGCCAGCGCCAGCTCACCCAGGCCTCCAATAGTACCTGCCTTGCTGATAGCCGTCAGAGACAACACAACACCTAAGTTGCGACGTGACCAATTGCGAAGTTCAACCGTCATCAACGAGTCAATGGGCATTGCAACCACCTCAGTGTAGCTGAGATCTTGAGCAAACTTGGAGTACTCCTGTATGCCCCTGACCATGTGTTCAAGTAGTGTGTTGGCCATGTCATCAGTGTCGAGGATCTCAGGTCGTCTTTCGATCAATGCTAGGAAGTCCCGCATGATTGCTGCATTGTCTAAGGACGACTGGGCTGGGCCTTTGTTGACGTCCTCGTCGAGATTCCGGTAGATGCCGAACCGTGCATCTTGGCCCCAAAGCGGACGGACCGAGAGATTAGCCAGGGATCCGGTGCTGCTCATACCCACGATGATATTGTTTGGCACTCTGATGGCACCATCAGTGAAATGCAAGGGGGCTCTTGACCGGCTCTTGAACATAGCGAGTTCGAATGCTTCCAGAACGTCCTGTTCCTGCAAAAGGCGTACGGATCCTGAGCTCATCCTTTCTCGTAGTTTTGGATTTTGTGTGGCAATGTATCCCACATCTCCTACAGCGCCAAGGTTGACAACTGAGGCGGGAAGCCCAAGCTGCAGGCGATACTGCGTGAAGGAGGTCAAAAAGGCATTGGCTGAGGTGTAATTGATTTGGCCTGCATTACCTAAGACACCTGAAATGGAACCACAGAGGACAAAGAACCTCAGGTGCGCATCGTGACCTTGTAGCGCATGATGCAGATTCCAGGTGCCTGCGACCTTGCAAGCCAGCACATCTTGCCAGTTCTTATGCGTCATATTTTGGACGAATTGGTCCTGATCAATTAGTCTTTACGCCAAGTCATCAGAGGGGGTTATATGCTTACTCGAAGAACCATCGATAGTTGGAGGATTCCACCAATCGGGCGAGGGCAGGAGCGAATGGCAGACATCACATCCTCCAAGACCGACACGTCGGCTTTGACCAGTACAACCGTACATCCCTGAATCTCCAGTTCATGTACGAAAGACTGATCTCGGGCAGATGTGCCTGCGGACCGCGAGAGGAGGACTAGGTGCCGGGCGCCCTTCTCCACCATCCAGGTTGCGAGCGTCTGTCCAATACCCCCAAGACCACCGACCAAAACATAGGCTAAATCGGGTGAGAGATCTACATTCCGTCGGGATCGGGCAACATCAAGGCCATTTGCACTTTGAGGTATCCTTATCAGAATCTTACCAATGTGGAGTCCGTTTTGCATATATCGGAAGGCTTCCTTGATATCGCAGGCCTCGAAGGTCTTCAATGGGCGAATTGGGGATATTTTGCCTTCTTCATAAAGATCCATCACTCGAGATGTCAAGCTATTTGGCCCAGGTCAGCTGTAGTTCACCACGAGAGTAGGAATTTAATCACCTCGTAAAGGCTCCAGGTTTCTGGCCCAGCCTTATAAGATCCACACCAAAAAAGGCCCGGTTACCACCAAAAGCATCCATTGGCAACTTCCCATGCTCTAAGATATCTCGCTTACCAATTTCTATCATCTTACCAAACTCTGCGACGCATGACCACGATGCATGCAGAAGCTCTCCCGCTAGCGAGTTGAGCACAACGTCGACCCCGCGGCCATCCGTTTCACGCAGTATTCCCGGAAGAAAACTGCAGTCTCTCGAATTAAAGATCCGATCTCGGGGGATGTGGAACGTCTTGACAAGATACGAAGCTTTCTCCTCGCTGCCGACTGATGCATATATCTTATCGATGTGAGTGACCCAACTACTTTAATCTAACAGAATGGCGTAAGAAACGTACCTCAGCACCAAGCATCTGGCACAAGCTGATCGCAGCCAACCCAACGCCTCCACATGCTGCGTGGATCAGCACTGACTATAGAGAGTAAGCTCCTCATATCATGAATAGTACTACTGGTTAGATTTGAAATCCTACCTGGCCCTTTTCCAGCCGAGCAATATCTGTCAAACAGTAGAGAGCTGTCCCGTATGCCACAGCCATCGAAGCAGCATCTTCCAACGAACACCACGCGGGTAGACGTACACAGGTGGAAACGGGTACGCATAAACGGGAGCAGAAAAGCCCAGGCCGAAGTAGCATGACCTTATCGCCAGGTTTCACTTGCTTCACGTTGCTGCCACATTGGCGGACGATGCCACTGGCTTCGACCCCCAACTCATCCCTGCTCGCCATGAATCCCAATTGAATCATTATATCCTATTCTCCAGTTAGTCAACTTCCCGCCCAATACATATCAGAGGCCCGCTTACTCTAAAGTTCAAGCCAACATAACTGACATCCACCAGAACTTCGTGTGGCCCAGGAAGACCGGATTCATGTTCAACCCAACCAAGCGAGTTCATCGAACCATATGTACCAACGTCTAATTTGATGGGAACTGTAGGATCCGGCTCCCGAAGAAGATGGTCAGACAGTGACTCCCAATGAAACCTTGGGATATAAACAATCCCATCATGCAAAGCAAACTCGTAGTCTATGTCGACCGTGTCCTGGCCATCAGTTGCTTCGAAAAACTTCTTGCATACTCTCAAAGTGGGCCTGATTGCAGTCTCGTCGAATTGATCTATCTGCAGTGTACCGAAATGGAGAGCTTCCTCCTGTCGCACTGTTCGTGAGGCCCCAAGTACAATTCCAAATTCGGGATCATGGCACCCGAGTTCGACGGATGGCGTAATCCAAAGTACACGAGGAGAACACTTGATGAAGGACTGAAACCAGCCCCAGATTTGCATGTCTAGGTCCTTGAAGAAGGGGCTATCAAGGTCCAAAAAGGAAATAACGCATTGATGGGGAGATAATTCTTGCCCAAGTACGCATCGCTCGGTGTAATAGCCTGCTTGTTCTAGTTCGGCTTCCACATTGCAAATCCACGGATGATCGTGCCTCTTAGTCTTGCATAGAAGGTAGATTACCTTTGTCTTCTTCACTGTAGTCTGGTCTGGGATACGTGAGATTATATTATAGTGTGGCTGATAAGGAATCGTAACGTCGTATGAATACGCGTCAGCTCCGGTGAACCCTGCCAGCAAAAGTGAGTTATGCCATGCATCAAGAGACTGACAGTCTCTTTCTGACTGGGCATTGTGCTTGCCGCACTCAGTCAATGATAAAAACCTCTTGAACAAAGTCAATCTTACTGTGGTAATGACAAGTGGCCGGTCGACTTACGCATGCGTTTTCCACGACAGGGAGATCTTAATCGTATTTATTAGCACTTGTACAACACATATCCAATAACTGTAAGCTAACCTGGACTTGGTACATGGAGTAGGAGACTCCCATTGCTTGCAAGGAGCTTCTTGATGTGTCGTAACGAAGCTTCCAGTCCTGATTTCTCAACACACATCTTGAAGTCTGTCAGCTCAGCGCTGCAAAACAAAAAGTGGGGGACACACTTACTCTAGAGGCTATCACCAAGTCGAAAGCTCCTTTCTGAAATCCTTGCAGCAGAGGATCTTGGGTAATGTCCAGCTGTTGGAAGTTAAGATGCGTATGACCGTTTAATTGTTCTTTCGGATGCTCATCAATCATACTCAGCCTCGTGACTGTATAGCTTGAGTATAGTCTTTCACCTGGCGATTGAAGCTGTGCGAGAACAGAGGAGGTGAAAGAAGTCTCACTGGCTTCAATCTCGAGAACCCGTAACGTCGGATTGGAATGTGAGACAAGAGAAAGCCAAACGGACAGGTCACTTGTGGGCGACATGTTGGCGCATTCTGCCAAACCGTGCAAACTAGATACAGACTCGGTATCACAGAGACCTCGGATGGCATTCAATGTCGAGTTTAGAATGCCCTTGAACAGGTCTGAAACATGTTTCAGTCCCTCTGATTCAAGAGCCTTATTTAGGGTTTCAGCCTCCTTCAATATGTCATCATCCTCTAGTGTTGCCCATGTACTTGCCTTCTCAACAATGGACAGCTTGTCGGTCAGTATATTGTCCATCTGAATTTGGATCCAGCGTTGGTAGTCTTTCGATTTTTCCGAGCAGGGAACTGTATGTTGGAGAAGTCGATGTATTTGAATAACATTGAGTGCTGAAGCTGCAACAATCGTGCGCACCCGTGAGTTAGTCAAGCTTCTGAGTCCAGAAAGCTGATCCTGGACTGAGATCAGATCCATGTCTGGGCGCCATTCGCCATATGTTGCCAAGGGGATATTGTTGGACCCAGTCCTTATGCTGCTCTCCAATGGGACGAGTAGAACCCCTTTCATCGAGAGTATCTTTGCATTATTACGACCAGTCTTATCTGTCAGGGTAATTTTGGTCCTGGACTGGCTCATAGCGAGGCTTTCCATAGAGGCTGTTACTTTCACCAGCGGTCGATTACGACCGATCAGAATTGTATCCACAAACACGGGGACGTGAGGTTTTGAACCCTGCATTGCTTTCCCCCTTGAAGCTGCGATACTGAGGAGTTGTAGGCCTTTGTCGATTGTAGTAGGGTGTATAGCATGGACGTCTTCAGTTCGGAGGATTGCGGTCGCTCTGTAGCTTAAAGGATCCGCTCGAATGTCTTCCAGACCTCTGAAGAAAGGCCCATATTCCAAGCCAAGTTTTCGTAACTCTTGATACAGCTTCTCGGAAGATACGGGTCGTGCGAATTCATTATCTGAGTCCAAATCCCGACTAAGTGGTGCCGTTCCAGCTGCGGCCTGACATACGGCATGCTTGATCCACTCGATCCCATTGTAAGACATAATGCTGAACTCGTAGGAAGAAGAGACTACTCGATCACTGATCTTGATAGGCTTCGCGCTTGTAACAATCTCAATCTTTCCCCACTGGTGAAGTAGAAGAGGAGCCTGAATGCACAGGTTACGGATCGTGCATTCTTGCATGCTGGATATTTGGCGGACCGCTTCGTTGATCATTCCAATGTACCCAGCGCATGGAAATTGAATTTCACCCATAATACAATGGTCACCAAGCCATGGCACATCCCCTAGGCTTAGTAGGTTTCTCCAGGATGGTTCAATATCGCTTGATTCTAGCATCCGGGAACCTAGAAGTTCGTGGCGTGGATGCTGACGAAACCTCCAGGTTTTACTGAGTCGACTTTCTTTCCAATTCAAGCTCTGTCGGTCCCATGGATAGGGCGATAGGCAGCTAACAAATTGGCCTTTGCCATTGATTGCCACGAAGTCAACAACATACCCAGTTGAGAATAGCTCTCCAGCCGCTTGCAGTAAGCAGCGTACCTGGTCTTGATCAATCAGTAGGGTGGGGATGTATTTACTTGTTTGCAACGAATGCCGAGCAATGATTTGGTGCANAGGCGCTGAGAGAGAACAATGGGGTCCGACTTCGACGAAAATCCTCGATATGTCTTTCTTAGCAGCAAGGAGAGACTCGACAGCTCTGGCGAAAAGGACTGGAGACTCAAGGTTGGCTCCCCAATAGCTAGCACTCAGCTGAGCGGGATTGTCGACAACCGAGCCTGTAAGCGTCGAGTACAGCGGCGTCATACTATCATTGCAAACAATATAAGGGTCAACCAGGTCTCTGAAGGCAGACGCCGCTTGCTTCATATCGGCTAAGATCCAGGTTAGCAGATGATTCGCTCAGAGAGTGCAGAAAGGAAGCTAACGGGAATGATAAGCCACACGTATAGGTAGCATTCTGGTGAAAATGTCTGAGTTATCGGTTTTGGTCAGATCCACAACAGCTGCTAGACTTTCTCTGTTACCAGAGATGGTGACCGTCTCAGGGCCATTCTCACACGCCACCACGAGTCCATCTTTGAGATACTTCTTAACAACATTCCTTCCTAGACCGACAACAGCCATTCCGCCTGATTGTGGACAAGACATAGCACAAAGGCCTCTGTAGTAGGCTAAGATTATGGCGGTTCGGAGAGGAATCGCTTTCGCCGCATAGGCAGCTGCTATCTCACCGCTAGAATGGCCGATTACAGCCGCTGGGTATATGCCCCAGCTTTTGAGGAGATTAACTAATGCAATTTGCACGGCAGCAGATAGGGTCTGTGAGGATACAGGCTGCTCCAGCTTCCGTGGGTCGTCCTGTGTTTGGAGTTCATCTGCAACTGTTAACACTAACGGTGACCTGGTGTAGTTTGTCGGCTAGCAATGTCGAAAAGGGCGTGCTTCTTACCAACAATGCTCCATGTGGGTGGCTCAGGCAATTCCTGTAATATCTGGTCCATAGTGAGGCAGTCGAGCTTGAAGCCCGGGAATGATGCCATAAGTTCTCTCCCCATACCGCACCACTGCGAACCCTGACCGGAGAATGTGAATACTATGTCAGTTTTGCAGGAAGAGGATGCATTTCGAGCCAAATGAGGCTCGCAAGTAACATTTTTACCATCAGTTACCATATAGGTACGGTAAGGAAGGTGCTCACGACACGCTCCGAGAGTGTGAGCAACATCAGGAACCCGGGAAGGCGTCTCAAGTATATATGACCGGACTGCTTCGCAGCGAGCCTGGAGTGCTCTTTCGCTTGCAGCAGAGACCACAAGCAAGCGGTTTCTATGAGCATGCCCCGAAGCAGACTCAATGGCCTCAGCCCTCGGGGTAGGCCATGACTCTAGAATAACCTATTGGGCGAAGTGAGCAACGCGCCCATTTGGATCGTTCGTACTTGGTGGACTCACATGTGCGTTGGCACCACCGATGCCGAAACCGTTGACGCTGACTCGCTCCTTCCGATCAGAAGGCCATGGAATTGGCTCGGTAGGAACTGCCAGACGTCCTTCCTGAAATGGTACTGGCCACATATAGTCAGCCGACGTATGGGTAAGCCAGTGGGTAGTAGTAGAGTAAGCTCTCACTTTTGGGGTTAGGGTGGGCAAAATGCATGTTTGGTGGAATAATGCGACGCTCCAGTGACAGTATAGCCTTTATCACTCCTGTGAGACCCGAGGCACCTTCCCCGTGACCGAAATTGGTTTTCACCTAAATACATGGGGATTAGCATCGACCATGGATGTTGTTGCGCACTTGGTGTGGTACCGATCCAATGTACATTCCTCGTGAACCGAAAACTCGGGCAATCGCTGTTGTCTCGACTACGTCTCCAATTCTGGTGCCAGTTCCGTGACATTCGATAAAGCCTGTTTCTGAAGGATCTAGAATTTGCGCGTTTTGGTAAGCCTTACGAATCAGTCGCTCCTGGCTTTTGATATCCGGGGCAAAAATCCTGGCCGATTTTCCATCATAGTTTGCCGCTGTTGCCTTGATGACCGCGCGAATGTTGTCCCCATCTGCCATTGCTCGGCCCAGGGGCTTAATGTAGATCGCATTAACAGCCTCTCCCCTCCCATAACCATTGGCTCTAGCATCAAATGCCTTGCAATACCCATCGGGAGATAGTACCCCACCGTCAGACATGCTAATGGTCATGGTTGGCGTTAGAATCATATTGGTTCCGGCCACGATGGCTGAGGAACAACTGCCCTCGTGTAGGGCCTGGCAGGCCTCATGGAGAGCCGTTAAGGACGATGAGCATGCGGTCATGATGGTTGCACTATTTCAGGTTAGAGAGGAGCAGTAAGGTGGCATAGCCTCCGTCGCGAACGATAGGTACCAACCTCGGGCCTTTCAGATCGAATTGATAAGAGACACGGTTGGACAGCGTGAACCCTCCATTAGCAAATGCATGCACTCGGGGAGTTGACAGTGTCTCTTTTGCTGTGAGCTCATGCCAGTCTTCGCCAAAAACACCAACATAACAGCCAATATCTTTGCCATTCCAGCCTGTCTGGCCGGCATTTTCCATACACTCCCAAATGACCTCCATCAACAAAGTCTGTTGCGGGTCTAGCTCGTCCATTTCAAAGCCAGGAATTGCCGGGAAGAAGTTCAAGTCAGCGTTTCCGATGTAGTCATCTTCGAGAAAGTACCCTCTTCGCGTCTTCACTGCCCCGGGTTTATCCGCACTATAGAATCCGTCCACATTGTATCGATTTCTGGTGATCTCTGACGAACAATCCTTTTTCTCGATAAGTGCGTCCCAAAATTGCTCTGCGGTTCGAACGCCCCCGGGGAGACGCATCCCCATTCCCACAACTGCAATTGCTT